GTATTTTCTGAATCTTGACACCAAAAACATTCAAAGGGATGCTTCTAATATTAGTTTTATCTTAAAATAATTAAATCTTCCCATCGCTTTTTAAACAAATAATATTTTCCATCAAGACCAACTACAAATAAAAAAAATCTTAAATTACAAAAAAGCTGGTAACTAGAAATACCAAAATACTGGCATTTTGTTAATTAAATTTCTAGAATTTGTCTCATTACAACATTGGCATATTGTTTTGGGCCAATAGTTGGGAATAGTTTAACGTTTTTATCTATTATTATTATTAATTAAATCCCAATAGCTAATATTTTCTTCTCAACCTGCCACTTTTCAGGGATTGATAAGATACAAAAATGAAGTGTGAATTACTTAGTAATTAATGATTGTAATATAAATTAGTGCTAGTTCACAATTTAAACTTATACCTTTGATTATTTTTTGCAATGATTTTTTGAAATTATGTTATGTAATTTAAATTCTATTTTTATTAAATGATAATTATTTTTTTATATTTTTATTTATTTTATAATTAACGCTAGGAAGTTCTGATTTAGATATTATATATAAATTATGGAGTATGTTTACTTTCAATTATAGGTTAAACGAAATTGATGATACAAATTCACAAGAATATTTTGAACTGGAAACACGAACACTTGATAATGAAATTTTCTACAAAAATTAAAAGTAGATTAAAATCAGTAAACCCAAATTTTTTCAAATTAGCAGGAAATGGAGCGTAACAAGCGCTCATATCAAAAACCCAAAGCATCCGGTTGTGCAAACAAATGAATCAAAATCAGCGTCTCGTTAGGAAATAAAGCGCAAAAATCAAAAACGCAAAAAAAATTTGGTGTCCAATTCCCCTGGCCCTTGTGCACTCTCCCTCTCTCTAGCACTTTTATAGTTTTCGGCGCTGCCGTGCGGCCCCCTTTTGTTTTTGATGCGTGGATCGAACCTCCCCTGAGCATTGGGCCGATTTGCTGAAATTTGATGCCTGTGTACTCACCAGGCGCGCTTGCTTTGTTAACCCCTGTTGAACGCACGCAGATTACCCTCATTTTTCAATACACCGCTCTCGCCGATCAGCGGCACACCCCCGCTCGGAAATAATTATGCGTGCGTCCAACCCCTGATACTCCTCACCCGCAGGCGAACAGGTGCTGATAACACACAAAGCAAACTATTCTAATTCGCTGGTGCGCCAGTTCGGAAAAAAAGCGAGTCCAAAGTTGCACGGCATGACGTGTGTGTGTGTATTAGAGGTAATAACTTTCACCCTCGGCCGCTCTTTCGACGCTCGGCCCAGCTGCCCGCACGTTTGCTGGCAAAAAAATCTGCATTGAAAAAAAAAATGAAAAATTAAAGCGTCACTTTATTTAGGGCAAGCGAGTTAAGCAAATGAGAGATTCCTTGAATCACATTGTCCAACTATAGTACATTTGAGAATAAAAAACCACTTTAATGAAAAGTGATAATAAATTTGCTAATTTTACAATTTCTGGTATAGCAAATTCTGACAAATAAAAAAAAAATCTGTTAAAAACATTCAATAATTATGATGATTAAATTTCTAATCAATAATGGCGACTCATTTAATTGCATGACGTGAAAATTTCTGCAAAACTTTCAACTCGGTTGGTTGAACATTTCAGCCCTTTCGGACGAACTGGCAACCCCTGTGTTTTGTTTTGTGGCGCTTGCGTGCGTGTTGTGTGTGCCGCGCACACATCGGAATATTAATAATGAAAATTTAATTAAGTATTGCACCTCTTTTTAACACACGACTTGCCTCGCAAACTGTCGGAATAACAGCCAGCTCGTTCTCCCTCCCTGGCTCTCTCACCCGGACCGTCCGCAGCAATATTCATTAGCGAGTCCTTTTTATGTTTAATTTTGCGAAGTTGCCGCGCTCTCGGAATTGTATTAATATTATAAAAATGGCCGCTGTTTGTTGCCTGCGCCCGAAAGAGAGAGAGAGAGAGCAAGCTTACCTTTGAAATCAAATCCGTATGGCTCAAATGAAATGGGAGTCGGAAAGTTTCACAACAAAGGGCTTTCCTTAGGCTAAATATAATATGAAATAAAAACAACTTTTCATGTGCCGGGCAAGCTCTCTCTCTCTCTCTCTGTTCCTGCTGGTGCTGCTGCAACATGATGTACTCTCACCGGTGATATTAGTTATATTCCATTCACTGGTCAAAGGGCGCGCTCACTCAAGCGGCGCACGTTAATTCGGCCGAATTCAAAAATCCAGAGGCGAATCTTGCTTGCTTTTTCATCTCTGCGCTATCCAATTTCGCAAAATGCGCTCCCCTTTGCCCGCCGCCGCCGCACGTCCTTGGGTGATAAGAGCTCGGCGGCATCCACCGCCTCTTCCTCTCTGTTGACATTTTTCATCGATCTCGCTTTCATTTCCTCCCGTGTGTCTGTTTTTTTTCTCCATCTTTTTAATGCTGTCGGCTCTCTGTCTATTTTCTTAAGCGGCATTGTTGCAAGTAAGAAGCAAAGCTGGCCGGATTTGATCGTGCGGTGCTGTCAGCCGAAACTTGGCAATCGGATAATTCGCAGATTGATTATTGGTCGCCGCTTTTTGCAGCGACGTGCGGTCGCTCGACCCTTTAATCACTGCAGCCAGCCATCAGGCCGCCGCCGCCGCCGCACACAGAGGGTGGCTGCACTTCGGCGTATTATCGCTTTACATACTTGAAAAAATATAGTCATGTGTGCATGCAAAATTAAAAATTCCCCGCACACGAGAGCCGAGATTTTTAATGAAACTTGGCTCGCTATCTTTCTCGTCCGTCCCCCTCGTTGAGAGAGCGCGCATTGGAACTCATTTGATGTTTGCTGCCGGCGGGCTTTAGGGAAATTAAAAAGGGACAAACGGTGGCTCTCATATTATTTTGGTTTTTAATGATGAACAAACAAAAATAAGGTAAACAGAAACATTTAAATGTTATATTTCCAGTTTCTAATTTGGAAGCTCTTTTGGTTTGGATGATGTTTTGAATAATAAATTACAAAACAATAAAAACCAATAAATTAAATTGCAATCTATTCACTTGAGAATATTTTGTGGTAATTTCACTATCCTAGCTAGAACCAAATAGAAATTTAAAAAAAAAGTTCATCTTTCACTTGACAAGTATAAGATGTAATTTAAAACAAAAAATGCTTAATGAGGAATAATGAAGGGATTTAGTGATCCAGTTAAATATTTTTCATTATGAAATTTAACTTTCTAAAAGTTTAAAAAAATAAAATACTATTTGATTTTCATTAAAAAATTAGATGAAAGCTTACTCACTTATTTTCTGCAGCTAATGGGGTCTTTTTGATCTCGGAAGTTTTAGTAAAATTCTAGCTAGTGGTGTTGCCGTTTTGTCAAACAATTCCTTTTTTTTTCAAATAAATTATTTCAACAATTGAATATAAACAATTTAAAGGAAAAATGTGGAGAATAATAATAATAATAATAATTAACAATAGTATTCACCATGAATTAAACAAATTTTATTGATTGTAATTTGAGTAAAATAAATTATTTCAGTTTAAATTTTGATAAAAGTTAAAAATTCCATCATGGGCGCCTCCACTTTATTTGCAATGCTTAATTAAAATACGATTGCAAAGCGCCACGAAATTTGATAAACTTAAGAGTTCTGAGTGCCAAAAGTCAAAGTTTGATGGGACGAGAAGACCCGAAAGCTCGTATATGCCATAAAGTGTAATTCTAATTACAGCAATTAGAATTTCTCTAATGAATAGCAAAGTACGCCTCGAAGGATCGATGCGCCGAGGCCACATATGTACATTTACCAAGTCGCATCTCATCATCAAGTGCCGAGTTAGTTATACACGTATGCGCGAGCATCACATACAGAGATACAAATAAATATGCCGTGTGTGTGTGCGGTGGTGGTGGATGGATGGAGCGGAGGCGGCTCTTGCTCGCTCTCACATGCGCCGAGGACATGCAGCGGCGGAGGGCAAATGAAATGGCAAATAACTTTACTCGAGGATACGAACTAACAAAATGAAATGTTTCGCAACACAAACATTTACAAAACCCTAACAACAATACCCTGAGGCGTTCGAATGCTATTATTTAATATAATAATGTTTATACCGAGCATCCTTTTGTTATTTTTCAATTTATCCACGGGGCGTGTGCGGGCGCACAAAAACTTGAATAAATATTTGCCCGTACACATGCACGCGCCGACCTGTTTCGCTCTTCCTCGTGCTCCACGGAATTTACAATTTAATTGGGCGCCGCTTTTTCCACCCAAATCAAGAGGAAAAACTGTTGCGCGCCACGAATTTGCAACACGCTCGGCTGGTCCTCGGACCGACTGAGCAAACAATAAGTAGTGCCATTATTATTCCGTGTCCTGGGATTTCTCCTTATTTGTCAACCGCACCGCTCCGAGTTATATTTGCATTGGCGTATCAAAATTGACTGAATATTTACCAAAGTTGGCGCCGCGCACACAACTTGCAATCACGCCGGGCCGAGCAAACAAAGAGCTCCGAGCTCGCAGCTTTCCGCGAGATTTCCATTCATTATTTATTAATGACGCCTCCGCACAGCGGAAGGAGGAGAGAGAGGGAGAGAGAACGGCCAGCAACGGCGCCTCCATCATCATTACGAGAGAGAGAAAACTCCAGTGAAGAAGAAGAAGAAGCCCAATTTCATGAAGTGAAGAAAAAGAGGGGAAATGCGGACGAAAGCAGCACATGGGAAATTCGAGCGCTAATTGAAGATTTATTAATAAAAAAAAAAGAGAAAAAGAAGAGTGGTACGGGTGTTTTGCAGCAGGGGTCGGTTCGGTCGGTAAGCAGGGCTGCCGGGATAAGGCCGCCGCCGCCGCACATTAATACGTACACCCCCTTATCTGCAATAAGGGCATGCGCGGCCTACATGTGCTGAGCTGAAGGGTGGCTCACAACAGCAGCAACTAGTCAGTCTGCTCGGAGATCGGCTGTTGTGCACGAGCTGTAGAGTAGACGCTGCTTAGGATCGGGAGAGAGTGGCTGGCTTTTGCAGCTCCGACTCCAGCTGCTCCCTCCGTGGCGGCCGCGCGCGCGTGTGTCTTTAATTTTTCTCAGCCCCGAAGCGCGAATGTCGCTTCTTTGTTGTTGAAGTTGCGTTCGGGTGGTGCGGAGAGCGAGCGAGCGAGTCCAATTCAGTCGCGGCAGTCGTGTTGATCAACCAACACGGCTCCCTTCGTCTGCAAAGTGTATCACCAAGTGAGCCCAGCCGCAGCAGCCAGTTTGCCCGCCAACCTCATCCAACCGCCGTTCCAGCACTTCTTCCAGCAGCAGCAACAACAACCACCGCCGGCCCCGCGCTCCAACGGCCACAGGATGCTCGCCACCATGTCCACCCTGATGCTGCCGACCATGACGGCCACCCTGACGGCGGCCAACAACGGCCCGCCGGTGGCCGTGGCCGCGCCGCCCGCACTCGCCGCCCAGCAGCCACCCAAACAGGCCCTCCAGCAGGCCGACAAACTCATCATGGCCGCCGTCAACCACAATTCCTCAATGGCCAACAAAACTGGTATATAAAATTTTAAATTCAAAATTGAAAATTAATTCAAAATCAAAGAGCCGATCAGAATTGCTTTTTGTGAAATACTGTGAAAAAAATTTATTGTTACCCAGAAATAAACACTTTCCTGATATTCTAATTCTAAAAGAAATATTTAAATGTTTACTTTTTTATTGACATTTTTATTTGGACTCTATCCCATTTATTTACTTCAGTTCTGTCGCTATCAATACAAAAGTGAATTAAAATTCTGAATTAAATGGGAAAACAGAGAATTAATTTAAATTTGTTTAAAAAAGTACACATCAATTTAAATTGTATTAAATATGAAATTAAATCAATTTTATTTGTTAAATTCATCTATCCATTTCATATATATTCAAAAAATAAACAATACCCTTTTTGAGAACAATTGAAAATATTGAAAATATCAATTTTGAATATCAATCAATTTTAAAATTGAATTATTGAAGTAATTTGCAGATTTTGGATGAATTTTCAAAATTAATTACATTTCAAATCAACATCACAATTGAAATAAAAATTTTAATATTTGAAATTCCCTCTCCGGTCCTTGGTGCGCATGTCTGCCGCATTCTGTTTTCGGCCAAAATTAAAAGTATTTCTGCCACCGAGGGAAAAAACGCTGCTTAATTTGCCGCAGCAGCACACGGCCGGCCATAAAGAGCTCCGGCTAGGGAAACTTTTTGCACGCGCGCGCGTGTGTTGTATTTTTTCGCGCAGCGGCAGCTGGGGGAAAAAGTAGCGCTTACTTTATTAGGTATTAATTAATGGCCCACCGCTGGCCTGCCAGAGTAAATGAAAGGGAAATTCGTGCAGTCGAAGGAAAAAATTAGACACATATCGGGGGTTGGTGGTTAATTAGAGCAAACATCGCGGCGAGGCGACCCGCACCAGCCAACGAAAACATACACGTCGCTATCCCCAAAGTTGATTTCGGGTGTATTATTCTTGGAGTTTTGCGCCCGTTGTTTTTCTTTCGTACTAGTGGCGATGACCATCCCATCGCTCCAAGGGATGGAACCAGTAACTTGCAAGCTGGGGGGATTCGAAATTGGACTCGAGTGTTTTCTTATTGTATCTTTAAGAAAACAGAAGGAGGGGCTTATATCGTTGAAAAAGGTGTATTAATCTTTGAATCTGAACTTTTTAAATTTCTTTCCTATCAAATTAATGCTTTTGTAGCTTTTATTAAATTTAATATTTTTATTTGTAAAATTATTTACATATTTAATTCATTGAATTATTATTCATATTCTTAGAAAATTGATGTAGAATTAAATTTTCTTGAAGAGAAAACATTTATTTCACAAAATTTGTGATAAAATAATAACAGTCAAAGCAAATTCCCGTGACACATTTATCGTCAGGGATCCTTTGTCCTATGGCAGCAGTTTAAGGCTTGACAATTTCGCGTTCAGCGAATTTTATTGGCAAATTTTCGCAGGCCGCCCATGCTTTCTCTAGCGGGACGTAAAAATTCGCAGTTGGTACTCGATCCGGCAACTCCGCCGCCACTGGCATTTACATTTGAAATAAAATTTTTATTATAAAAGGAAAGCTATAATCTATCCAGTTTTTATGTACACAGGACGTCGGCATAAAACGAATGCAGGTGAGCCGCGCGGCAGCCCGCCTGACGCTGCAGCTGCTCCTCCTTCGGCTCGCTCTTCTTTCACAGCAACTGCTGCACACTTTTATTTCTTGTTTATATTGTGTGTGCTCGGAGCTCGCATCAGAGACCTTGAGAACCAACCACTCGGCTATTATTATTGCCATTATTTTTCACCGGGAAATTGGCAGACAGACCGGATTTGCATATTGGCGCAGCGGCTGCATCTATCTCTTCGCTCACGGTCCATATTATTTCCGCGTGTAATTATCACCGAGCGGCGCGTTAATTCGGCCTCCGCTTAATTGGCAAAGGAACGATCGAAACGGGCTTTAATTAAATATGCACGCGCCCCGTCCAGATGCTGTGCGATAATATTATTCCACCAACTTGATGCGGACTACTTTATTATTATTACACACACATTCGTGTTGTTTAGTAGTGCATATAGAAGCACACACCGTCCCACTTTATTTATGGCGGGATCTGTACACGTACCCCACCAGCCTGCGCGCTACATTATAATGCTCTCTCTCTCTCTTTCTCTCTCAGATGTTCCAGACTTAAAAGGGGATGGTTTGTTGCTAAATTATAAATTATTGTCCGGCTGAATATCTTTGTGGCCGTTGCGTGTGTGTGTGTGTGTTTTCATATGCAAAAATAAAAGGGGTGAAAATGTAACGGGGCTGCAGCTCGCCACGATTTGGCCGGGATTCGCTCACTCTGCCTGGCTCTTTTTGGCAAAGTTTCGCGCACAATTATTATGCCTGTCAACACGAAAGCGTGTAATGAGGATTCAATGTTTCGCCACAATAATAATGCGCCGACGGAAAAATCTGCACGCGCTTTTTCCACTCGAGCCGCGAGCGAGGCCAAGAGTTTTGAATTACGTCGCGTCGAATTGGCAAATGCACCCGGCTGCGATTTATGTGTGTGGCCTTTTTTGTGACGCGCAAATGCCGTGGACCGAGGCATAATTCATCCCTGGGCTGGCGGATAATTTAGTTGCTCGTTGTAAAGAATTGCTTTGCTTCGAGAGCAGTTTTTAAAAAAAGAAGAAGAACAGGCGGTCTTTATTCCATTGCTGTGATGGAAGGGTTTTTGTTGCTGGATACAAATCTACGTGCAGATTATGCTAATTTAAAAAACTGAATCCACTTTTATTTCAAAATGACGAGCATTCAGAAAAATTCGATTTCGCCTTCAGTTTGCATTTGCAATCAAAGAAACGGATTTTATGATTTCTTTTCAAAAGTTATGCAAGCTCAATAATAAAAAATTTAATGAAAAATCATTTAAATTCTTCTGATGAACATGCAATTGTTTTTAAAATAGACTTGAAGTTTGATATGAATTCAGAAACAGCAAGAAAACCAAATGCTTGAATAAAAAATAAAAAAAATGCTTGGTTAAAATGTCAAAATCTTCAACTTCTAATTTGAAATCTCAATTTTTGAATGCTTTATAAAAATTTCAGCCATCAAAACATTAATTTTTCATTTTAAACTTCAAAATCAGTACAAACGGCAACACCCTAAATTTAATATAATCTTGAGCTTTAGATGTGGAAGAAATAATTTTTTAATCATTTTAATCTGGCTTTAAAAAAAATCTAATTATGAGTTCAAATTTGAACATTTTAATTTGTTTTCTAAGCATTTTTACTCGCTCAGTTTCTGACTCCACGTTGAATTTCTTTTGGAAAACTGGGATACAAACAACACGCAAACGCTAAAAAATATATATAAAAAAAACAAACACTAAAAAAATGAACTAGACTTTAAAAAAAAAAAAATCATTTCGGATATGTATTTGCCGAGGGAACTTGCAACGTTTTTGTATTCATACATTAATTTAATTTATTTTCCATTTATATGGAAGAAAAGTAGGGCGCAATATTAAAAACTTCGCTCTCGCACACATAGTTTTTATCCCATTTCGTGGAATCTGTTTATGAAGTCACGGGCAAGATTTAATATAAACTCCATTTGCAGCAGCACGCTGAGCCTCGCAAATGCATCTCGCAGGGAAACCGTCGAACGTAAAAAGGTTCGCTATAAGTGCAATCAAATGCAGAAAGCAATTTTTCCCGTCCCCGGTGGGCTTTTGTGTAAAACGAATGCGCCAATGTGCTTAATGCTCGAATCGTTCTCGCGCACACAATGTATAAATTTCAGGACGCAGCGATGCAGAAGTTGCAAAGTGCAATGATAAATCGCTGCAGCCACACGCGAGAGAGGTGATTTAAAAGTTCAGCCAAGCCAGAGGTCGGCGCAGCTGCTTGTAAAGCGATCATTGATTAATTAAGAGCAAAGTGGCGCAGAAGAAGTGAAGGAAATAACAAAACAAAAATCGCAACAATGCAGCGAAAAAGTCGTGATTTAATTAGGGCCTTTGTACACAATCACGTGCGGCGAGAGAGGGTTAAACGCTGAAGCGCGGGGTTGATTATTTGATTCACCGCTCCCAGGGATCAATTCCAATCAATGGCTGTAATTAAAATTGCGCCCTGTTTATTAATTAGTGCATGGCCTGCGGAAAGAGAATCTCGGCAAAAACATGCAAAACGGCTCTTAATTAATGAAGTGAACGCACAGAGAGAAATGGAAACAACGGCATATTTGTTTTCATCCATCGAGGGTTGCAATCGCAGGATACATAAATATGTAATTAGCGAGGCTAATCAGTCGGTCCGAAAGGAAAGCTAATGAAGTTTTCCATCAAGTGGTTCGAGGTGGAAAAAAATTTCCCCTCGTTTTAATTAGGTGCGAAGGAAATAGAAAAATGCCCCATTAAGCTGCATCGAGGCGCGCATAATAGCGGCGAGTGAGTGAAAGAGTGGGTAAGGTTCCAACAAGCCGTCTGTTACGCGCCTCTTGCCGCCGCCGCCGCCGCCGCGCACAAAAGCAACAAATGGAAAATGATGATGTATAGCAAGAGCGGAGCGAGCGAGCGCGCGTGGCGAGAGAGCGAGCGAGGTGGAGAGGAAAGAATTTTTACCTGATGCATTTTATATTCGCGCACGCCACACCAGAAACCAACTTTTAAAGCCGCCACTTTTACGACACTTTTATTTCATTCTCGCCGTTTTTAATGCGCACCGCTCTATTTAGGATTTGTGTGAATGCTCTTCGCCCAATTCTTTTCGTATCACCGCGAAAAGAGGGCTTTGAATGGGAGATGAGACTTGTTGGTAAAAACAAAAATCGTTATTTTAAAATGGAATGGAAAAAAGTTGTATAAACTACAACCAGCAATTCTTTTTAGAGGATTTAAACATTTCAGGATTTCTGATTTAGAACATTCAGTATTTTAATGGTGATTTTAGTAAATTGTCAAAAATAATTTAATTCCAGGTAAAAATTATTAAATTATTATTTTGACGAGTTTTGTTGTGATGTATTCTATCCTAAACAGACTATTTAAAAGAAAAATTGTAATCCATACTTCATATTTTTTAATGGATTGCATAGTTTCGCACCTGAAATAAAACCAATTTCACTAAAAACTCTATTAAATTTTTATAATGATAATTTACAATTATTTCTATAATCTTGCTGTCGACAGCAAATAATTTAATCCGAGTTTTTTCAGTTTATCAGTTTAATTTTTTCCTTTCGTTCTCAATTTAAAAAAGTACTTCTTACTGGCATAGTCAAATTAAGTCTTTACAACAATAAGAGTAATTTATTTGCAATTATCGGAAACAACATTGTAAATTTTTTAACCGCAATTGTTTTAAATATTTTATTGTCAATAAGTTCTTAATGTGGTGAATTAAATTTATGAAATTTTCAAATTTCCTTTTCCAGCTCTAAATCACTCTAAATAAATAATGATTCCAAAGTTTTTGATCGGTAATTGAAAGAAAATCACTTAAGATGTGAAAAAATAAAGCTTATTTTTTGTTAATTGATGTGGTTATAAACAACAATAAAAAAATAAAGAGATAATTTTGAAGTTTTTTTCAGCTTTTTGGCCTTTTTTGCAATTGACAAAGATTTAAATTGAACATTGCTGTAAAAGTTAGGATGAAATCATGCAGTTTAGCTTATTAAATTAAGTCTATACTTATTTTCAGTTATGAATATTACAATCTCCATGCAGCCCGATCATTTGCAACAATATAAATAAATAACACAAGTTGACATTTTAACAATTACCAAAATATTATAAGATAAAACTTGACTGTTTAATTATCGCTAAAAACTAGGTGACTCGAAAAAGCGAATCCTCAAAGGATTAAATATAAAATATAATATTTATTTTCCAACGTATTTTAAAGTATGAAATATTTGAATTATTTTAAAATTTACATTATTCTCCATCAATTTTTATTAACAAAATGCCGTTTCTAATTATTGTATCATATCAGCTTATAAATTCTTCACCTTTCTTCTTTCTTCTAAAATCTTGTACATTTTTGTCAAATGAACTTATCTAAAAAATGATTTGTGTGTTTCAGAACATTACCACATATTCGTTGGAGACTTGAGTCCAGAAATTGAAACCCAAACACTTAGAGAAGCTTTTGCACCTTTTGGAGAAATATCGTAAGTAAACATCCCTAATTACTGAGCTCCCCCCTATGTACGTACTTTGGCCGTGCCTCTAAATGTTCCTGTGGCCGTTTGAAGTTGAAAAAGCGGCAGCGGAGAGGGAAATCGCGACATTTTCCGCTCGTTAACTCGACCGAAACTTTTCCTCTTGGCTGCCGGTGATTTGGTAATTAAATACATTTTTGCTCGCGCGCGCGCGCGCTTCTTTTGAGTGAAGTTTGTTTGCATATAATTAATAAGCATGCAATGAGGCATATTTCTGGCGCGACGTGTCGCTAATTAAAAGTTGCCGGCGGCGCTGTTGATTTTCCTGCAGAATTAATTCGCTGGGCCGCGCGCACCTGTGCGTGCCCTTTGGCGCGGTGATGGGAAAAGCGGCGGCCAAAAGCAGCCGTTGCTGCTCTATTGATACTGCCGTGATTTATGGCTGCCGCCGCTTTTGCTCTAATTTCCCTTGACAATTACACAAAAGAAAACTTAAGTTTTCATTAGCACGCTCACTCTCTCACTCTAGGAAGAGAAGTCTCTTGATTATTTCGCCTCCACTCCATCTTGGCCCTTTTCCCACTCGTCTTGTGCTGACACTTGTCCATTTGTTTGTTGCAGAGACTGCCGTGTAGTCAGAGATCCTCAAACTTTAAAATCAAAAGGATATGGCTTTGTTTCCTTTGTTAAAAAAGCGGTGAGTACCAACATTTTTTCATGCTAACATACATTTTCTCTTTTTGCGCTCCATTTGAACAGATTTTTCCTTCTCTTGTTTCAAAAAAATTCTGAGAACTCGGTTTCTGCTGGGTTGAAAAAGAACGACCAACGTTCTATTTCAAGTTTTTCTCTTTCGACAAGGAGAAAAATCAACAATGTTTTGTCTGAGACTTATTAATATGACTTACAACAACTTCAACGGGTTGTTATAAATGTTCCTTGCCTGGTTATTTTTCTGTTTCTGAGAAATTTTATTGGTTCAATTTAGACCCTAACAGAAGAATGACTAACTTAATTACAATGCAAAAAATAGCGTAAATTTTTAATGAAGAAGAATAATTAATATTATAATTTGTGAGTATACTTGGCCTGAGAAGTCATTAAAATTTTTTCCTTGTTCAATGGTAGCATCTGGAGTATGAAATTAATAATAAAGGTTACAAAATAAAATTCTCAGATAATAATTAAATGATAACACAGGTCTCTAGTGAGAATTTTAAGTTATGCTTATTATAGTTAAGTCGGTTGAATTTTTGATATTGAGCATTTTTTTTCAACATCTATAATTTAAAAAGAAGAATATTACGTAACATTGAAGTACAATAAATAATGATAAATAGGATAACTAAAAAGTAAACATTGCTGGTACAATAATGATTAGAAGTTAATAATTACATAATAAGTAAAAATCTTTGAAAGAGGTTTTTAGTGGTTTTACTGAAACTGTGCGAGAAAACCTTGGCTTTAAAGAATGGAATATAAACCAAAATTTTGACTAAATTAGTACTTGTGACTAATCGCCTTGACGTGGAATTACGTTCCGAGACGCGAGATATTTGAGACAAAACAGGTGTAAAAAAGTTAGAAAATCAAATATCTCGCTTCTCGGAACGTAATTCCACGTCAATGTGATTAGTCACAAGTACTAATTTAATTATTTCTCGTTTTGAGTGGTTTCTTTGGGTTTTAAGTTCTTAAAATTATGATCTTTAATTGAGATGTTAATTTTTAAAATCTCTCAAAAATTAATATTTTAGAGTCAAAAAAGATCAAAAATTCCATTAAAATCTGGAAAATTGGGGTAAATAGAGCAACATACTAATTAGAACAGAAAAACACACGAACAACTATTTGAAGGTTGTTAATTTGTTAGTGTGAGTATGTATTTTTTTAGTAAATTTTAGCGGAATTAATAAAAAGTTTGCATTTTATAATTTTCTTTGCCTCTTTAGCTTCTTATTTTAAATTTTGTCTGGAATTTCGATGTTAATCAAATTATCGAATGCAGAATTTGAAATGAAAAAGACATATATTCTTCAGATATCCATGTACGGCGTAACATAACGTCAAAACTTGAATTTGTTTGTGAGAAAGTTCTTCAGGACGAAGAAAAGAGATTTCATTATCATCGTACTATTGTAAAACTATTACGGTGTTTAATAAATTCTTTATTCAATCAGATTAAATAATGGAAAAAGCCAAATAAGAGTAAAGATTCTTCTTACTAAATTGCGAAAAATATAACCAAAGATTTACATTTGAAGAATTTAGTGAATTTTCCCTAAAAGGCGCCTTTGACCGTCTGGATATATTCGTATGATAAAAAACGTTTTCCCTTTCAAAGACAGAAAGAGGGTCGGAATCCATTTCTGGAATTTATTTCTCCGCCTTCGCCCGTCGCAGTGCAGAAAAAGCGACCGACAAATCTCTGTTTGCGGATCGATATTGATAGTTTTTCGATTCAAAGCAAAGTCCAATTAAATCGGAGGGGACGACGCGGAAGAAACGGTCTATCGGAAGAAATGGCCCGTGTGTGTAAGTAATGCGTGGCGACTTCAAACAGCTGCGTTTGATCTTTGGCTCGGTGTCTGTGTGACACAAAGTACTGCAGTCTCGGTCGGTCGGTGGGTCGGTCGCTTTTGACTTTTGGCCACAGCGATTCCTGACCCTGCTTTCTCCCTGCTCAGGCCTCCTTTAATCGATACAATACCAGCCAAGCCACCCCATACGCGGACGACTCGGTGGAAAATGCGGAACAAAATTCCTTTCTGCGCCACCAACAGGGCTGGTTGTTAATTCAGCACGCAACAATGTGTGTCCGAAAACGAAACGGCCGGCCCGGGAAATAAATAAAGCGCGAGATAACTTCATCTAATATGCGCGCGCGGGCGGTTTTTTTTCTCTCTACGTATTATTCTATTAAAGAGCTAAACAGTTTTTTATTGGTGTCATGCGTCACCCCCGGCCAGTCCGGCAGCTTTTTTATTTAGAATACAGAGATGCCACTGATATGCACCCCTGAACGGAATATTAATTCGCGCGCAGGCCGGCCTCGCCGGGAATGAGAAAAGTGGTGCGGCGCTGCTTTGCCTTTCCGGCTGATGCCTGTTATTAGATTAGCACTTTTATGTTGCCAAGTGAAATTTCCCCGTTTTTACGACACGAGATCAAAACTTCTTGTTACGGCTCGCCCGCCTCTCTTTTTCTTCTTCCTCTTTTCGGCCAAATTAAGATATGGGCCTGCATCTTTCTTTTGTCTCGGCGCAAAATCTTCAATTTGCGATTCCGCCGCCATCTAGATTCCCTGCTTTTTACGGCGGTGCCCAAAACGAGCCCCGGTCGCAGCCATGATTTTTAGTGGCGCGGCCAGATACGATCGAGATTTGTGCCCAAGATGGACTCTCGGCATGCAACGATATTGTGTGTATTAAATGTGCGCTCGAAACAAGCTAATTGCTCTTTTTAATTCTGCAATTGAAATTAAACGGGACGTTTAAATGGTTGAGCTTTGATCCCATCTCACGTCAATTAAAATTTTAACCCTTTTTATTCTTCATTAATTGCATAAAAATAAAAATCAGTAAATTCTCTTTTGTTACCAATTTTGATCCGATATATTTTGATCAAAACAGAATTTCAGAGCACTAAAATTTCCAAGTAAATCTAATTTCAAAACTTGTCTTTTACGAGAAGAAAGTACCCTAAGTTGCAACAAATTGAAACCCAACCCCCGAATCGACTCCTAATTGAATTTCAAGCATCCCCCAAATTGCCGCAGGCCCGAGTGTATATCGGCGCAGCTGACTCTTGATCGACGAGGCAAAAAGTTTCTTCCCCGGTCTCTCACTCTAAAAAAATGAGCGCACAAAAAATCCTAGACTCCCACTTTCACCCTCTTAGTTCGATACACTATTCCGAACGAAATTTATCTCATAGCCAATAATCTGCTCGCCTCTCTCGTCTCTTTGCTCTGATGCGAAACTTTTTGCCCCTGTTCAAAATATATCTATATAAACTTGTCCGCAGCCAACGCCGGCAACAAGATGAAATCTTATTTTTCCCCGCTGCTTTGCCGCAACACACAAAAGCGAGCCGTGCTGTTGTCGACAAAGTAAGTAGCGCACTTTCTCGGGGCGAGGCACGCCATGTTTGGCAAAAGTTGCCGCCTGTTGGGTCACGTCTCAATTATTTAAGCCGCGCATTTAGCTCCCCTAATCATTAATTATGTGCAGAGAGCTCTGCTGAAGAAAATCCTCGGCGAGCAACAAAACGCGAGAAAACTCTTCCCTCGCACTCTCTCCCACACGTGCTATTTTATTTGATATAAAAATGCATCGATCGCTGTGCAATTCCCAGCCGACGTTTTTGCCACTGCGGTGAAATTAGGAAAAGAAGGGCCCGGCGACTTTTTAACCCGCGCAAGATTCATTGCCGTGAAGTCAGAAATTAACTTTCGCGCGGCAGCCAGGGAAATTCTCCTAGAGAGGAGGGACAAACGGGAGCCGCTGTTTTTCTTTTTCGAAATTTCGAGCAGACGTACGCGCCTTTGGGAATGAGGATTTATGGCTTTTCCCACACTTAAGGAAGTAGTGCTGGCCGAGAAAAGCTGCGCGGTTTCACGAAGAGATGACTCGGCAGCCGCCCAGCATCATTCCTTGTTCTTCCTCCATTTTTTCATCTTTTTTTTTTATAAATACGTCTGAAATTTATTGCACTTGCCTTTATGAAAGCTAGTAAAGAACTAATTTGACATTATTTCTTCCGAAAATTCGTTTAGACCTTCAGTAAAATACAATGTTAGAAATTATTTTACTGCTTACGGTCCTTTTTTGGGGATTAGTTCGACAGGGGTGCTACCGTTTTCTTCACTTTTTGTATTATTTACTTCATTTGGAAGTACAGATAAACAATAACATTATAAAATTTTAACTTTCAAGTAAAATAATATCAAAAATTAATTATTAGTGTTATTTCCAATTTCCCTCATAAATTTTTTTACAAATTTAATTAGATCAGTGTGCAAATTTTAGTGGCATTTGTTAGTTTTTTTTAGATATCTGCAGCCAAAGTTGAAATAAAAATGGTTTTTTCGCCCTATTTAAGATCGTAAAATTTTAATTACCTCCAATTTTGCTGAATTATGAACAATTTTTTGCGAAATTCTAAATTTATGTAGAGTACCAATCAAATTAGAGCAATTGCTAAGGTCAGAGTCAGGGATGAGGTCCACCCCCTCCCCCGGGGGTGGGGTTTAGGGTAAATCTAAAATTGGAAAATATTTGGGAATTGGATGTCGTTTCCTCCATGAACTTGAATCTGAAGTTAATTTATGCTTAATTTTGTAGCTTTAATTTAACAAATTATAATCGCAGTTAAATTTTCATTCAATTGCAATTATAACTAAATCAAATAATTATAAACAAAAAAATACCTTGAAATAAAAATTGTCAAAATTCGTTTGATCAAAAAAATTTTTTGTTATAAAATTTGAAGCAATTTAAGCTCTAGAAAAATCGATCGTCTGCAAAAAGCCCAGGGGGCTGAGCTTCTCATAAGCAAACCAAACAAATTGCGTTATTTGCGGAGCGCAAGGAAAAATCTGTTCAAAATTGCCAGCGCGCTTTTCTCTTGCTCGCCCAAAGTCTATAAAGTGTGCGGCACCCTCCTCTGTTCAGAGGGTGTTTACTCACACCGGTCTCCCCTGCTTGAAAGTGATTATCTTGTGTGTGTGCCTTCTTGATTCCCTGCCTTCGTCGCCTGTGACCAACAAGTATACCAATTCAAGTTTGTTTCTTCCGCAGGAGGCCGAAAGCGCGATCACTGCGATGAATGGCCAGTGGCTGGGCAGCAGATCCATTAGAACCAACTGGGCCACGCGCAAACCACCAGCCCCCAAGATCGAAGGTCAGTTTGACTGTAAGAACTCAACACTTTCTTTATTTATTTTTCGTATTTTTGCCTCTTTTCCCACACGTCTCGATGTTTTATTCTCTCTCTCTCTCTGTCCATTAGGAAATATTTTTCCGGAATGCCTCCTTTTGTATATCTAAATCTCTCACCCCGTTTCTCTCCTCTTTGATATAATATTTATAGATAGCTAGCAAAAAATAATCCATTCTGAACGAGAGAGCAGTTCACGGAAATATTTCACTTCCTCTGCAGTATTTCGCTGCTGTCACTGTGTTGCATGTTTGTTTCAACTTCTTCTTCTCTCTCTCCAACTCCTCCTACTCCTCCGCAGAAGCAGCTATATGTATAGATTTACATTCGTTCACACTCGGTTGAACCGGGGCGCTGCTTTTCTTTTTTATTTCTTCCTTTCCGCCGAGTTAAAATAAAGAATGAGAGAGGAGAACGTGTCATCCTCTGTGGGCCGCAAGTACGAACGAAAGGGTTGACCGCAAAATTTGTTTCTTTCCTCCTCGGCGCTCTTTTCTCTCTCTTTCTTCCTTCTTTCTCTGCTCCCATATCTTTCTCTCTTTCTTGGCTCGGCTTTGCTTGCCGGCCAAGTCGCGGGATCGATTGTTTGTTTTGTGTGAAAGACGCCGCAAACACGCGTCACTCACTCACTCACCACCCGGCCGGCTCTTGGTTGATGCAAAACTCCCGATTGCGCGCGCGATTTTCAGCTGACGACGACGGCAGCTTGCTTTTATGCGCGGAAAGCGATTCCACTCATGACTGCAGAGATGAGTGCGAATTTCGCAAACATTTGCAGCTTCGACACTCTCCACCGATATATTGAGGCAAAACGCCACCAATTTTGAGCGAAATTTGAATTATTTGAAATTATAGTAATCAATTTTTTTAAGGACTGTTGTTTGTTTTCCTTCAACAAATATGATAATTATTATGTTAAATAATTTACATCTGAATCAACAATTTGCATATTGAAATTATTTATTTAATTAAATGATTAAAATCCTATTATATTAATTGTGAATATGTAAAAAAATATTTGTTGTTGTTCCACTCTTTTTTTTTTGTATTGTTTCGTAAAAATGTCCTTAAAACAATTTCTGTTAGCTTCGCTGTTTTTCCAAACTCTTCTTTGGAAACAATTTATTGCAACAAAAAAGTAATCCCGACGAAACAAAACGCAGTCCCTTTTTTCCAATTCGGGGACACAAACAGAAATTCTCTGCATTTGGAAACTCATTTCCATTTTAATTCACGATATTAGTGCAAAGTCGTGCGAAAAGCATTCCCAGCTGGTGCGGCGGCGGCGGCGGGTGCGCCCCAACGCGGCTGCAAAGGGGCGGATTTGCATGGGCACAACACAAAAGAGAGCGCGCGCCGCAACGCACTCACTCATCCATCGCGTAACTGTTATTATGAACAAACGAACGCTTTTGCGGGTGCCGCTGAATTGAATTTCCCATCTCCGCCGGGCGACGGCAACGGCAACGGCGGCGGGTGTTGATTGAGCGGGCCAAATTCTGTTATTCCAGACGACACCACTGCGACAGGAACCACCCTTGCCGTGGCCCCAGAAAGAAAACGGGAAATTTTCAAAACCACATTGCTGATTGTTGTTTTAAATTGTATAATAACGTCCTTTCTAAAAAAAATTATCTATAATTTTGAATATATTTTTGGCCTGAATAAATTTCCCACTTATTTTTGTGGCTTTTTTGTTATTCAAAACTTTTAAGGCCTAATTTTGTATGGCAAAAATCTAAACGACATATTATGCTCAATAATAATGTAAATTAACTAACCCATTAAAGAACAAGAATTGTGTTACAATTCGGTTCGGTTAATTATGGATGGGCGAAAAATAGATTGGGCCTGAATGAGGCTCTTATTCCAGAGTAAATAATGCATGGGTCTTAAGTAGATTTTGGGGGTCGCGGGCGGGATCTTGGTGGGAATGATTGAAGGTGCATGATGCCGGAGCAGTCGTTCAATCTCCAAGTGAAAGTGGTTCGATTAAATTTGCCGGTTTTCTGCGCCCGAAAGGCTTTCTCGATCCATCGGCTCGAGAGCGGCGGCGCTGCACAAAGCTTTGCGTCAATTTTCCGACCGAGCAATTCCGACCTTTGACAATTTCCCGCGCGCCACGCTCTGGATATATGACATGAATTTCCTAGAAGAGCTTACTTTCGGATTGAATAATGACTACTAATAACTTCGGAAACGGCCCTTTTGAGCGCGCGCCCAAATTCCGTGACTCGAGGCGTCAATGAAATTGCATTTTCAAGATAAGAGGGAAAATTATTTGGCAATTCTTAAAGCTTGCCAAGTTTGATTTCGATTTTTTTTCAAATGGGACCACTGATATTAAAAAATCCTTTTCATTTGAAAGAAAGACTTAATTGGATGTTAAATTAATTAACTGCACAATTGGTGATATTTCTTTTTTTTAGTGCGTGAATTGAAATTTGAATTGAATTTCAGAAGAAAGTTAAAATTTAAAAAATTATGGAAATCAAATTTTTGTTTCTAGAAAATACGATCCATTAAACGCATTGTAAGAAATATTTTAAGAATAAAAATTGTAAAATACAAAAATTATAACAGGATTTTTTTTTCAGTCTCCACTCAAATAGTTGAGTGTTTTTCCAAAAATGACATGTGTTTAATCAAATTTCAAAAGAATAATAAAAGCTATATTTTCATGATGAAATTAAAAAACTTTGATGATTTAATTTAATTATCTATTCAAGCATCTTTGTTTCCTCAATTTAGTAAATAATTTAATATCAGTTTTTCTTATTTCTGCAATGTTTTTTTTTGCAGTTTGATAATATTATTCACTCAAATTTCGGCTTGTTCTCGGTTCCTAGATTGGTGCAGGACAAATTTAATGAAATTCCGAGGGAAGGAAGGTTCGTTTAGAGCTTTTGGCCAGACCAAATTAAATTTTGAGCGGGTGGCGGTGCCGGAAGTGTGATTATTTGGTTGCGAAACGAGCCGACTGCGGAACCATTTGACGCGTTGCCGCCGATTCATCTGGCCTTTGTCGGAACGAAAGCTTTGAACGTGTTCCGGCGCCGCTTCACTAGTTGCTCCCTCTTCGATCTATTCGCACCTTGCTGCATTACTACACACAGGTGCAGATGTAATCTGGCGGCGGCACCGGCAGAATTATTCCGGCCCTCGCTCGCAGGGTTGTTGTTCGCGCTCCTTGCTCCGACAATGGGCCCCAATCGTGCAGTGCAGATGCCAAAAATCGATCACAATCAGCACTTTCTTCTTGCGACGGCCGCAGAATTAGCCATAAACACGCGGCGTCTCCGAATTGCCAAACAGCGCCTGCGATTTATCGGTGCGAATTTTTGCCAAGCCGCGCTTTTTCCTCATTCTTTAATAACTCGCGGCGCATTGATTTTTGCCTCCTTGCACGCACGCAGCTCCCGAAATATCATATTTGTGCGTGAGAGCCTCCGCCGACGGAAAACAATCTGGGAAATGCGTTCTCATTTCCAAATGAGACACAGACTCCCTTGCTGAATATTTCGAATTCCGATTCCGCGGGACGCGCCGATGCGTGTGACGCCGTTTCGCTTTCAGATTATATGAATGCCGGCGCGCCGCGATTTCGTCCCCTTTGACATCAAAGTTGGTTCCTGCTGCTTTTCAACTTCGGCATCAATTTTATGCATACACAAATATTCCGATTCTTTTGAAGTTTTTCTGCAAATACCGATACAAACTTCTTGGAATCGTCATCGATCCAGAAATGTTGAAAATGATGAATGAAGTAATATTTTGATCAAAAGTAAATACAAAGGGAATTTTAAATAATTACAATAATCCCAATTTTACTTAAATTATTTATTTCTAATTCTTCTAATAATTTAATAAAAAACTATATATTTTAATATTTTAAATACTCACAAGAATGATGGCTGCTTGCCTTTTATTTTCAAATATTGCAATCTTTTAGCTGATGATTTTTTTTTACTTTTTTAATTATTACTATTTTTTGTCTGTATTTACATTATGTAATGAAGATAGAAGTAACCCTGCCATTATTTAATCCAGGCCTGTTGTTTTGATTATTGAAATTTATATTTTCTGCAATTTTGTGCAACACTCATTTAAACAGGAATCGGTGTGCGTATGCAACTTGAATAATTTCATTATCGATTACGTTTAAACATTTATTCAAAAATTAGCTTCTTGAGCTTATGATACGTAAAGTTAAGCAAACCAATTATCACTATAAATCTTAGAAAATTGCAATTCTGCGTGCTTGATTTACCATTAATTTGCCTTTAATACTAGCCTAATTTAAGCATTATTAGGTAAAAATAATTTGATATTCGCAAACACAAATGTAAATTATATTATTTCCGCGTCTTTCCGCTCATTTTTCAAATTTTTAATTATTCACATTTATTCTTCGCGGTTGTAACAATTTTTAAATTGGAAAATGAGAAGGCAACTGTTGTAAAATTAATAGAATTAAATTAAAATCTTGGTAGCAACGAATTTTTTAGATACTCATTAGTGAAAAATAGGCTTTTTGCTGCTCAATGCCGTCAGGAAGTTGCCTATGTGCCAGGTATCTCATGAATTCAAGTTTTCCTTGTTTGAACTTGCTTCAAGTACGTCTAGCGCAGAAATAACTCTGGACTCTGTACTCAAGTCCATTGATTTGCAAGAAACAAAGGCGAACATTTCATATCGGAGAGCGAGTTGCAGTTCATTTATTCCGGTCGTCATCCATTTTGCGTCGCCGCTGGCTTTGTCAGGCCAAGAAGCTGAAAGAAGGCCAAATTGCATTAGCAGCTGATCTCTTTGAATTTAATATCCGTCGGCAGCAGCGGAATAAATTGACTCGATTATTTCCCGCTTCCATTTTTGCCTCCGCAGTAAAAATAGATTTTCGCATTCGAGAGAAAAAAGAAACTAAATTTCGCAAATGAGAGAATGATTAAGCGGGGATTTTGCATCAACCGCGAGCCGTTCGTCGGTGGTGGTCCGCCGGCTTTGGTCTGCCTGCGCGCAGTTTGACGATGGCCTCCCTCAAAGCGTGACAATTACTTGCAGCAAACAGTAAACCGCTGACGTTTGACGAAGTTTACAATCAGAGCAGTCCAACTAACTGCACCGTCTACTGCGGCGGCATCACCAACGGCCTCAGCGAGGAGATCATGCAGAAGACCTTCGCCGCCTTCGGCCAGATCCAGGAAATTAGGGTTTTTAAGGACAAGGGATACGCGTTCGTCAGGTATGTGAATTGTTCACTTTTTTTCCATTCCATTCGTGTTTGTGCTAAAAACCCTTTTCCCCATCAGCCCAAAACTGCACACAATTTATTTATTTGAAATCGCTAAATTGAAAGATATTTTTATCATTTTACTCTTGCATGATGTTTCATTTTAGAAATTGAATTTTTTCCAATTTTCTTCCTCGTCAATTTTATTCAAATCAATTTCTTTGACAATAATAATTTCGATTTTCATAATTCCATCCAAATTCCAAAATCCTAGGGAAGGCATTGAAATAAAGACATTTTAAATTCAAAGGTTTTAGTCACGCAAGAGTAAAACAAGTTCACCTTAAAAAAGTGACAGGGCGTCCCTCCGTCATTCGTTTCAAAATTTAATTAGAAACTTTTCGTCCCGCGGGCCTTCCCCTGGAATTTTCCCTGAAAAAATTTTTAACATTTCTGGACCCCGAGTTAATAAATCGCACTCGCCTCGGCGGCTACATCATTTTTTACTCAACGTGCGCAGGTTCTCGACCAAGGAATCTGCCACTCACGCCATCGTAGCCGTGCACAACACCGACATTAATGGACAGCCTGTCAAATGCTCGTGGGGCAAGGAGTCCGGCGATCCCAACAACACGCAAGCTGCCGGACAAGTAAGTGGCCCTCGTTGTTGTCGTTTGTCCCCCGCCTTTTTACTTCCGCCCTCCTCTTTTTTTTTCATTTTGGAAAATTCCTCTTTTGCCAGCCTCGGAGGGAATAAATTCGTAATCGTGACAAAGCCAGGGAGGGAAGGAGTGACGCACCCCATTTGGCAGTGAAATTAGTTGGGGTTCGTGCAGTTGCATCTCAAAACGGAGCAGCGTTTTCATGATGCATCGCCCTCTTCCGGGCTTTTATTTGTTTGTCCAAACTGACTTTTTGGCTCGCGTTCAGTTTTCTCTCAACCGTCCGCAGATTTTAATTGTAACGAAATTCATAAATTTAATGCATCTTAATTGATTGAAGTTCAATTTGAAGGCTCTGAAAATTAAAATTGATGCAACGTGAAAAAAAATTGAATTTTAATTATTTCCTCACTGCCAGATTTTTCGATAAAAGATAAGTTTTTTTCTAATTTTTAATTGAAATTAATTTTAAAATAAATAAATCAGGGATGCTGGCTCAGACCTAATCTTTGTAGTTAAGTAATTTTTTTATTAAATCTCATTTATTTTGCCAAATGTTTTTTTTTACGCTTACAGATTCTCAAAAAATTAAAATAATTACACTGCCCTTTTTAGTTTCCCACTTTTTTTTTCAAATAAAAACGATTCTTGCTGAGATTTGGTCCCGAGATTGAAAGTGAATTGATGGCATAAATTTGTGCGTTTGTTGGCGCAGCCTCTGACCGGCGGGGCGCAGTACCCTTACGCGTACGGCCAGCAGATGGGCTACTGGTACCCGCAGGGCTACCCGGCGACCGCGGCGCAGATCCAGGGCCAGTTCCTGCAGGGCATGCAGGGCTACACGGCGTACGGCACCCAGTTTGGCTACCAGCAGGCCGCGGCAGCACAGTACATGGGGTAGGTGTTTTACAGCATTGTGCTGACACTAATGCGCATGCCGGCTTGCAGTGTGCTTGTGTATAACTAACTTTGGGAACCCCACACTCATCAGCTTCAAACCGTCTCTTCCGCATCAAATTTCACACAATTATATAAAAAAAAATCAATTTGAAATTGCATAAAATTTAAAACCGCGTTCGGAAGGAAAAAATCGCCGTTTTGGCACCAAATCGAGCGGCGACAGGAAAAAAAATCGTTCTCCGGAGAGTAGGGGTGGGTGAGCGCGCGCACCATTCACGAGTCGATCGGGGGGCGCTGCTCGCGTTTTGACGCAGTGCTTTGCCATTTTTTACTCTCGCCTACTACTGCAGTAGCGGCGGCGGCGGCGCTGCTCGCTCACTTTGGTGAGAGTGCGAATGGAAATGAGAAAAGAACCAACCCCGTCGTCTTCTGCTTTTTCTTTTTACTCATCCATATTATTTTTATTTTTTTTTCACATTCGGGTCAAAGCGGCGGCGCAACTCAACAGTTGTTAGTTAGTTAAGTTGCACCGCTCGCGGCCGGTCACTTCAAAGCAGCGTTTTGCATCACTTTTTTTCCATTCGCTCGGCCGTCCCGCTCCTCATTAGCCGCTTTCATGTGCAGGTTAATTTTTAATCCGCGGTCGCGCTTAAATCGTAATTAACTACTTTGGAAATTAGTGGTGCGAGAGGTGAATTTATTTATTTTATCTCTTGGAAGCGAAACAAGTCGAGCGCGAAATTAGCTCGGGTGTATATCTGCTTCTGATTGGCCTGCCGATTTGAGTAGTTTTTAAATTAACCAGTGAATGGGCACACGTCAGCTTGATCCTCACAAAAAAAAAAAAAAAAAAAAAAAAAAAAAAAAACAGTTGCCCCTGTACTTTGACTAGTGGGGAAAAATACGCGAAATTCCTTTGTCCCTTGAGAATGAACGGGGTTGGTCGATCAAGCCAAACAATTTTTTTTTTTTTTAATAAATAATACTTATTACTTTTTCTACGTTTTTACCACCCTCAAATTTCAAATTTAGAGATCTAGGATTTAGTTTGATAAAACCTATAAAATATTAGTTTTTCCTTTGCGAATATCAGTTTTAATTATTTTGAGATTAAAATTTGTTTATTGTGGAAATAAAATACAATATCATTGATTTGATTTGACTGTCAAACAAATTCTGGGACTGCAAAATAAGAGGAGATTATTGAAAAAAAGAAATGTAATTGTTTTGCAAAAGCTTATCAAAATTCTAAACACAACTTGAATCTACAATCTTAAAAATGCACATCAAAAGTCCAATTGATTCTCCCTTTTTTTGTATTGATTAAAAATTTTCCTTATTACCTTATCTTCTTTTTTAATCCAAGAATTTCTGTGACTCTAAAGATTTATTTGAATCGTAGTTTATTTATCGTTGTTATTAGTATTTTTATTGAAATTAAGTGCGATATAAAAAACGAGGAAAACGGTGGGGTTTGATGCAGGGTGGGGGAAAAGCTGAAGAGTTTTGCTTGCAATGTGCAATGAGGATTGACTAACCAAGCGCAGATCTTCCCCTGCCAGGGTAGGCATGCAACTGCCAGCAGCTACAGGGTGGCAGGGTATGCCAGGGCAGCCCCAGATGCCAGCAGCTGCCGCAGCCGCCCAGCAGATGGCGGCCGCAGCCCAGGGTGCGGCGGCTATTCAGCAGCCGACAGGCATGATGACTTACCCTGCCATGCAGCAGTTCCAGGTACGGCGACCCTTTCAAAAAGCAAAAAAAAAAACACCCTCCCCAGGCCCGCCCCGCAGGAATGCATGCGTTTTCGTTTTTCATTTTTTGATTTGACAGCTCAGCAGTTTTTTACGTTTTTCTCGCTTCCGTTATTTTATCTCTCTTCCTCTTACTGGTATGCTTTGTTTTTTTCCATACTCATACTTTTCAACATTATATATTTGTGTTTGCAATTTTATTTTTATACCACAATCGATATCATATATACTCGAGAGGATCAAAAAGAGCCTCTGAGATTTTTTTTTTAAAGCGCACTTTACTTTTGTCATAAGATATAATCGTCAGGCTTTACCACTTTTTCATCTCTTTCTCTCTTTTTCTCTTTTTGATTTTTTTGAATATAATCCAACTCTCTCTCTCTCTCGCGTGCGTTGCGAATTAATCCGAAATGACGGAATTAAAAGAAAATAATAAAAAAAATCGGATCTGGCGCGCAATCGAGTAATCCGGCGAATGTGCTCTGTGTGTTGCAGCTCGCAGAAGAAGACTGGCTAGCTCCGAGTCTCCTGGTCTAAATCCGCCGGCCGCTCTTGTGTCACTCGACTCGGCGGACATCAGCAAAAGCGCCTATACACATTCTCTACTCTTCAGTTTCGGCTACCATTGGTCTAATCCCTGTGAAATTCTTGTCAATTGCAACGGTTGAAACTCACCGACTCACTCCGACGGACACGAAAATCCTTTGAAAAAATCCAACTCACACATTCACTGCTCCGATCAATTAGAAAACCAATCAGAAAGAATTCAGTAGAGAGCTGCATTTTATCGGAAATAAATTATAAATAGATTTAATATACTTACCGGAAAAAACCGACCCCCCGTAGGCTAACGTTCTAGCGAATCCAACTGCCCACTGGCTTCCGAAAAAGCTGCATTGCCAAAACAAATGAAAATCTTTCTCATTTTCCTTTTGAATTCCTTCGTTGTTCTTGATTTTCGCGGAGAGTAAAACGATGACACACACACACAACACACACTCACACACTAACTTTGATTATTATCTATTCCATGTACAAATATATAAAAATATGACGATGGTTATTGATTAACACTTAGATGAGGGTACATATTATTATCAAATTATCAAGCAAAGATGATGCGTAGCGTGTTAAACAGACAAACAAAAAACATGTATTGCCCCGGAATGCAGTGACTTGCAACACTTTCTTGCCCCCCACTTGGTTTATTTTGTTCTTTCCGAAAAATATTCGAAAAGGTGCGACCTCATGTGATTGCATTGTTTGGAGGTTCAAGATTTTCAGATGTGCGTACGTTAAGTATTATACTTATTCTTGCCTTTTTCGCTTGCAATAGAAACAAAAAAAAAGAAAACTTCAAGAGCCGAACTCGCTGGCTCACGTTGAGAGAGACGCAGACGTTTGTGTGTATTCATTTGCGTCCGGTTGTTGAAACAAAAATGACCAAACCTCAGAAATTTAACCAAATTGATTTGAGCTTTGGTGAAAGTGGATCGTAGTAGCGGCGTATTTAGTAAAGCATTAAAAAGAAGAAATTTAAGCAAAATGGCCTATCAAACGAAAAGTACTATAAACTAACACTAAACTGAGAATAGCAATATCGCGCCCCTAGACCCCCTCGCCCCCCCCCCCCCTCGGAGAAACTAACAAACAAAGAAACAAACTTCTTATACTGATACACACACACATACTCACACACACACACGACACACATACACATATATCATTATGGAAATAATAATAATAAAAAAAGTGAATGCATTAAACACACACAAAGCATTGTTGCAAGTCGCCCCATTTTACGGTAGCGCGGTGAGATAGAAATAAAAAGGGAGCCGATTAAAATTAGCAGTTGTTTTTAGACGAGCAGAAGTGATCGCGTCTTTCGGAAAGAAAGAGGTAAATTTGCGAAGATGGCAGAAAGAATGAGCATGAAAATTTACACAAACAAACAAAATACACTCACACACAGACATAAACATTGGTGATTACACTAAAATATTAATTGAAAAAGGAACCATAGCGATTAAGGTGTATTATAATTAAAAGCAAGCAACACACACACACACACCCATGTAAAAATATAAGCTTAAGTAAGGAAAACTTTAGGCTAGAATTAGAAAGTAAAGAGATCGAGGATGAAAAATATATTCCACCATAAGAGCTAATAGAAAAAAAAACAATGTTATCAAGGAGGAGGAGGAGAAATTCAGACGAGAGAGTTATTGTTGTTTGGTTTTTTTACCGGTTATGTATTGTAATAATCAATCATATGTATTTACACTCACAAACACTTACACAAGACAAACATTAGGATGCTCAATTGATGATTGTGTTAAATAACTTTGTCTCAAGAACGGTGTTTTCCAGCACGACTTCCTTACTTTGCCTTCCTTGTTGTTGTTGAAAAAATTTCCCCTGGATTGCGTTCGACGAATATAATAATGAGAAGCAAAAAAAATGAGATTTTAACTAGCTAAGCCAGCGCCCTCTCGACTGTTCAGTCCGTCAATGGATGTGTCTAAATCAAAGAACGAGCAATTTGTTTTCCAGAGTCAATTTGTACGGTGCGTGAAAGTGAAAACATCCGGCGCGAAAATGAGTAATAATAATTTTTAATCAAGAGCGATCTTTCGTCTTCTCGAGACGGATTTTAAACTGATGAAATTGCTGAACAAAAGAAGAAAAACCCAATACCACACGCAGACACACATACACACAAGCATACCTAAATTGTCAATTGCGACAATGTAATAAGAAGAAAAAGAAAAAAAACGAGCATGTAGCGTTAGTAGAAACAAACTTAGGCGGTAAGAATAAAAATTGAAGAGAGACGCAAAACAAAAATATTCATTAAAAGTAAGGAACGTGACTAAAGATAAGATATGAATAAACAACAACTGACACACACAAATCACACATACACACACACATAAAATTCACACTGCTCTAGAGCCAAACGCAGTAAATAAGAAGTAAAATCTTATTATATGTAATCGTGACCACACTGACACTACTACTGGCCAAACGCGGGAAAATAGCATTTTATTTTTCAAGGAATGAAATCCCGATCGTTCGGATGAAAGTGAATGAACCTGAACGCGGCCTGTTGTTTCTGAAGAAATAATAATAATCCTCTCCTCCGCGCAATATATATTCATTCTTGTGTTGACTAGGAGCTATCTAGACTACCTATGATGGTGGAGAAACGCCAATCATCATATTTTGCACATCGAAAAAAAATCTAATAAATGCGGTGAGAGGAGGTATGTAAAAAATAATTTTATTACGATGATGAAACAGTGCTGTTGAATAATTAAACGATTAAACTGTTAGTACGGAAAAACTGCGATGAGGTTTTGTTTCCTTTTTTACTTTTCTCTGTATAAAAAGTTATTGGTTAAATTAATTGATTAGAGATTTGAAAGAGAACGCGTAAATGTGGAGACTGAGGCAGAAGAAGAAAATTCATTCAAATTATTACTTAATTGTTTTGAAAAGAAAGAAAGAAACTTACGAATAGGAAACCACTGTGGCTCATATCAATCCAAGCAAAGAGCGTTTTGTTCGGTCTCTGTCCGTCGTCGCCATCTCTCCATCTTTGATTTTTGTTGTGGACTTGAAAAAAGATTATTCTAAAGGTGATAAAAATAAAAACAGAGCACACCTCCTATTAATTATACTACGTCAAGTTTTACCGAATTTGGTTCAGCTGCATCAAGACGAGTTTTGTGATCTTTGCCAGAAGAAGAAGTTTAGCAATTTCTGAATGAGGAACGAAAGATGCTGGATCGCGAGTGCCGGAGTTTTGAAATTTCTGGAGCGACGCCGCCACCGCCAGTTCGAAATCGGCCCCAATTGAAATTGCGTCGGAATTTTTCCTCGCAACTCGGGAGCAATTTTTTAAAAATTTCGAACGGCCTAGCCGCTCACCGACTGGTCCTCTCAGCTAGCAATTGCTTCACAGAATCCATTTGCAAACCAACGCACAATTTTCAAATTAGTTGCGGGCGGACGAGTCATATTTTTGGAGCGACAATTAATTAATTAATTTTGGAAGCCATATTTTTCCAACGTGTTTTTGGATACGACGAGCAAGCGAATCAAACCCTTAAGCTAAACATCGTAGCCGAATAGAAATTTAACATGAAAAAATAATAACGTCAGGCTTCTCGCTCGTCCGCAAATGAAATAAAATTCTGAAACTATCAAAAATTCCAACGCACTCATTTTTTCCAGTAAGAAAAATAATAATTTGGCCGGCGGATTTCGAACTTTGCGGTGGCCCTCGTTGCTCTCCACAAGAAGTGATGTATTTGTAATAAGGGATAAAATAAAAATTATTGATAAAGTGAAAATATTATGCGAACGAGGTATATAATAAATATGTTAATGCGCTACACTTTAAGGGAAAATGTTGACACTCCGAAATGAGAATTGGATGAAATCATTTTGTTTATCTGGGAAATCTAGCTCTTTTTTTCTTGTTTCTCGAAAGTTTTTCCTGCGCCACAGTACGAAAACCTGCTCCTGTTTTTTGTTGGTTGCCAGCGAGCGAGAGAATAATCGGGCGAGAAAGAGGCGGAAATTTTGCGATGATTAAAAAAACTACCAAAATGTTGGCTGTTTTTACCGAAAAAAGAAGAAATGTATCAACTCTAAACTCACACACTGAATGTTTGCACTGAAAATAAATCGCGCGAAACGACGCGGGCGTTTCGAAATAGGTACGAATATGTTAAAAAATAATTAAAATCGCCACTTTTGACATTCCGAGATTCAGTTGTAATATATTTGAAAATTGGTTGTGCAAAAGCAAGAAAAATGTTCTGCCTATTTTTGAGCGCCTGCACTTGTCGCGGACGAAACGAATTTTAAAATCCTTGATGGCAAACGCACCTCGTTGTGACCTGTTATACGCTGTATTTGTTGCAAAGTGATGTTGACTGTTGATTTTCCGAGACGGCGACTCCGCGAGAACGAGAATGCAAAAAGCAGTCAATACAAAAGAAAAAAGAGAAGAAATACGCATGTTGCATAAGATGAAGAAGAGAAACGGCTCAAAGGATGTAAATAGTAAAAAGAAAAAATACAAAGTAGCAAACAAAACTTAAATTTTCTGTGTGTTTCCAAAAGATGAAAACGACGTCTCAATTCTCCTTGTTTTTATCAGTGTTTTTGAAGATGTTTGTCTTTTGAAATGCAAAAATCATCCATCTCTCTCTCTCGTGCACAGACATAAGTGTGAAACAAAGCTATATTTAATAAAGAGAGTTACGTAAAATATCCCAGCACCGCAAGACACAAAGAATTCGTTGCCCCCGTGAACAATTGATAATCGAAATTGGACATTCACGCATTTTCATTCACAGACACAGAAACAAACAAACGACACGCGCCCCCCACAAACACACACTTTGATTGAACAATCAGAACCAATTGCGTAATTTTAATTGTCGCTCTTCAGTTGAATTTGTAAAACAAAACAAAAATGTTTCGGGTAAATGGAGTAAAAAAGTTGTATCATGAGAAGAACAAGGAAAAAATATATAATTATTGACATATACAAATGCGATGATTCGACAGAGGGCTAAAAATGAAGGTGAAACCCCTTAAGTTGTAAGACGATCCAGAAAATGATCTATGTCATTACGGTATAACAAAAACGCAAAAAAAAAATATGAGAAGAAACAATGCAAAAGAAGATAATGTGTAAGATAAAAAATAAGATTTTATACTTTTCAATGATGAGAGAACAGTGAAAATGTTTATTAACAAGATAAGCGAACCTAGCTAGTAAGGGAAAAGTTATGAAATAAGACACACAAACTGAAAATGAAATAAAAAATCTTAAAAAAATAAACACATCAAACAACTTTTATTTGCTCAAACCTGCAAATTTTATATGAATTTTAGAACTTCAGTGGAATATCCTAAATATTGGTTAATAATAAAATTAAAAAAAATCATATAATTTAAATAAAATAAAAATAAAAAAAGATTGAGGAAAAACATTCCAAATGACGTTTATAAAAAAAACGTGTTCAAACAATTCTATCTATTATGTTTTATTAATTATTTGTAGCTTCAACTCCTTCCGTGAACATTTAATTTTCATAATCAACAAATTAATGGAGCTTGGTTGTGTGGAACTGGAAGCTTGAATAGGATTGAACGCAATCTGCATTACGCCGGATCAACGCAGGTTGCCTACCTTCTTCACAATGTTTTGAACAACAGAACAGCGTAGATCGTCGTTTGGAAATCTTCTGTGGCCTCTCACTTTTTCAACTTTCGACTTTAAAAGTTTTAAACTAAAAATTGATCATCTTCAATCTGTGACAAACCCTGATAAAACGTTTCTGCTGGTTAACATCTGAAATGGCAAATCTAGAGATAGGCAGAGAATTTTTTGTAATTGAAGTATTGAAGTCATGCTAAAAGGAGAAAGAAAACGTGTTTTACCATATTTCACCACCTGAATAACGAACAAAAATACAATTACTTTTTTTAAGCCAACAATGCATTTGCCTTAAACGTTAATGTATAGAAAATTACTAAAAAATAATCATCAAGCAGAGATTTTAAACTAAAATAATTTTTGTAATTTAATTGCTTTCTTTACATTGTGCCGATGCTGAGAAATATCTCAACATTGAGCCAATGTACAGAAATATCTTTACATTGGGAAAATTAAATTTATTAATGATATATTAATCAAATTTTGTAAAATAAACACAGTTGTTTTTAAATAAAAATTAAATCACAAGAAGGATTGAGATGTGTTAGTACAAATTTAAAAAAGCTTTAATGCATTAAATTGATTTTTAATCTCTCATAGCATCATTGATTCATGGGAAAGTTTGAAATAATTATCATTATAACAAAATTAGGAAATATTAAAATTATTTACATCAGCTCAGTGTAAACTTATTTCATTGCATCGGCTGAGGTATACGTATTTATTTTTGCATACTCTCTTTTTGGTTAAATTTACTAAATTTACCTTCTGATACAATCAATAAAGACACTTTGCAACTAAATAAAAAATAGAAAGTTGCGATAAGGTTTGCGAAATTTAAGTGTGGTTTCCAGGAGCGATACATTTACTTTTACGTAATAATTGTGCTTGTAAAGTTACAATTATTGGACGGAGGGGTGTGTCCGTGAGGGAAAGCAGCTCAACCGAGTGCGTGCGTCGCTGTCGGTCAGCAGATCAAAATTTCACGAGCAAATCCGCGCGTGCTAATGCGTCGTGTATTTTGCACTACACTTGATATGTGTCTTTGGGCGAGGCGCGCGGGTTTGTTTTGGCGCGTGCAGTGCACTTTGCATCACGGCCGGGCGTCGAATTAGCGCTAATAATTTAGTTGCTGAAGGGTTAAGCCTCGGCCGGGCCGAAATTGTAATTTGCGCGCAAATCTCTCTGAATTACGTGCACACACGGCAACTCTCTTTGGCTGCAGGCGATGCACGGCACAAACACACACATGCGGGGCGGGCGGGAGGGCGGGCAAGGGAGCGCCCACCGACCGACCGACCGACCAGCTAATTATTGTTTTATTATTCAGAAATGACAGCCCTTTGAACATTCGCCGGGCAGGTGAAATAACAAAGCTGCAAGCGGGATTTGTTGCTGCCCTGCAATAATATGCGCCCAACAATAGTGGCGCGCGAGTACCCTTTGCTAATTTTTCAAATTGAAAACCATGACAGCGATGAAATACTTTTTATAGCATTTATATTCACGAAAAGCACAAAACACATTCAAAAATTAAGAATTTTATTTTTTGCTACAATTTAAAATAAAAATCTGCCAAGTAAAATAAAAAATCTTGTCCCGCATGAAAGTTGCAAACTGGTGGACTATAATGCAATTTGTATTTAATTGAATCAATTGGCAATAACAATCAATTTAATTTACTGCAATCCTAAAAGTCTACATTGTACATAGCAAACCCTCAAGCTCTGGTAAAAATGGTGCTCCAATCATAATTGAACACCAGTATTTTAGAAAAGCTCGTATTTTTCAGTAAATCATATTTGGTTTGATATTAAAAAGATGATTTTTAAAGTTTTGGTGTTCCAGCCAAGAGTTTATTTAGTTAAATAAACTAATACAATTACATACATTTTACAGAAAATTCTAATCATGTATAAGAATAACTATAAAAAAAAATAGATTTTTATTCATCACTTCCATTCAAAATTCTTTGCTTGCATTTTTCAATTGTTTGAAAAATATATTTGAATATTAGAGGAGAAAATTTACCTCCGCCGAGGAACGCAAAAAACACGTTTTCTTTGTTCCAAAAATAAAAAAAACCAAATTAAAAAATTTATTCAAGTTTTTTTATTCAATTTTTAAATTTAATAAGAAATTATTTTGTTCAAAAGATTTAGTGTTTTTAATAACTAATAACAAAACGATTAACATAGAACTATTTGTCAACATCAGCCGAATGTAGAACTATTTTTCAACAAAAGTTGAATGTTGAACTATATTTATTTGCATTTTACTTAGTCCACTAGCGTTAAAATGCATTTCAAATTGATGAAATCGGCACAATATCTATTAAATTTTTTTGTTTCAATTAATAAGTCTGTTTTTATTCATTTCTAGGCTGTGGCACGCCCCTGGAATATGGCATGCAAGTGGCATCGCAGCGGTGACAAACAAACAAACAAACAAACAGAGAGTAGCACATTAGCGGGGCATCGTTTTGTAGTTAGCCAGGCCAGGCCACACATACGTCCAGCACAAACCGTACAGAGGAATGGGGCATCTTTATTTCAGCACGTCCAATTTAATATAATTTTGTGCGCGCACGAATATCACACAATATGGGGCTCTCTTTGGGCGGACTAGCGAGTACACTTTTGCACTTCATTTGGTAATGCACGTCGGCTAAATTGTATTTGGCAGCCGCGTGGAAATTCATTTCTGCGCCTCGCTGCCCTATTCAAACGCGTACGTATGTGTAATTGTGTTTATTCCGCAGCTCTTCCACTCTCGGGCGCACGCTTTGTTCGTCACGCGTGTTGTTGAAACTTTTCGATTCAAATGATGCAGCGGTTTGATGAAAAAGCTATTGATTAGCTTAAGATTTTCAATTTACTTTCTCTATGATATATTTTCATATAATATCACATCTAGAAAGCTGGGAGGTGGGCAGAATTGAAAAAAAAAAATTAACACAAAAAAATAAAAAATTAATTTTTGGGTAGTTGTGGTATAGATTAACGTTTTTCTTTTGGGTTACATAGCGAGATAAATCGAGTTGCGAAAGCAAGCAGATATAATATTATTGAGGGATGCTGGACTGAAATTTTCTTATCAAAGTTTAACAGATGATAATAAATTTTTTTTCATATGCAATTTTTAAAATAATTTACCTAAAGGTAGTTCTTATTGATTGAATTCTACTGCTTTGCCGGACGTTGCCGTGTTTACCATATATTTTAGCAAAAGAGCTGTTTAATATTTCAGCACACTGAGCGATGCTGCTTTCACGGGGAAATACATTGCGGGGCGCAGCACACTGGCGTGCTCAGCAAAAGAAAATCGCGTTTGCAACTGGGCCGGCAAATGACTCGGGAGGACGTCGGCAAATAAATAGAGCATCAAAGCGAAAGATGGCCGGTCGGCTGCCGCCGCTCGAGCTCATCATCAAAAATTCTCTCAAAAGTACAAGAGCAAAGTTGCAGGAGTCGGCCGGTCGGTGGCTGCTTTTGCTGCACGCAGATTGCATTAAACCTACATGGAGAGCTCTGAAATAATTGAATAAATCGCAGAGCGGAGAGGAAAGCATCAAGCCTCGGCTGAAATCTGTCTTGAAAGCAGAGTGGAGAGGAGCGCGGAATTAAATTAATTGCCGACTTGTGTCGCGTGGATTTTCTTTGCATTAAGAAATCCGACTGCTGAATTTGCATTTTGGTGACAAATGTATAATGTAATTAAAAGTACCTGTTTGTTAATATTTTTATGCAACACTTAGCATAATTACCTTTATTTATTTTTTCTACTTTCACATTCACAGTTTTAATTTTAATAAATCACATTTGGTTATTTCCTTAAAAAACTGCTTAAGACATTTTATCACTACTGAAATCAAAGAAATTCAAACGAAATTTTGGTATTTATTAATATTTTCTATATTATCTTGTATAATTATTGTAGCAGGTGTATAGAAAAATGAGAAATAATATTTCTGCATATCTAGAACAAGAAATAACAAATATTTCGGCAACATAAAATTTATTTGGTATATACATACTTTTTTTAATTTAATTTGGTGGCTCTAAATGCATTTTAATGAACAGTTAGTATTTTTAAATCGATGGCAGTCTGTTTTTTTTTTAACTTCACTCTTTATTCGATCATTTCCTGATATGCCTTTTGTAAACGATTCGAGACTTAATTTTCTTCTAAGCACAAGGATTACTGGCGCCGACGAAACCGAGGCAGGTTGCAGGCATTTTGACCCTGAATAACCGACCCTTATCCTTGCACACGCACAATTTGTACTGCTGCGTGGAGCCCTCGTTGATGACCAGCGGCATGTTCTGCACGTCCAGGGTCACGCCGTGACCTCCGACCAGGTGGATGGACCCGTTCAGGCTGCGCAGCAAAAGGTCCTGGTCAGCGCTCCAAACGATTTCCTTCCCCTCGATTTTCGTTCCCTAAATTTTTCAATTAATATTTAAATTTTTTTATAATTTTTATGATAAGGTTGCTGACCTCATTTCCGCGGAGTTTGACGTAGGTTTCAGAACCAACTGTGAGACCTGCGTCGACCGGACTAGAAATTCTGGAGACGCGGGCAACCTGAACGTCCAGTTTTTTTACACCCTTCGGAAGCTCAAAGTTTGGGTAGGCCGAAGAAAATACAAGTCGGCCTTCGTGATCTTTCACCTAAAATAATTTAATGAATCAAATTGAAATTAATGCATTTAAAACTAAAGAAATCCTTATTTAATTTTGTCATTATTTTCCTTATTATTATTTAATTATTTAAATTATATTTGAAACGAATTTCACCTCAAATGTGGAAACGTTGGTGATTTCAGCAAGTCCGTCTGGTCTGACCACGATTTTTGACGTTGTCCATGTTTTCGCGCCTTTGTGTTTGAGAATATTGACGACCGCCTCAGCTCCGTCCGCCGTGATGGACAATGGGCTGTCCCTAAACCCCTCCAAGTGGCCGTCCCGCTTTGTGATGTTGCACAGGTCGGTTTCTCCGTAAAACTTGATCAGATTCTCGGCCGGCACAAATTCCAAGCTCTATCAACAAAGAGGAAATAATAATAATAATGCTCATTTTTTTTTAAAGACAAAAACAAATGGAATAATAACAATGAAAAATATTTGTTAATTTTTATAAAATTTTTATAATGAATAAATTTTAAATCACTTTGATACCTGCATCCCGTGTCCCAGTCTAAGAACGCTAAGAATGGTGAAAGTGAGGATCATGTTGACCAGGGCCAGGATTAACAGGATGAGTACCAAAATCCAGAAGACGAAGGCTTTGTTCTCCTTCGGTTGCGTTTGTTGCAGCGTGTACGGGGACACAAAGTCGGCCCTGTGAGCAAAATAAAGTGTGGTTTACTCGCAAACATAATCAAACGTCTTAAGAAGTAATGAAGTTCATAAAAAAGTTCCTTTTTTACAAGAAATTATACCAGCATGTTTGAAAGATAATTATAATTATTTATATTATTCTCAACTGCGCAGTTTTAAATATTTATTTAATAAAAGTATTTAAAGAAATCCTGCTCAAAAAACCTGATTATAAAATTTTATTTAGCCAGAATAATTTATCAAAATTTTTTAGTGGGTTTTATAAAATATTATTATTAAACAAAAATTTTCATCTTCAACAATTAAAATTATGAAAAAAATATTATTAAAAAATAAATCACTAACAGTTCAACACTGGTAATGAGCTGGGGTTATACAAATAAACACTCCGTGAATAGGTAAATTTGCATCCGAGGGAGGACAACGTTTGCTTTGCATCAACATTAATTTGGTTTCCAAAACACGCCGCGGGTCCTGGCACCGTCGGCAACCGGCCCAACACACGCGTCAAGCGTGTCGCCTACATAGACTATGAAAAAAAAATTGAATGCGAACCTGAAACTGCCATTGTGGGTCTTGACCAGCAGGTCCTTCTTGAGCAGGGTGCTGCGGCCGCTGGAGGGCAGCACGTCGAACGGGATGGGCGACTCTCGCGGCTCCAGCATCACCAATTCTCGGTCGAAATTTCGGGCAGAATTTCGGCCTTGCAGCGAACGTTTATTTTGGTTCGGCCAGAGGGGTGCAGTCGGTAAATTTAGACTGGCGGGCGCGGGCGCAAGTGTATCGACCCGGCGGGGAAAAGACGCAGGCGCCCTGCCCCCGTCCGTGCGTCCGACCGGCCCCATTAGCAGCATCCGAGGATAAATATATGCGCTCGAGAGAGAGAGAAAGAGAGCGAGAGCCGCGGGCAGTGTTCCCTCCGCTTTGCCTCAAAGGGCGCGTCTAATAAATTCTTGAATGGGACCCTCGTTCCCCAGCCCTCCGACAAAAAGGCCACAAACAGCCCCTAACTCTTCCCTACACGCACTGCCTCTTCCCTGCGTGGCTCTTTTCAAAATTCAACAGAAATTAGCAGCGCAATTTCCTCTTCAGCAAACCATCTCCGCCGTGATGAAAAAAAAATTACTTTGGTCCGACCTCCTATGGTATAATAATATTTCATAATTTTCATAATATGAGAATTAAGCCAATTTTAATCTAAAAAGTAATATGACGAAAATTTAAACGAATTTATTTTTAATGCATTGTAAAAAATGATAACTTTGTTCAACATTATTTTTAGATAAACAGCACCTTCAAAAAAATTTTATCCATCTAGTTTCCATCACGTTCATAAGTATTAATACATTCTAATTGTAAGTGATAAATAATTATGCCTGATTTTATATAAAAAGGATAAACTAAAGTTTAAATTTTTAGTATATTTGGTGATTCATCACATACAATTAAATCAAATTTAAAAATTTTCAATAAGGTCCTCGATATTTGAATCCTAACAATTGGAGTCAAGAGTCTCTCACAATAACAACATTTTATAATTAAATAATGAGCATAAATCTTGAAGTTAAATCCTTAATTACTGCATAACTGTCTTAATTGGTATAAATATCATGAATTATATAAAATCTGCTGGCAGAAATGCTATTGAAATTCCGGCCTTCATCTTAACTTTTAACTGTTATATAAGTCACGTTATTAGCTCAAAAACATTGAAAACTGGTGTTTCCATATAAATCGGCCAAAAACTCCTTAATTTTTAAAACTAAATTTATGCAATATCCTCCTTAATCATGAAACTAAATTATTGCAAGATTCAATAGACAAACATAAAAATTATTTTGATATTAGTGTCTCCATATCTCAAGCGTGTGCTATTTGATGGCTAAATTTTGATGTTCAGTATTATGAATAATGAAACAAACTGTCTGACATTTTCACCTCATTTTTTTACACTTTTGTGAAATACAGAAAGACTTCCACTAGATTGTGAAAAAATGGTCATAAATCTAGTTAGCTGATTTTAATTTGGTAAATTAAAGTCATGAAATATTATGTAATATTATCAGCGGTTTTCAAATTAAATATGTCTTTATAAACAACTTGTTTCGCAGTGCACACGGTTCATGTTGTAAATAATTCTGTTATTTGAAAAAATTTTAATTGTTCTAATATGTGGTAAACGCTTTTATGCGACTCTCTTTAATCAAGATAACAGCAATTAAGATACAGAAATTAGTACCTTTTTACAAGAGATTTCACGAGAAGAAATACTGACTTATGATTTTACAACTTCAATTACACCTGATATAAAATCAGGTGCCAACCACTTTAGGAGATAACCTCAAAGATTAAGTAGTGTCTTTACACTTCCGACTCCAAAACAATTTAATAAAATAAAAATTCTGGAGAACAAGATCTAGGTTTAACCTATTTTCAGTAATAATAATTAATGAAATATTGGTAAACAAGCATTTGACCTGTGGCACAGTTTTCAGTCTTTTATGCGGAAGCGCTAAATAGATAAGAAAGTTTTCCTGCTAGTTTTCTCGAGAACTGCACCAAGTCGTGACGGTAGTGCGTACTATTACGATATGTACGCAAATCCCTTTATCTATTTATAATCTGGACGACAAGCTGGCTCTCGGCAGACGAGAAATAACTTAACTTTCCTCAAAACATAGACAAAAGATAAAAAAATTATATTATTTTGCTTTTGTAGAAGAATTTCACGATCAAGAGGGTTGATTCATTGTGTTCTATTTCATCAATCTGGAAAAAGCCTAATTAGGGAAGGGAAAAATAGGTACACCTATTGACGGAAATGAACTAAATGTACTTGTATAAGTAAAAACATAATATCATTTTTTATGTATAAACTAAACTGACGATTTAGTATCACCTAAAGTCACATAATTGCAAAAAAAAAAACACCTATTTCGCACTATTTCACCTATTGGAATAAAAAAACCTTCTTGCTTGCAAAATTTCCCCTCTAATCAACTATTTTTCAAAAAGAAACATAATATTAAAAAATATTCACCAATTATACTTTTTTCACCCTATATGACCTCTTTGCAACCTATTTCAGCTGGAAAAACCTATGTAAGCGCTTTTATTGCCCGTAATAATTATATATTACCTATTTTCCCAAGCCTAAGCGTAGTTTAAATTCTATGAATTTAAGTTCGGCTTTACCCCGACGGGTTTTTTTAGTCTAGCTCTCTCAAGAAACCGCAGTGCTTGTGTTTGTTCCTGTGCAGTTCATTTCCTGTTGTTGGCCACTGACCCGCCAAAGTAAAGATCGATCTCGGTTTGAGCATTTACAGAAAAAAAAATTTAAATTAAGAAAAAAAATTACCCCAGTTTAAAAATTCCGGTTAAAGTCGGAAAGGAAAATTAAATAAGTGATGTCACAAAATGTGAGAAATTCCGTTCGCGTCACGCGCCCCGTGAACTTTGTTGCGAAACGCGTGCAAACAAGGGAGGCAATTGCGGCCGCGCAATAATTATTATTCCGCAACAATTATGATTCCAATTGCCCCGGAGCGGAGGCTCGTCTTATCAAACGCTGGGCGGCCCCTTTGTACTCGCGGGCCGATCACTGCAACACAAATTTCGGCCGAGATTTCGATTTTCGCGACTCGTTTTTCGCTCCACGCCAAATTGGCCTCGGCCGTAAAATTTTATTTGGGTCGTAAAAGAAGCTGCGGCTGGTCGCGACCAAAATTTGCACGCTCGCGTGGTGCTGCGTCACTTTTTGATAAGCGTTTGTATAAATGGGTGGCGCATGCAGACCCAAGACACACTCCCGCAACTTCCCAGACATGGCATCCACCTGTGCTTTGCTCATCCTCGCGGCTTCCGCTGCCCTCGTCAACGGCCACGGCTACACCACCGACCCGCCCAACAGGTCGTCCATGTGGCGCTACGGCTACAGCACACCCACCAACTACGAAGACAACCAACTGTGGTGCGGAGGATATAATGTAAGACCCTTAATTACCAATACAGCTTAATAAATATTTATACGCAAAAATTAAGAAGAAAAGAGATATGAAAATCTTGCAGTTTTTTTTTTAGAATAATTTTTTCACATTCTTGCTTAATTTTGTTTTAGTTGAAAAATGAAAGTTTTTCTGTAGGTTTTGTGATTCGTTTATTGTTTTATAAGTAAATTTGTTCTTTTCTAACAATGAAACGAACCTGAAAACAAAATTAAATTAACAATTTTAAATTAGTTTAGTCTCTCTTTTAATCTTATTTCATTTATTTCATCGGAATAAATTACTTTTATTTATGAGAAAATCTAGGAAAAATATCTTAATTTCCTTGGTTTAAATGGAAAAATTAAAAAAATTAGATGACATGATTTAATCTGTTTTAAAAGTACCGAGATTTCCAATTAAAAGATGACATGTGCTCATTTTAACTTTAATTCATTTTTGGTGCCTTGGTTATCTTACTCAGTTTTGGATTCCACGTTAGTTTTCTGTCAGACAATAACAAAAATATCATTATTTTTTTTCAAGACCCAACACAACGTTTATGGTGGAAAGTGTGGTCCTTGCGGAGATACTTTTGGAGATGCTCGTCCACGTGCCAATGAGAACACTGGCAAGTTTGGTCGCGGTATCGTCACCAGAACTTACACGCAAGGGTCTGTCATTTCTGCCACCTTCAAGATCACGGCCAATCACAAGGGATGGGTCCAGTTCTCTCTATGCAGGTGAGTTTTTAAGTTAAAACAATTAAAAGATTAATTTTAAATAGAAAATTTAAGATTCAAATCGGAAGTTCTTGCACTTCAAAATTTCAAATTTTTATTTGGCATCATTCAATTTGCTGTAACGTCCGATTTTTTTAAGTTCATTTTCATTTTTACTGAAGAAATAAAATTAGTGCGAAATGAACATAAAAAAAAATTATTTGAATTTTCTTTGTCTGCAGATTGAACTCGCCCACCGCTCTTGAGACCGAAGAGTGCTTCACCCCCCTCAAGTTGGCCGGATCGACCAGCACCAGGTACTACCTGCCCAACTCGAACGTGGGCGACACCACCTTGAAACTGCAGCTGCCCGCCGGATTCACGTGTCCGCGGTGCGTCCTGCAGTGGCACTACAACACCGGAAACTCGTGGGGCGTGTGTCCGGACGGCACCGGCGCCCTCGGCTGCGGCCCCCAGGAGAACTTCCGCACCTGCTCCGACATCGCCATCAACTAACTCGCCCGACCCGCCACATTTGCACAAAACCTCTTGAATCTGCGCTTATTTTTACTCTAATTTTAGAACTCGTAGTATAGATCTTGTACCTCAAGCAAAATGAATGTGCCAAAAATCATACTGAGAATGTTATAGAATGTAGAATAGATTTATTTAAAAAATTTAGTTTGTAACTTAAATTATTTTGCGAGTTGATTGTGAAACCAAAAAGTAGATTTAATAAAGTTGTAGATATATAGAGCACGAAAAATTCAACTGAAATTTTATTTTTAAAAAATCCTTTATCTTTGTCAAAAGTAATAAATAAATTAACCTTGTACATGTATGTAAATATATAATATTGAGTTAAATAATCTTTCACACGCTAACTAAAAATTAATAGCAAAAAAAAAAGATGGAAATGAAGCGATCGGGCTTTTCCTCGTTGCAGAAAAATTGTTTTTATTCAAAAACAAATGGCTCAACAAATGGAGCCATTTGTTTTTGAATAAAAACAATTTTTCTGCAACGAGGAAAAGCCCGATCGCTTTTCATTTCCATGATCATCTCCTCGAGTGTCAACTTCTTCAAACAAAAAAAAAGATGCTCATATATTATGTTAGTTGAATATTTGTAGCAAAAAGGAAATTACTTCAGTTTTGACTAAGACAAGTAGCTCAGAGCAGCTCAGAGTTTCTATATCAATGAAGAAAGAAGATAACACTTTCCTAAAAAGAAAAATTATATTTATCCAAGTCGGTACAAGTAATAGGCATACAGCAAAGATTAGTTTAGTTTTTTTTACAATTTCCCATCACCTTGGAGATAAGATTATTTTTAGTATTTTTTGTCTAATAATGAATGAAAATTCTGAGGAAGATGAGCGACAAACAATTTTGACTCTTTGCCAATTTGTATAAAGGGACTGAGATTGACAGATTAAAAAGCAAGGAAATATTGATGAGAGATAAAAAACCCATTATGGAAATTTTTCATTTCCATATCAAAGAATGCGGCAGAAATTTGCACGTGACAAATGTGAAGTGCGTCAATTATCGCGGTTGCGATAAGGGCGCTTATAAATGAGAGAGTGGACGGTGCTTTCGCCAGTCAAAAATGGAATTACGCGCAATGCCCACCTTCTTGACACTGCTGCTTGTGGCCTCGGTGGCCTACGTCGCCGGCCACGGATTTGCCAAAAATCCTCCCAGCCGCTCTTCCATGTGGCGATATGGTTACGCCACGCCAGTTAATTATGACGACAACCAACTTTTTTGTGGTGGATTTCAGGTAAGTTAAAAAACAAAATTTTTATTTTATATTTCAAAATCATTGCTAGACCATTTTGAATTTTGATTTTTTTATAACTCTCTATTTTAAGAAAAGAAAATAATTTTTGACTTCAGGTTCAATATAACACCTATGGAGGAAAGTGCGGACCCTGCGGGGACTCTTATGGAGACCCTCAACCCCGCGACAACGAAAATGGTGGCAAATACGGCCGAGGCATCATCACGAGGAACTACACCCAAGGCCAGGAAATGTTGGCCACTTTCGAGATCACGGCCAACCACAGAGGATGGATCCAGTTCTCTCTGTGCAAGTGAGTTGTATTTTTAATCTTTCAAAATTGCGAAAGAGTTCTATTTCAAAAGTCTATCTTGCTTTGGCTTTTTGAGTTGACAATAAGCTGTCAACTTGAAGTGTTTCTCGATCAATCAAATCATTGCGAAAAATCAACCAGAACAAATAATAAATGGATTTTCAGATTCATTTAATGAATGAATTAAATTTGGCAGAAGCTGTTTCTTTTTTGTTTTTGAAAAATCCCCTCATTTATAAAATATTTTTCATAGGTTGAACACAACCAATCAGTTGGAAAACGACGCTTGCTTTGTGCCCCTGAAATTGTCCGGCTCTACCGAAACCAAGTATTATCTGCCCAATTCGGACGTGGGCCAAACGACCGTGCGACTGCAGCTTCCCCCAAATGTCATCTGCCAAAGGTGCGTCCTGCAGTGGCACTACCACACGGGCAACACGTGGGGAACCTGCGAGGACGGCAGTGGCGCCGTCGGGTGTGGCAATCAGGAAACCTTCCGCACCTGCTCTGACATCGCCATTCTTCACTAGCCTCAAATCATCGATCCTGGAAAAGATCTTGAGGCGAGGATCGACAGATGCTCACCGCGAAAATATTTTTACATTTCCCGGAGTTCTGTTGGAGGCCGCAGAAATAAAATCGTGGGCTCTCTCAAGCTATTTCATCTTTTTTGCCATTATTCTCCATGAAACTATTTCGCTGCCATAGGATTACAGAATTGTAAATACAAGTTTTGTATTTTTCGCCCTTAATAAGTTATTAATCTACATTTTGCTGATGCAAAATTTGTGTATGAAAATTATGTTAAGTTATGCTTTCAAATAAAATGTAATATTTAATGTGCTAAAAATATTTATTTTGTTTTATTTTAACAGGGATTTCTTTAAAAAAGTTTTGAAATTGATCTAATTCAACATTTTTGGATACAATAATAATAATTATAATAATAAATTGGCAAAGTTCTACAAGAAAACTTATTATTGTGCATTTTTGTGTATGAAGTCAATTATTATTATTTTACCAATTTTTATAGTTTTAAATTAGTTTCAAGTTTTAAGTTATATTATTTAATAATTAATCACCAGCATTCTCAACATTTGATATTATATAATTCCTAAAAGCTCACAAATATTGAAAGTTGTTCATAAGGTGCGTGTATTAATGAAGATTCCTTTTTTTAAAATAATGGTTTATTTTATTTCTACATAGAAAAATAAACTATGAAAATTCCAGTTCAAAAAAAACTGGTATGTGTTTATTAATTTTTCAGTAATCAAGTAATGTGTCTCTTTAAACTGTCTTAAAATGCGGTTTCCTTCAAAGTTTGACTTTTGCGGAATTTAAAGAATCGGACTGCAGGGATTTGTCTGAAATAATTAAAGCCAAAACCTGTGCTCTCAAATCCTGTTGACCAATTTTACATTGTGTGCAACAAAGTTGAGCCCATAGACAAGCAAAAGCAATTTGGCGAGGCGAACTGTCAGCGTGTGCAACGCCGAGTTTCCTTTTGTGGTTGAGCGGTTTTGGCGTGTGCGGCTGATTTGGGGTTGGTGCGCTCAACCTTCATTTAAATAACACGCGTGCTCTCCCATAATAAAGCACTCAACTCTCAAAAATTGATCACATCAAAAGCACTCTTTGATTACAAAAATCGCTTATAAGTATTAATTAATTATTTGCTAAGCACAATCTCCACTCCAGTAATTAATTTCACAATTTTTTTTGTCAAGAACAGGTGACGCAGTCGTTAAAAAACAGACAGCTCACTAGGATTCATCATAATTTTAGGCTGATATTTTAAATTTTAAAATAATAGTGATTGTTCTTTTTTCTCGTTAAAGGGTGTGTGTCACTATTTTGATAGGCGTTTTAGTTAACCTCTGCTAGTTGTGATATCCTTACTGCTCATTTTTAAAATTTAGCAATTATTAAAGTAGAATAAAAAAATAAAAAAGGTGACAGTCACTTGAGATTATCCTCTCCAGCTTCTTACATAACATGGTTTGACAGGGAGCCCAGGGAGGTCATCTCAATTAGTGATTATCCAGAATGAATAATCGAAAAATATACACATTTAAATTGATTTCTAAAGTTCGCTGGAAAAAGAAATCTTTTGAAGCTCAAAAGTTCATTTGATGCAGTTAAGCAATAATTATGTTATAATTAAAGCTTAAAAAATTTGATTTTTTTTTTGAGAATATTAGTTTTATTTAACGATTGAAATTCGAATTAAATAATTTTTTCTTTTACGTGGATTTACTGAAACTTTAAAGCACTTGGCTTTAAAGAATGGAATAAAATCCGCATACAAACCTTTTGAAAATTAACCCCTGAAACTGCTTTACACTTTACAACACAAACAAAACTCTACACTAATTAGAACAGAAAAAAACACACACACTGTTACAATTATCTGAGAATTAAATTTTTATTTAAAAAAAATGTATTACCGTGTGTAAAAAGAATTTAAAAAAACTTCAAGTTTTCCCATTATTATTATTATTATTATTATTAAAAAAATTCCTTTTTTTTCAAATTTGAACAGAGTTTTGTACAATGGCTAAGACCTCTTGTTTTACATATTTAATTATAAATAGAGCCCACAATGTAAGTAAAATTATCAACATTTAACTGTCACTCATCTTGTATTTGATCTTTTGATGTCACTAGCACAGATTTAGGGTTCCATTAATCATTTCTGACAACCGGTTGAAAATTGATCAAAGGTTCAACGTGATTAGAGCGGATTAGTGAAGTCTAAAATGTCATCAGGCGCATATTAAAAATTTAAAAGAGAACAGAGAATTAACATTTAAAATCAAATGCGCAGTTTAATGAAAATCGACGCCAAAACAAAAAGTACGTCAGCAATTTTATCACGCTCTTAAGTGATCAATTAAAAAAAATGAACATTCAAAACAATAAAAAAGTCAACCAGGAAAACCAAGAGCAAAATCTTTAAAACTTTTGTGCGCCGATTGCGTCAATGCATGTTTCTCGCCAATGAAATGTCAGAGTCGTGGATTTCCTTATCACAGGTCCGTATAAAATAGCAAACAGACACTCTGATTCCAATAGTTGATTCGCAGATAAAGAGACGAGATAAGCTGGGATGCGATTTTGTTATGCAAACGATCGCCGTGCCGGTGACGAGGAGCACGCACTGCGCTCTCTGCTCACATGTCAATATTGCACCTCCCGTGGGCATTTTATGTGAGAGTGAGTCACTAGCATGGCAACAGATATCGCCTGGAAATCAATTGTTGACAATATCGGGGGAAGGACATTTCAGAGTTTTGCTTATCTCTGTGCAAATCGCTTTGGTTTTTTTCGGCTGCTGGAATTTTAATTGAATTCCGGGTGCGAAGATGAGAGGCAAAAGTGCAAAAGCATGTTATACATTTTATCTCCCTCACGATTATTTTGTTCTGTTGATTTAATTGAAAAATTGCCTCATTTTGAGATAAAGACAAAATTATCTTCAAAACCATTGAAATCATTATTAATTAACTGCTTGATGGAATAATAACGAGTTTTGCACCCAGAGAAATAAAGGAAACCACAGAGCGTGCTTGATGCGAATAAAACGAAATAATTCATTATGAACAAAATAAAATCTGTAAACTGCCACCGCCGTGGCGTGCTCAACGAAAATTAATCCAATTCATTCGCTGCGCGTCAACGTATTGCATAATAAAATTAGCGAGCGAGCGCGCCGAGATTTGCATAAATCCGCTCTGCAAATTATAGTAGAGGAAAATAACACTGATTGTGAATAATGCTGTACAAAAATTCGGTGATTCTTTTAGATTTGTTAGTTGATCCATGAAAATATTCGCCGCAGGCAGGAATATCCCAGCAAAATATCAGTTTAAATTTCTTAATAACCAAATTATTTTGATCAATTAAAAATTTAGATTAAAATATTGTTTTTTTATGAATGTACCTTCTGATTTCTATTTCCCATAAAATTATTTTTCAAAAAAAAATTGTTACAAAAATTACAAAATAATTTATTTAGTAAAATTTTATAAAACTTGTTTTCAAATAATAGAGTTAAAAATTAAGGTATATTTAATATGAAATTAAAATTAAACACTAAATAAAGTAATTTATAACATTTTGACGTTTATTGTAAATCCAGAACCATTCTTCTCACATAATAGCCGTGAATTTTTTAAGGAAAATTGATTGACGCCTTGTCTGCTGCGGTGTCACTCTCGCCGATTGAATAAAATTAAAAATCGGCGGCGAGCACAATGGAACAATGCACCGATTTTGTGTGAGAGTTGCTCTGCCTATAGAGTCAACATTGCTGCATCTCTCACCGCAATTATTCCTATTCAGTTTTTTTTTGCCTACTCTTCTTTTTCATGCGCCAGTTAATCAGGAGGAGAGGGACTGCTTAATCACCTCGTCGGCGCGCATTCGACGAAAACCAACTTTCTATTTGCCGTAGTAATTTCATTCACTGCATATTATGTCATCTCGCGTCGGTATAGTAATATTTACACGGGGAAAACCGCGCTGTGTTTGTTTTTGCTCGCGAAAGGAAGTTTCCTTGTAATTTCCAAAACTCAAATATCAGAACTCACCGCCGGGCAAAATTAACGAGGCAATTTATTGAGCAATAGTAAAATTTCTATATATTTGTTTAGTAATCAAAAATGATATCGCTAATATTGCCTTGGTTTTTCATCAAATTTAGTTACAAATCATGTTTATTAATTTTACCAAATTTACTTCAATAGCTTATATGTTTTTTGCTGACATAAAAGTTAAACAAATGTGGGAGCGTTGCCTGTGTTAAAATTACTTTTGAAGCGCGCGGTGCATTATTGTGTTGGCGAATAAATTAACCTTGCATGCTGCTCGTGAGTTCAATTCTCATGCATGTGCGATAATTTGCACTGTGAAATTTCTTGTGAGAATTCATTCTTATTTCATTTCAGCCATTCATTTTATACATAAATTATATAATTTGACTTAAACCAGAGTCATAACTGAATAATTGATAGTTTTCGCAAATGTTTTAGCAAAACACTGCGGGCTAATTTCCCTGCTCTTCTCAAACAAAACCCGTGTGTTGGCGTGTTTTGCGCAGACATCACTTGCAAAATTAATTATTCACGCCGTCCATTTGCAGTTTACCCATTCCAAATCCAAATCCGGGATTTTCCTAGAAAGCAAAACACTGCAGATTAGAGCTGCTTTTTAAACCTGTCCGTTAATGGATGGGTAGATCACAATCCCCATCAGCAACATTCATGTAAATACACGTCCGTCATACAACAAACGAGGTTTAATTTTTTGCAAAAAATAAAAAATAATAATAAATAAATAAAAACACTGTGCCGATAAATCGTTTTGAAAAGAGCATATATATATTTCCCTCTGCCCTGCGATATTTGCAAAAACAAACACGTACAGGACAGAAAAAAACCGCAATCGCTGATTTACAGCTGCTCGCAAAGGATGCACCGGTTTTCTGCAGCACATTTGTTTTACATTTCGCAGGCCATAAATATCCACGTGGATAAACGGACAATTTATATATTTAAATAAAATTGGATATCGGAAGGACGTGCCGCATTGACATGCAGACAAAAGTGACTGCAGTGGTGGCTGCGGCCGGGCAATAAATTACCGCGTAAAATAATGATGATGCGAGTTGGCAGCATCTCGCGAGTATTGTCGAGCGCGAAAAAATAAACATCCTGCATTTGCATTGAGGTCGCGGTGCGTGGACTGCATGGGCACGGTTGAGTGACGCACGCGGGAGTCCCCTCGCGACCTCCGCGAAAAACGCCTCCGCTCTCGACGCAAGAGTGGGTTCAAAAGATTGCAAGAGGTGCAAAAAAATGACGACGTCTCGAACGAGACTTGTTTGGCGTTCGTCATTCATAAGTGAGCAGAAAAGTAATTACTCTGCACTGCTGACCCACTTCCGACCTATGGGTAGCCCAATGACGTTTGAAAAATAAACCAGGTTTTACTCTGACGATTTAAATATGGAATTGATAAAAAAAGGTTTTTTTATGGTGTGGAAATTAAATATAATAAATTTAGCTGAAGGAAAAGGCACAAAATCGATATAATTGAGGATTTTTAAAATTATTTTGCAACAAAAAAATAATTTTGTTCTGCCAACTACCAAGTCATATTTCATGAGGTCTGCATTCCTCCCTGATTAAGTATATTAGTTATGTTCATCATTATTTATTATTACATTTTTTATAAAATTAAAATGAGTTTATCCTACAAAAAGTTCTACCAGTTGTGACTTATAAACATTGAGAAAGGAACGTGCCGCGTTTGGCATTCACCTGGAAAGAGCCATTTGTGATCTCAGACGGGCTTCCCGCTGCGACTGAATCACGATTCGTATTGGAAGAACGGCGATTATGCAATTGACAGGTGGATCGGGCGCGCTTCGTTTTTCTTATCTGCAATGTTACTATACGTACTCCTTTGTGTACCAAGGGTCATACCTTGCAGCCATCGCTGATGCAATAAAAGCAGAAATAGAACGCAAATCAAGTGCATATCCTTTTGTAAAAATAATTCAAGTCAACTCTTGTCCAAATTCAGAATCAAACTAAAATCATGGTTTCTGATTTAAAGGAGTTGACTATAAAAAAATATACAACAAATTTTTAAAGCTTTATTTCCTCATAACTCTCATGTCATTACCAAAAATGAATAATAATATCACTAAGAAAATTATATGTTTTTTTAACTATTGACAAGTAGACAAATAAAACTTAATAAAATAAAATTAAATTGTTTTTAAAATAAAAATGGAAATTAAATTTGTACATAATATTAGAGTGTTTAATGGACTAAAATTTTTGAAGCGGTTTAGTGCAATACTTTGCTTTTTCTATGTTTTTCTAAAAAATTATTCATATTATTTTTATATGGTCCAGGCTAATTTTGTTTAATTTGTCAAAGCTTTTCTTTCTACTTTCAATCAATTGTAGATTTTTTTACCTAAATTTTTTACATTCTCAATAATGCAGATTTAAATAATATTTATTTAAATAAAAACCTTTTTTAATAAACATTAAATGCATTCCTCCGCTTCCCCCACAAAGAAAGGTACATAAAACAAAGCGGCCGACACCGAAATTAAAATTCTTAACCCTTCAGGGTCAGTCATGAAATTCGTTTTTTTTTCTCCCAGCCACCCGATAATATGGTGCGGTTGCCGAGACAAAAACACGCACCTGCAGCCACTATTGTGTGATAAGCCCCTTTATTCTTTTTTTTTGTGCGCCGGCAGGTAAAAGGTTCGGGCGCAACCAGTGCTGCCCCCTTCTCCACCGTCAGGTGAGACCTGAGCGCGAGGCAGCGTCGCTGGCCGCACGAAAAATCAGTGCCTGGCGAGAGCGTGATGTGGAAGCAACTAGTGTTGGCGGCCGCGCTGACGGCTGCCCTGGCCGCGGCGGCGGCCCCGAAGGCGGCCACGGCCCCCCTCGCCTGCCCCAAGCAGTGTCAGTGCGCCGATGAGCGGCCACAGGAGTGTCCCCAACAGCGGTCACTCGTGGCCAGGCCAGACTGTTTCCAGTGTTGTGTCGTGTGCGCCCGAGTGGCCGGCGAGGAATGCGGCGGCAGCCCGGAGGCCGTGTGCGACGCCCACCTCCACTGCGTGGACAACAAGTGCAAAGGTGAGCTCACGACCAAAATAATATAAAAGAAACTTTAGATCTAATTATGAAGTGTTAGTTTCGTCATGATAATTTGAAGATAAAATTTAATTGAACAAAAATCCAACAATTTAATCTATTTTGTTAATAGTGTTGGAAGCAGTGTTAAAGCAACACTTTCACTTAATTTAATTATTATATTGTAAAAAGAACATTATAAAGTTATATACAATTTAATATTTTAAATTAAAAAAATAAGTAAATGTCAAATAATTAATATTTCACTAATATTGTAGTAGAATTTCACGATCGAGGATTGTTTCATGGTGAATTGAATTTAAAGTTGTCTTTTCATCGAAGGGTCTTGTGAGTGGTTTATTGATTAGAAAGCAGGATATATTGTTTATCTTAAACAATAAATAACTCACAAAACTCATCGAGGAAAAGTTGACTTTAAATTCAATTCACAAAATTTAACTATTAAGTAAAAAAGCATATTATGAAACTAAATAAACTGCAGCATTAAATTTATGTAAAACTATTTACCAAAAATTTTTATTGCCTTTAAGTAAAAAAGGAAATAGAAAAATTACACTTTCATCAATTGTTCATTAATAAAAACATGAAAAATCTAATTAAAATAATGGTAACTAACAATAAGCATAATGTATTTGGATTGGTAAATTTTCCTGTTAAATACATGGAATAAGTCGAATAAGTTATTTGATCTTGTGAATCACACTGGAATTTCCCACTATAGACCTTGGTATAGAAGGAATCAAATTGTGTGAGTGTCGCAGAGACGAATTACCCTCGCGATTCTGAGAACTGTACTTTATCATTGTTACCTTCTCGATGGAGGAAAAGTCAAGTGCACTTACAAATAAATAACACTCTTGGAAAGAACATGTTCACAATGAACAGACATTTCGTGCACGGCTCCCTAATAATAATCAAAGCTCGTCTAAACACACGAATGAGAACGGTACTATTTACTTATTTAGGTTCTAAAAGGGAAGTGTGAGATTAAAATTTAGTTGTAAATTAAATTTAGAGAAATTTATTACTTTAAATTCAGACTTGATTTGATTGAATTTAACTTGATTTTATTGAAAATGGGTTTGAGTGCCGGTGCGCAAATTTAGGTTAGCAGCAGAATGAGCTTTCTAAAGCCACGGCGGTAAAAGGAGGCACAGAGCAATGCTTAAACATGCTCTTGCCGAGCACAACGAAGACGATGATGATGATGACGATTGGCGGATTAAAGCAAAGAAAGACTCTCGCGGCTTATTGCGCTTTCTCGTTTGAGTAATTGCCAATAAAATTGCGGAAAGCTGGTTTTTTACAAAGCCGTTCAAATATTTAAAAATATAAATTTTATAAATCTATTTTCTGAGGTCAACTCAAATTGATTTAATTGATATTTTAGTCTCTCTTATCTTTGCCAGGGAGTCTCAAAAAGTCTTCCAAGCAGCAAAAGTCGCATGCGCGCCTTCCAAAGCATCGCGTACGCCTGGAGAGATTTCAATTAAGTGGCTAAATTTGGCGGAAAATTTCGTCTACAATCTGCAATTCCGCGTTATGTTTGTGATTATTTCAGCTTGAACAAAGTCACTCCTAACCTACATTATTAAATTAATCAAAAAGAATGTGTTCCAAATGTAAAAAAGTGTCAAATAATATCGTTTTTCTTTTTTTTTTATGATTTTGCTTTTGAGCTTGTTGTACATAATTATAATCGGTTAATTGAATTAAAATCTACACTGCTTTTCACAAAACCTCACATTCATATTTCGAGTGAATGCACACGGCGCTTTGTGCTGCAAGAGAGATTTTTGCCACGTTTTACACGAAACATGCAGGAAACAGCGCAGATTAGAAAACAATCAGAGGTCAGTTGGAAGATAGCAATTGGTGTACCGACGAATGTAATTTCACTTTTGGTACTCGCCGCACGTCGATTGAAAATTTCTCTTGCGAATGCACTTTCGGCGGTCGGAACAAAAACATTTACAAGAACGTGAGCGCCAAATTATTCTCTAGCAGCACATTCTTTGTAAGATATTATTTACTTCAATAATAGGCATCAAAATAAAAGTAGATCCCAGTAGATCCTAGAGTAAAAAAATATATATTTTCTTCATTGCCAAATAAAATAACACGGCAAAAGTGCAAGATAAATATTTCTATTTAATAAATACTTACTGTGCGTACTGATATTATTTTTTTTTTAAAGGTAAATGGAAATTCTTATGTTATTTAGTTTCCTTTCTACTCTCTATGTATTCCTTTCCCGACCGGCCGGTGTTGGAACGCAAAAGAAAATAATAACCAAAGGCAGGGCCCCATGACTGCGAAAAACATGCGGTTGTAGTTGGATCGTAAGAGAGAGAGGAACCGGTTTTTGCTCTGTTGGTAATCAAAAAAGAGTCACAAAGAGAGCAAAGACTGGTCAGATGGACACACACGTATTGGAACAAATTAAGTCATGCGGATATTTTTTAAGCATACGTTCTGTTTTCACCTTTGCCGTTGAAATTTCCATCGAAATTCCACACTCATTCAAGAAACGAGGGAGCACTAAATAAAATTACTAAGTGTCATTGGCTTTAACAGGGGAGTGTTAATGCGAAAAACGCGGATTACGCGTCCGCGACTCAACGCGCTGCGCCAAATTAGCGTGGGTGATGGAGTGCTGTTATTATAATGTAGTACAGAGAGAGAGAGAAAAAGAACGCTGCAGTTCAAGTGACTCACTCTCGTAAATATGCTGGCGGAAATTCGAGCACAGATTTAAAAAATAAAATAAAAATGAATGCCAGCAGCTTTTTGGTGAAAGTTGTTTTCGTTCCTGCTGAAAAATGCCAAAAGAATTCAGGAGGTTTTTGGTTAAATTTAGTTTCTAAATGCATTTAGCCACTTTTTACTTATTTTCCAATTTAGAATATCTGTATTGACCGAGAAGAATAAAAAATAATAATATTAATAATTTTCTTTTTTCCAAAAAATTGTTTTTTTTTTTATTTTCAGTCATGAAGGGCTATAATCAAATTCTGTGGGAATTTCTTTTTTAAATTTTACATGCGCTACAAAAAAAGTAATTTTGTAATAAAGAGGACAAAATCTCAACATGTTATTTTTCGTTCTAAAACGTATCAAGAGTAGATCATCAGCAGAAAATGAGCTTCTCGATGATCTGCACAAATCGTGCTTACTCAACACTTCCTTGCGCGTCAGGTTTGGTGGAAAAGCATGTGCTGCAGACAAAAAGGTGTCTTTTATGCAGCGTGCAAATGCCATTTATTATATTTATATTTTCTCGCGTGTGCGTGTCATTTGGCGCAATGAAAAAAGTATCGGGCTCAAAGCAAACACACATCCTCCTGCTGCAAATGTGAAACTCGGCGCGGCAGAAAAATTTCACCCGTACAAAACGTTGTGTAAAAGGTGAATCGAGACGAGGATTAAGGAACATAATGAGAAAGAAAAGAAAAGATCCTCTCTCTTCGCGACGCTCACTCCATTCGCTCACCGAGAATCAAACTAGTACTGTGTGTCTGGAAATCCAGGTCACACGTTGAAGTAAGTAGCGCCCCTGATCGCGCTTTTGACGCGACTCATGCAGCACATAAGTTATTCAGAAATGAGAATTTAAATTTTTGTAATATACTGAACTGTCTGACCTTAACGTGCTTGCAACAAAAAATTTGTAATTTTTTTTCCCAATTACAATTTTTTTTATGCACAATGCAATTGAATTAGAAAATTTAAATTTCAATATTTTTAAATAAAAAAATCATAATTAAATACTGGCCACGACAATCATTATTTAACATTATTTTTTTTAATATTATTAATTACATATCATGCCATATCCGTTGCCAAAATATAAAAAAATAATTATATCTTCCGAAATATATTTCTTGATAATAATAGAACCATCCTGTATTTTTTATGGAACTATAAATTAGTTGTGATTCAAGAAATTTCGAAAGTCTAAATATGCAGGAATATATTATTATTTACATAAAAAGTATTCCTCACTCAATTATTTCCGCCTAGGGAGCGTTAATAGGCTGTTAAATTTCGTTCCACAGCAGGATTCCTGCAATTAATTCGATATTTTCAATTCATTATTCTCATTTTCACTCAGCCCTGAGAGTAAATTACACTTTTGGCAGTGATGCACATTCACTTGCTAATTTCGGAGCTCTGCGCGTGATGCTATTTATTTTCAATTTATATTTACGACGGCGGCGAAGCGTTATTATTTTAAAACAGACGCTTGGCCGTTTTATTATTTTTGCGCGCAGAATAATTTGCTCCCAAGCTTATGATGTTATTTTTTTGTACGGAAACGTGGCGGAAAATTGGTCCGCGTTGAAAAAGAGGGCAATTTCCTGCTCCAGATTAAAATTGAGGTGGACAAAAGCTGCGTGGGTGACGAATATATAATGCTTTTTGATAAAAATTGTGGACTATAATGAAGATGTGCTCGAAGTTAAGTTAAAATTTCACTTTTTTGTAATAAGAGAAATCATTATAGAAAATTGAAAAAATTATTAAATTAAATTGTCATTATTAAATTTCGAGCAGTATATCAAATTTATGGAACAAAATTGCTTTTTACGCTATATTTATCTTAAAATCTTGCTAACTTAATTTTCCTGGCCAACAATTTCCAACAATTTTTCAGATTTTTTATCTTAATTGAAGCTTTTTGTGAGCCTTTTTAATTCAAGCACGTGTGCATTTCAAATGTACCGTATGCTCGAATTAATTGAACTTTTGAGACAATGCGAGTCCGAATCGGATCACCCAGATTTTATAATTTAAAGACGCCGGCAAAACAAAAGACCGGCTCATTCCAGGAACTTTTCAGTCAGTGTCAGTGCGACAATTGCCATTGAGCGGCCCCATCAAAGTCGCGGTTACTCGCGCTTCAATTGAATATCCAGTTTCATTCACTCGCTGGCCTTATTATTATAGAGTGGCTAACGGGACAGGCCGGCTCGAAATATCGTGCGTTGTTATTTTGGCGGATTCGTCCGGGAATTAAAGAGAAGCGATAAGAAGAGGGCGCGGGCATGTCTTTAATGCATTTCGCGTGTTGGCCGGACGGTGTGCGTTGTGACCCCCGCGAATTCAGAGTTCATTTGAGAGAAAGGGAGGCTCTTCTTATTTTGCCTCGCCGCGCGAGTCACGAGTTGCCGCGTCGTGCATTGTTTCTTTCCTATCCTAACTCGCTTTGCTTTGTGTTGCGAGTAGTTTTTCCTCTACCTGCAGATGATGGCGTGTTCGATTTTAGCGCTTTTTGTTTCCCCGTTTCAGTTGCATCACGGCGGAAATATTCCGTGCTCTGATGATATCACGCCGGACTATAATGTACCTCTTCGGGGCATGGAGAGGAATTTTTTGCTCGGCACAACACAAATTATGCACCTTGACGTGCAATTTCTATACTGCACCCACTTTATGGCTTTGATAAAAATGCGGGGCATATTTAAATTTCTCTGATGGAAATGAGAGTGAATTTTTTTCCAGATTCATATTTTATTTTTTACCATACCTTTCTTACTTAAAAATATACAACATGTTATTTTGATAATTTCTACCAATTTGCATTTCATAAAGAATTTGTTTTCAATTAAAAATTTACTTTGGAAATAATAAATTTTACTGTCATTTTTTTTAAAATGAAATTTTCAAAAGGAACTACATGCTGAAATTCTCTCGGGAAAATTTTGGTAATTAAAAAGCAATAAAATTTCTAATGTTTACTATAATTTCACACCTCCACTGACCTTGATGCCTTTCCCCATTTTCCCACGGCAGCCAAATTAAGAATTTATATTTTTCAAGAGGCTCTTAAATCTTTTCGCATTATACTGTGTTCACCTTAACACACTTTTTATCAAATTTTTAATACCTTTAATATCCTTCGATTGACAAAAAAGGATTTGTTTTATCAGAAGAAAAACTTAAAATTATTTACAATGATCATAATTAATTGGCAATAAAGCGATCGATTAAGGGCAATTATTGCCGCTGAGCTGCTGATAATGATTAAAAGCAATTGACCGCCGATCGTGATTATGTCACTTGTTTTAGATTGAAAAATAATCATAATCAAATGCGAGTAATAAAGCTCATCACAAGGCTGATGAATTAGCGACGAAGGAACTTTTAGCAAAAATAGCACAAGGTCGTTTCTAATATTGAGAGCACAAACATCTGATTAATAAATGCTTCTAGAAAATAGGAAATTTTAAATGTTCGTTTTTTGTAATTACTCGAGTTTTATAAATAAACGAATATTTCAAATAATTTTACGAGAGGCGAAAAGTTTATGTAAAGTTGACAAATAATCATAAAACAAACCGAGACCTTTTCAAACTCGTAAAATCCTCTATGAAGTATGCGACCACACACATCGCAACAAACCACTTGAACCTCTGTGATTGCGCGATGGTGCTTCTCATTTTGCTTGTCGGTTTTTCTTATCGACCACCGCGCGTCTCCTGATTGATTCTATCTTGACATGCAGATGACAAAGTGTGAGAACACTAGTTTTCTGCACGCTTAAACTTTTTCAAGTGACTCTTCTATTTTTTTCTTGTTTACTTTGTTACTCTTGCGTCTTTCAACTATATCAAATGCTTAGAGAGTTTTTTAATTTCGCTCTTGACCAATGTCTGATAATCGTTTTGTACTTGAATTTTCATTGAAAGGAGATAATTTCAGCATGTTAAAAAACGGCTAATTTCTATCGATAAGAAGTGTGTACACAATTGTAACAGGTACGCCCGTAAATCAAACGATGACGCCGCCGTGATCTTGGCCGTGCCTGTATAATGAGTAATAATTATTTTCACCGAAAGTGGGCAGGTTACCCCTCAAGGTCTAAAAATAATAATTTCTAAAGAGTGGGATATTTTTGAAGAACAGAAAGAGAAATTAAATACCTTTTATTGATTACGGGTTGAAGAAAAATTGTATAAATTTCAATTTGAAAAAAAAAAATCTGTAAAACTCCAACTTTGTAACTTTTCATTCCTTTTTTACTAATATTTTATAAATAATTATTTAATTTAAAAATATCTCAATAATTATACAAAAATTAATTAACCACACCATTTTTCTCAATACGATGTGTTACATATAAAGCCATTCAAAGAAAATACTTCATATAACAACTCTCACGGAAGAGTGTTTCGAGCAGACTGAAATATTATTTGCCTGTGTGATGTGGTTGCTGGCTCGCAAAGCTGCAACCAAACCCAGCATCGCATGTTTTGTCGTCATTTTTCGCTCGCAACAATTATATATATTCTTTTAACTCTGCGGTAGAGCAATTAAAAAGGAAGCTCTAATTTTGCAAGCACACATGCATCGCTGCACGTGAACAAAAGCTGCAAAGAACACACGTATAAATATTCAGAGGTGATTAGAATTGGAATTTATCAGTGCGAAGAGGAGGAGGAGCCGCGATAAGCCGGCCCGAGAATTAGAAGCGAAGGCTCAGGGGAAAAAACGCGACTAGAAAAAGAGCCAAGTAATAGCCGGGCCGGTTGGGGCCATCTACGAATTTGGCGCTGAGCTGCGTAGGTAAAAAACTCGGACGCCCTTGAAATCGAATTGACGCGAAACTCGCGGTTCGCCGTTTAATAGGCGCCCTACGGAACAAATTGTTCAATTCTCTCGCGTTATTAAGACAAAGTGGGACGCCTTTGTGCACTTTTCATATCAACCCGAAAACGCGTTATTGAAAAATGTGAATTTTTTCTACATTCGCTCTCGCAGTGAGTTGGAAGAGAGATTCTATAATAATGCCTCTTACGTCATCGCAACCTTGAACCTGCCGCTGGCTCGCTCGAAAATCATCCTCGCCGACTTTATTTATTTTTTGTTCGCGCGTGGTTTCGATGCAAATCATTAATAATTATCCTCGTTGGGTATTTTTTCTCTCTTGTGGTCTAAACGATTCATTGTGCTTGGTCTTTTATTGCCCAGTTGGGAACCGGCATCATGTAATTTTTCGACCGCTCATAAAAAGAGCCAAATGCAACAAAAGTAGAAATCCAATGGAAGACGGACAAAATTTCTCATTCAAAAAACCCTTCTCATTTTAATTAATTGTCAGCAACGACTCGTAAATTATCCAAAGAGTGGCTCATTTCCATTTACAAGCTTTACAACTCATTCGAATTGAGATAAGAAAGGTTTTCAACGCCGACGGGATGCAGCCTGAAAGGTGCAGTCACGTGACCTAGCGCTGAACAGAGAAAGTATCCTTGGTGCTCGCTGGTTAGTCAGTTGCGGACGTTGAACTCCCTAGCTATAACTTTTGTCCCTATCATCATCTCCTCTTTCCGACTCTCCTGCTCCTACCAACAGAGAAAAAGCACTTTGGGAAATAAAAAGAGGCGGATAATTGCAATTGCGACGCCAATTATAAAGAGTGTTGCGATTTAATTACGCTGCCTTGTACGAGATTTTATCCCGCGCGAATTCAGTTTCTCAGCTCTTGCGCAAATGGCCCTTAGTTAGTGCATCTCTCGTGGGAGTAATTTGCCTTTGTTTTAGTAGATAAGTGTATGGAAATATAATCGTATGATTGCACATTTTTGTGTGTAGGTGAGAAAAGGTCAGGCGTTGCAAAGGTCGCTGGCAAATAACCAGTGTACATTACTTGCTTATAGAAACTAAAATTGAATTCGCAAGCAAGGTGACAAATTTGGCAGCACTTTCTCCTTAAACTTTTTGTTTCTACCTCATTTGTATTCCGCGTACGTGGGACGCAAATCGATTACGCACCTTTTATAATTATTGTCGGCGCGCTGTCATTTGAATAAATAATTTAAAAGAAAAGCGGTGAAAGAAAATGCGCATGAGTAAACTGTGTCAACTCGTATAGAATTAAAATACATTATCATTTTGTTTTCACTCTCTAAAATTATAATTTATTTTATGACGCAACAAGATTTAAAACTGTCAAGGTAAACGTGACGTTATTTTTGGTTTCAGAGTTGCCAAGACTGTTGTGGCCGTCGTCGGAGCCAATTGAGATTCTGCACGTCGCTCCGATCAACAGCGATGGCGTCGAAATTTTCATTAGAATTCCTGATGGAGCGGCCGAGGTGGCCAAGTCGATTGAAATTCAACAGTATGCGGTGCCCACAAGTCCTCGGAATCGCGTCAAAATCACGCGAAAATCGCCCGCCTGGGACGAACGCACTTTCGTCGTCCAGGTCGAAGGTCTTAAATGGAAAGAATTGTACCTGACGGTTGTTGCCGGCGAGTTCAGGTCGCCAGGCTTCAAAGTGAACCTTAACGAGAAGCTCCCCACCATGAGAAAACTGCTTTTTGCCGAACCTGACGAAGAGGAAACAAATAAACGTAGATTTAACTTTTTTAGAGAATTTTGAGAGAGAGTGTTAAAAAAAATTATTTAATTTTTTTCAGCTGAGGCCACTCCGTGTATGTACGAAGGCAAGGCTTTCAATCCAGGCGAGGCTTACCTGAGCACCAACTGCAGCGAAAGATGCGAATGTGACGGAAAGGGAATCTTCAAGTGCGAGCCAACAAATGACGAAACTTCCTCTGCCTGCTCCAAAGTTACTGATATTGGAGGTAAAAATCATATAATTCTTAATTTTGACAAATAATTTCAATTAAAAAAATAATAATAAAACTACCCATAAAAATGCATAATATTTAAAGCGAAACAATAAATTTCAAAATTATACAATTGTATTTTATCAGCAAAAAAAATTATAATTTATTAAAGATTCAATTTTAGTAACTTAAAAGACCAAATAAGGAAATATAGGGGATTTTAATGCTGGGTTTTCTAAAGATTTGTCATTCCGCAGCTGAAATGCTTTCCGTTGTTGATTCAACCAATGACACCCTAACCGTGCGGTGGCGCGGTCACCAAGGAATGATTCTGCAGTACAGAGAAGAGGGCACAAATGACCCATGGCAGCGAACGGATCGTTTGACCCCCGACGGCACCCAAGAACCGGCCACGATTGTCATCTCAAACCTCAACTCTGTGACCACTTACGAAGTTCGCACCCTTTTGCCTGGTCAGGAGGAAGGGCGATCGGCCAGGGGTGAAGACTTGCCCACCAAAGGCACCACCAAGCCCTTGAATGAGCACCAAGAATCCGGTTTCTGTGTTGTTCTAGGTAATATTTTCAATTGCTGATTTTTTATAATAATTACAAAATAATTTAATTAGGCAAAAAAATCCCAAGTGGAGAGGAAATTCCAAGCGGCAGCGGCACCTGCAGCGAGCAAAAGTGCATTTGCCAGCCGGGGCAGCCACCGATGTGCCGTCAGAGGTGCAGCGTGCCCTTCTTCAGACGCGGCGCCTTCAGCCAGGACGACCTGTGCACCGAGAAACCTTCCCCGGAAGACGCGTGTTGCGTCATTCTGCAGTGCACTGACCAAGACGCGGAGGGCACAGGCACCGATCCTTGCGATCAGTGCTCCGAAAACACCGATTGCCACAAGGCGGCCGTTCAGACCGACGAGGCTCTGTGCATGTGCAAGGAGGGCTTCGTTGGCGACCCCTACGACAAAAAGAGCGGCTGCAAGCCCACGGCGCCGCTGCTCGCCACTAAAGAGCTCAAAAAGTGCTTCTACAAGAACAATTCTTATTCGATGGGCCAACTTTTCTACGACGGCTGCAAACAGAAGTGCACCTGCAACAACCAGGCTGAAATTCAGTGCGAGGTAATTTCAAAATTTTCATTTTAAAAAAATAAATAACTAATTTATTTATTTTCTTAGCCTCGTTGTCCGAAAATTTCTGAAAAAATGTCCGAGGGTTGCCAGATGGTGACCAACCCTGAAGACGTCTGCTGCAAAATGATTAAATGTGATGATAAATCAGAAAAATTAACCACAGGAGTTACATATACTGGTAAATTTAATTTTTTTATTGCAACTTTAAAAAACTAATTTAATTTTACCCTCAGAGCAAGGTACGCCGGTGAAAGGCTGTGTGTACAAAGAAAAGTTGTACAAGAAAGGTCAGACCTTTGTTGACGGATGTGAGAAGAATTGCACTTGCAGCCAAAACGGAGACGTTATTTGCAAGGCGAGGTGCAGTCCGCTTGAGCCCAATCCATCTGACAAGTGCGTCACAGTGCCCGACCCGAGTGACATTTGCTGCACCAAAATTTTGTGCGACGTGGGCGAAGAGAGCAACGAGAGCCGAAATCCTCGTGAGTTTATTATATTTATTTTAGAAAATTTCAAGCTTTTTTTCTAATTGTCTAATATAAATTTCAAGCATCGAGTATAGAAGCAGAGGATGCGGAAGTGAAGGGAATTGACATTGATGGGGTCAAGGCTTTCAACAGCTCCTCGGCCAGGCTAATCGCCCACTTGCCAGGCAACATGACGTGGCAGCAAGGTGATTAGACAATTTTTTTTTGTGCCACTGCTTTAAAAAAACTAATGACGTTCATTTCTTAAACAGGTATTCCGGAGCTTGCTGTTTTTTACACCAAAGATCCCAACGGGCATTGGAGCAAGGCGCCAGTCATTAGCACCAACCCAGGTGTCAAATCTGACTTGGAAATTTACGCCAGCGGACTGCCGTCTGGAAAGATTTACTTGAGAGTTGAAAATGGAGCACTGAAGAGCAAGGACTTTTCTATCACTCTCCCTGATTCACCCACAGGTATAAATTTATTAAAATTTATATTTAACTGGCGCGTTAATTTTTACTTTGACATTTAGGTTCCACTCCCGGCAAAGAGTGCGATCATAACGGCAAAATCTACAAATTGAATGAGGAATTCCACAACGGGTGTGAAGAGTACTGCGCCTGCACAAAAACTGGCATCCAGTGCGCCACCATTGAATGCCCGACTGACTTTGCTCTTGATGTTTTGGACCCTTATTGTCTTGATTGGGAAAAGGAGCCTGGATTTGTTGCTGTACCACCACGGTGCTGCCCTGATATGATTTGCAAAAGCAACGGAACTTGTCACTATAAGGTATTTCAAAATTTTATGAAAATTAATTATTGTTAATAAAAATAAATGAATGAATAAAAATAGGGTGAATCGTTTGACAACTATGCGGAGATTCCAACCAAAATCACCGGCTGCGAGCAGCGATGCTACTGTGAGTTTGGAAACGTGACCTGCAGCCCCGCTTGTCCTCCAGTGCCAGCGACCCCTCCACTCACCATTGGCTGTGACCCTAGCGAGGCCAGACTGAGCCACTTGCCAGGAGAGGACTGCTGTCTTTACTGGCTGTGCCCGCAACCGCAGGGCGCCGGCCAGAAACCACCCCTAGGTATGAAAAAATCATGACTCACATCTCAAATCGCACCCCTTCGCATTATCACAAGTCCTTATTTTCGCGCTGGCACTCACTATCGCTCTCTTCCGACTCCTTCTTGAGCACCACTTGGAATCTGATTTCAGGTGATGCAAAAGGACACGATGAAAATGACACGACAAAACAGACTGAAACGGCCAATTTCATGCCCACCCCTGTCCCAGACGAACCCTCCACAAAGACCAAAGACAATAAAAACAGCAAATCAAAAACACCCCTGGTCCTCAACCCTGACCTGCAGACAAAGAAACCCACTTCTTCCTTGGAGCCAATCGACCCATCAGTGCCGCCGACGCCGTTCACCCCTCCAAAAACCAAAACCACTGAACCGTTTTTGGGCCCCTACGCCCCTGACTACAAGGAGTCGCCGTTTTCATTCCACGGAGAACCGGTCGAGCATGGCTACATCAATCGTCCGCCGGCTGGAGGCGGCAAAGCCCCTGTGCAAAAGCAGCAACCCCACATCGACCCTCACTTTTTGGAAGATCTGCTCAAGGGCAACTGGAACCAGGGGCAGCAACCTCCTCCCCTCAGAGGCCACCCTGATGAAAACAGACAAACGGTCGTTGGTCAGATTCCACCCCATCTGCTGCAAACCGTGAACCGAAACCCGCAAGGCGCACCCCTGCCGGTGGACAGTGCCGGAAGACCGATTTTGTCTCCGATCGCAGCTCACATCGAGCAGCACTTCCAAAACCACCCTGGCCGACCTCAGGGCCATCCAGGGCACCCTGGGCACTTGAACGAGGCGCCACCGAACGATTACGACGAGCACTATATTCTGCAAAACGGGCAACTGATTCCCTTCAATCCGGCCCAGTTCCAACCTCAGGACCCGCAAGGCGCCCGGAGGCCGCCGCAGAACTTCGGTGGACACGTCCTGGTCTCAAGAAACGACACGCAGTTCACTGACCCTGACGCTCTCTCCTCTAATTCGCACGAAAAGACACCTGACAAAGGTTTGACCACAGTTCTGTCGCTTTTTCCTATTCTGCCATAAACACATTCGACCATTTCATTTTAAAATCGACAATTAAATAATTTTGTAAAATAATTATTTTGTAATTATATTTTCAGCAAACGCTCCATCAAATTTGCCATTCCCCTCAGTCAACACTAGTAAGTACTTAAAAAAATTAGTTTTAATCATTCATTATAAACCCATTATTTTTATTCACTTTTTAATTTGGAAATGAAGGGCGATTAGGACTAGCAGGTAATCTGCCAAAAGTCGTTTTTCAACTTTTATTTTTAAATAAATATAAAAAATTTGGTACAATTTTATTTCTAACCTGAATACAGAAATATATAAATATTTGTATAGCAAGCCTATTTAATGAGACGGAAAAATATAGAAATGATTCAATTTTATTTGAAACTTCCAATCGAGCGAGTAATTTTGTTACTTAAGATGCGGATATTTTCTAAATATTTCCAAATTTCAGATGAGATTACCCTTTTGCCACCAATGCCGTTGGGGCCCCGCGCGGTTCGACTTATCTTCCAAGTGCCCAGAGTGTACATTGGTCTGAACGGCAAGGTGGAAGTTCGATACACTGACGGCTCACGGTGATAATAAAAATATAAATTTTGATTAAATAACCTAACTTGTGTTTAGGGACATAAACGACCCGTCCAAGTGGGAAAGGGCGATGACGGAGACGGACGAGTTGATCGACGGCGTGCAGATGGCCCATGAAGTTTCCGGCCTGAAGCCAAACACCGAGTACCACTTCCAAATTGCGATCCACGTGCGCGAGTTGGGCTCGATGGTGAGCCACGTGGCGATCGTGCGAACGCCGCACGACGTGGCCTCCGCGGGTCCCCAGGTGATTCCAGTCGACGCCGGCCTGGCCGTGTCACAGGTCAACGCGACCTGGATCAAGGTGTCATGGCGTAAGTTCTCTGAAGACGAGCTGCAGTTCATCGACGGCGTGCAAATTCGCTACAGGGAGCGCGGCTCGCAATTGTTCCAATCGACGCCGCTCATTCACAGGCTGGTTGACTCGTACCTGCTTGAGGACCTCAACCCGGGCACCGAGTATGAGATCAACATCATCTTCGTGCCCTTCTTGGGTCAGGACACCGAACTGCAGGCCATGAGATCAGTTCAAGCTACCACAGGACCTCCCCAGGGTGAGTTACTTACATTTAACTGTTGATTTTTTTTTTTTTTTTTTTTTTTTTTTTTTTTTTTTTTTTTTTTTAGGGTCAGGCCAAGACAAAGTCTTGTCGGCCTGTGCCCTGATGCAACAAAATTTTAAATTATTCGATTTTACTTGAATAATAATTTTTTTATTGATTCCAAGGGAATCTTCTAAAGAAATAAATATTTTAAGGGTGTAATTTAAAAAAAATTAGTTTAATAAAAAAATATATTTTTTATATATACCTCTGATTATGATTTGTTTTAAAATTTGTTTTAAATTCTCACTGTCAGTACTTTTACCAAATTTAACTCTAATTATCATCATTTATTCTTCTCGTTCAAGAACTACAGTTTAAAACACTGATTTTTGCATGCAAATATCTGAGCAAACAAGTTGAAAAGTGCAACCTTATCAAGAAAAAATGATAACAAATATAATTAATGTACTTTTTTCTTTAACTTATTTGACTCGACTGTGCAAGCCGACTTTTATTGCCTCTAAAACCAACTATAATGCACGAGCCTCCATAATTTCTCCATTTTGAACAAAATCTTGACAAAAATGTTTCAGCTGACCCATACGGCTTTGACCTCGCGGTGCACGTGGCCATGGTGAAGGCGAACAGCGTCGAGTTGAGCTGGACAGGGGTGCCGAATCCCGAGGACAAATATGTCAACATATTCCGGGCCATCTACCAGAGCGACGTCGAGGCCAACAAGCACGAGCTGAGCTCCACTTTCAAGCTGGCCAAGCGCGACAGCGTCTCCAACCGCACCCGCACCGTCATCCAGGCGCTCAAGCCCAACACCAGGTGCGTGAATTTGTGATAAAAGTCTCGGGAATTGTGCTAATTAGCGGCTAATTCAGGTACCGCATTTGGCTGGAGGCGTACTTGACAAACGGCAAAGTGAAGAGGAGCGACGTCAGAACTTTCACCACCAAGCCTGGTCTGCTGCCGTCGGCGGGCGCCTCCGAAAGAGGTGCGTTCGTTTTTATAAAAAACTTTTCCCAAGAAATGTGACTTTTCTTTTTCAGTCGCCGAAGAACCCCGCGGCGATTATTACGGCGCACTCGTGGGCGTCTCGGTGTTTGCCGCGCTGGCGGTCGTCGCGCTCGTCATCCTCATGATGATCATGGTGCGCCGCCAACACTCAGTCACTGCCAACATCACCTCCAGGGGCAAGTCGGAGGCAGCCTTTGACAACCCTTCCTTCAAGGCAAGCAAAATAAAAACTAGATTTTTTTGCATTTAAAAAAAAATATAGTAGAATTATTTAATTTTTAGATTAATTTTTCAAATAATTTCATCATATTTATACAATTTTTTTTAGAATTCAGATGAGCCTGCTGTAGTCACGAATGGTTCTTCCAAAAGAACGGCGCAAGAGGATGCCTAATTAGAAAAGTACTGCCACCAATTGATGAAACCTTGCTCATGCTGGAGACGAAATTTCATCGACCCAAAAGTGAATTTTGAGAACAATTTAACATTTGTTAATTAAGGATTGTGATGAAGGAACAAATGAGTCGCTCTATAAGATTTTTCATTCATTTTTTCTCGTTTGGATATATATTTTGTGATTGCTGTTTGACTGGTGTTGATTGTTTTTTTTTTTTTGACAAAAAGCAGAGCTATTTTTTTAGATTTCATTACTCCCGAAATATTGCTGCAGGTATATATACCCATTTAAGACTGCATTTTTACACATTCGTCCATTTTCACGCCATGTGCATTTTTTTCAATCGTCCATCACCTTGACTGACAAGCGAACCACCCGACCCGGTACTTTAATTGTTTTCAGGCAACCCTCATATTTTTCTGATGTTCTTAATTTGTAAGTTGTTTTTAAAACCGTGCGTACAAGACGTCGCTGACTGTCGGTTGAATTTTTTTCTTAATGCTAAAGTGAGAGTGGATGAGAATTTAATTTATTAGATTTAATCGAACGATTTTGGTGACTAGAAAGAGCGGATTCAATAATTAATTTGAGTTAATTTATAAGTTAGTTGGAACTCATCAATACTTATTTAGGCGGGTATTATATACAGAAGTCACGCATTTCGAACACAGGCGACACCTGAAACTTGGTCAAGTAGTTAATTTGTCAATGATTATTTCTGCTGTTTGTGCCATCAAGAGCCTTGATTTAAAAAAAAATGGAAACCCAAACTCATATATACAGATGTTTGTAAATAATATCGTAATTAGGAGATTTATACAACAATAATACATTATTTGAGCTATAAAATAAACATAGAAATGTGTTTAATATAATAATTTTGTATGAGATTCGTACCACTGCTATTGAAATAAATTAAAATTATAATTGCAAAAGCTGGTCGTGTTTCATTTGCATGACGTTCCAGTAAAGGTTAAAGCGTAATTATTATGCTAATGAGAGCGATGGCGGCTCGCGGTTTAGAGTTATTGCCCCTCCACAATATAAAGTTTGTCTGCTGAGAAGTCTGTGGGAAATCCACGGGTATTACAATTTGTTTCATAAAAAACTATTTTAGTTAAAATTTTGTGACATTAAAAATTTAAAAAAAAAAAATTGTTTCAATAATTACTAATTTATATTTTCTGATAGCCCACTTTCTAAATAAATTAAAATTTACCAAAATTACTTACAATAAATCTCTAATGAAATGCTGTTATTAAAAAAAATCCCTTAGAACTTCTATACCATTCACAGGGAAACAAACAAGATGATATAATATTGATAAAGCGTCAATAAACTCTAACTTGTCCTTGAAAAAACTTGTCCTTGCCAAGAGACAGTGACCGAGGAGAAAGACTTACAGACCTTGCTCTTGTCAGCATAATGTCGGATAAACATGTCGCCAAACAAACAGACTAGCGTGTGCGGCGGCCTCATTAAAAATTGGTGAGGCTCGCGATCGAAGTTGGTCATTACGCGGCGGCGATTCATGAATTCGCTGCTTCGCGGAGAGGATCGATGGCCGCGCTAATCTATCTATCGTTGTGACCTGCGTGCTTGACACACAGCGCGAGGAGCCGCAGCCGCGTGGTCGTCTGCTGACCAGCAGTCAACGCAGTCACGCTGGCCCGCATGGACAAATGGTTTGGTGATCGGCGCTTTTGGCTCTTTGGGGGGCAGGCACCGCTCCTCTCGCTCAGGTAAATCCAACATTCAACCCTCTAATTAGCCCCGAGAGGGTGGGCGGGCAGCTTTGGCATGCACACACGTTCCCTCTAGCTCGGCACGAGATCGCACTTGTTAGCTTTCTGCCGAGCACGATGGAAGAAGTCTTGCTTTTTGCCGAATGAGTTCTTGATGTGGGAGCAGGGTTGCCCTTTCATATGATGATCTCGACCTCATCGACCTCGTATAGAAGAAGGTGGGTGCATTTTAAAGTTCAGTTTTATCCAACATTGTCTCTCATTTGCACGGCTAGTGAAAAATAAAAATGATTGCAAAAAAATCAAATTTCACACTACAAAAGTTTTATTTTATTTGATTGCTAAATATTAAAACGGGGATTTTAGAGTGCGACCTCAATTTTTATTAAGAATTTTTCATGAAAATTTAATTAAGTGATTAGAGAAGTAAATATCAAATTCAACAATTCTTTTATTTCCTTTCACTTAAATTATTTTGAAATTTTACTGAAATCGCTACAAAAAAAAGATTAGCAATCTCTAGATCGCTGATTTAAACAATTATTGGCTTTATCTTTAATCAATTTTTAGGCATTTTAATTTAAACATATATTTTTCGTTTCATAAAAATTATCTTGCCATCTGTCTTTTTACTTGTGTTTAAATCTCACTGCACTGCTCGCGTTTAAAGTCAAAGCCCCAAAAGACCAAACGCGTTTCTTGCGGAGCCATAAATTTCTCGGTGCGGCTGCCTATCCTAAATTATCCCACGTTCGCCGCCGAGATAAATGAACTGAGCTGGAAAACGGTGGGCGAGAATTTCCCACAAACGTTCTCAGAAAATAGGGTTGTCGGGGGTGGTTTATTAAATAGAAACGAATGACCCATTAAGAAAGGCAGCGACGGGGGAATAAAGGGGATGAAAGTGGCACGCGCGTCTGATTATAATTACAAATTATAAAATATTGCGCTCCGCAAATTCTTCTCTTCCCTGCTCGAATTAAAAGCTGCGAGAGGGGTGCGTGGTGAAGAATTATTGAACTCGGCCAAGGGGTGGATTTTTTTTCCATCTTCGCAGCATGTCTGGCAGGAGTAATTAGAAAAGAAGAAGAATGGGCCGCGCACGCAAAGGGTGTGTTAGTGGCCAAGGAAAGAAAAGCCGTATTGTGACCTCTTGAGATGGGTGGCGTGAGATAAGCGTGGCGATAATTCTGGAGCACCCCCGACGTGCTTTCGTTATAACTCGCGGGTTTTAATAATGGCCGGCTGTCACCTCGGCCAAAGTGTGTCAATCTCCGGCGCCCCCACTTGACCCCCGGGCGACGAACACCCACCTCAAAGGTCACTTGACAGAGATCGAACGATGGAGGGCCACTTTACGTGAATTGAACTGACCACTGAAGCGAAAAGTTTGTTTATTTTTCCCAATTTATTATTTTGCGCAGCGCACAAAAAGAGCGCGTGTTTACTTGCATGGCACATTTTTAATCAGACTTGAAAAATGTATACTTATTTTTGGTGACCTTCGTCCCGATCTTTGCGGCCATAAAACACGATTTTGAGTAGGTGAAAGCACGGAGTTTTTGAATGGTTCTGGCACTCAATTAGATTGGCCTCGTTTATCTTCTCTTGCATGCTACTGAGAATAATTTGGAAAGTATACAGTAAATAATTTCTCTGTCAAATATATGCATACAATTAGTGGTTAAAATTGTGATATTCTTTATTGGCAAAATTCAATTGACGTGAACAATAATTGATCATCTGATGATTTGATCTACCATATAATTGAATTTAACCATGTTTTTTAAATTTATTTATCAAATTAATACACACACACAAAAATTGTGTAAAATTACAAATAAATTATTTTTAATTCTAGCTCTAATGGATATACACATAAAAAAACAATATATATATATTTCATTTAGAGATAAGATTTTGAAATTTCATCTTGGGCCCATTATTTCGCTTAATTAGGTGGCTCTTTCCTGACAGAGCACCTTTCCAAAAAAAACTCATTTTTTTCTCTGACCCCAACAGCACACAATTCATGCACACAACGTTCGTGTTTGTTGATTTCATTTTTATCTGGGCGAAAAATCTAGAAATATAATAATGACAGTTACGGGCACAAAAATCATTGCGGTGGTAATTTTGTCAAGTCGATAAAAGGCAACACCAAGAGCCGCCGGGCTGTTTATTTAGTCAGTTTACAGTGTGCGTCGGGCTCTGCAGGGTTTCTCCGCCGCTTGACCGAGCAAACTGTCCGTCGCAGCCCTGTTGCTTTTCGCGCGCTGGCGATTTTGGCAAAGAATGGGTGACGCGGGCGACCAACAGCAAAAACTGCCGCAGTGAGTACTTTGTTTAATGCGGCCCAGACATGCCAACACGCTAGGTGGTATTTGTTCAGTCACGTTTCTTATCACCTATCTCTAGGAAGAGGAGAAACGCCTTTGCCAAAATCGCCGCTTGCTGACAAAATGAGGTGTTTGCCCTTAAAAAAAGGAAAATTAATGTAACGATTGTGTGCCGCAGGGGTGGAATTAGGGTCAGCGTTCTTAGATTTTGTGAATGATTAAATTTCAATCTTGGTGTAACGAACGTTATCTTGACATCACAAAAGTGGATTTTAGCACGTAAAATTCTAAAATAAAAGTGAAACTCTTAAATAAGTCACATTTTTCAGACTAATTTTTTAAAATTAAAAAGAATCTATTTTTGCCACAACTGACAATGAATAAAACGCAACCTGCTTGACATCTGTGCTGGCCAAATTGCCTAAATCAAAGTTTTACTCCGACAATAATCCAATAAAATTGCGACCAAACCAGGACCAAACATAATTTCCTTGTGAAAATTCCAATTAGGAATTAGGAAATTGCCAAACTTTGAAGCGATTTTTTTAATTATGACCATCTCTATTATTTTTATGACTGTCAAATTTTTATCTGCTTAATAAGATTTGTGTTTATGTTCAAACAGGCCCCGAGCTCCATCGAGAACGATGGACCGGTACGAGAAGCTTGGGCGATTAGGAGAAGGTTCGTACGGCGTGGTCTTCAAATGCCGAAACCGTGACACCGGACAAATCGTGGCCATCAAGAAGTTCGTCGAGTCGGAGGAGGACCCAACCATCAGGAAAATCGCCCTCCGAGAAATCCGAATGCTCAAAGTGAGTGCATTTGCATTTTATTCATGAAGGTCGTCGCTTTTTACTATATATCTGATAGAATGCACGACTTTTCCTCTTTTATTGCCCAACGCGAGAGAAGCTAAATAAAAAACACGGTTCGTCTCTTCTTCTTAGATTATATGCAAATAAGAAATTAATGCAAGCATCGGGCCAACAGAAATCGCGTGTCTGCAGATAATTTGAGCCGCGATTAAATAATAAAGTGCCCCTTTTGTACCTAGACTATCAAATTTCTCTTTGGTGCGTTCGTCCCTGTCCTAGGGTGAACTTTCATCTGTTGACAATCCTTTTGGGTGCCGATTAATTTTCCCTCGGTTGACACACCCCATGCATTTTCCTTCACATGATCAGTCTATTTCGGGCTCGAATCAATGAGGCACATAATGAGCGAGAAAAATTCGTCCTACCTTAACAAAGCAGCCAGGGAACAAAGGATACAATGCCTGTGACCTCCCCGATAGTTTAAACTGTGACGTCAGAACGACGGCCGTCTCACATTTTCATAGACAGAGTTCACACGGCGTTGGGTGTTTATTTGGACGCGGCGCTTTATTGCAGAAAACCGTTTTGGAATAATAATCAATGTGAAATTTTGTTTTTCTTGCAAGCAGAAGAGCTTTGGTTGAAGAAGTCGGTTAAAAGATTGAAGAATAGTTCAATTCGTAACAAATAAAACACTACATGGAGAAATTTTAAAATTTAATTCCATATAAAACATTCTCACAGCTCAATTTTTCCTTCTTGAATAAACTATGGAGAAAATGATGAATGGTTAATAAATAATTAATAAATAAAAATCTAATTGAATATTCAACAAAGAAATATCAGGAACCATTTCCAGGCAGTGCCGTGTCGCCAGCCTTTTAGATAATCGTCTGGCCAGTCAGCAACATCAGAGTTTCGATCACTCACAATGACCTGTGAGCGCGGTAATAATTCATAAAGCCATCGATTTTCCAACTTCACCTTCAATCCTAATTTTCACCGCGTGTCCTGTCGTCCTGACAACGACTCTATTTACCAAAACACCTACATATATTAATGCGCTTGCACGCAAAAAAAATGTAATAATGCATGTTGACTTTTGTACGTAATCCAGCTACATGCGTCACGCGCCGCTCTATTTAAACGAGACGGTTGTAAATTTACATTTCGTGTTCTTCTTGGGCGATGCTCTTTTTTCAGCAAAATTACGCGCAATTAGCGAGAATGAATCAAAGCATCCGCGTGTTATCCTTCCCAAGCTTAGTTGGGCACCGCCAAGAATTTTAATCACGGTCGGGGGGCGATGCCACTTGCTGATTATTAAGTCTATAATTCTTCTGTAGCCATAAAGCAAAACGGAATAAGAATTCCCAATCTAGAACATGGATGAAATTTTGAACTAAAACTATTATTCTCAACAGTTTTGACATATGAATATTAAATATTTAAGTAAGGGTATGGTTGCTTTCAAAATCAAAAAATTTATTCAATATAAAAATTAATCTAATAATTAAATTATTTAGTTCAATTATAATATTAATATTAAATTTACAAATAATATTTTTGTTTAACAAATAAATTTAATTCAAACAAAATTAACACAATTTTTTTAACGCTTTAGTTGTTAACTAAACAAAATTTGTATCAAATTAATGGCTTTTTAATACTTACTTGATTTGAAATTAATAAGGCTCACTTAAATTTTCTCCGTATATTTTACTGTTCTATTTTCCTGTTGATGAAAAACATGGCCATCATCGATCGCCATCAAACTATCTATGCAAATGTGGTCGGAAAGCACCACCTTTCGCTGGTCTCGTGTCGTAAGCAGCGCTATTAATTTCAATCTAAAGGCAATAAACGACACCAGACCCATACACCCACCCTTACTTTAGCCCCGATAGCATCTCTCAATCTCGCTAAAAGCACGTTGCTATGGCATTAAATTTTAAAACCACGGTGCACTCAGACCTGCTCCTTGAACTCTATCAAAGCAAACCCGCGGAAGGCCAAAGAAGAACACAAAAATGGGATTCAAAGTGTCTGTCAAATACGGATTATTCAACCCTGCTCCACTTGGAACACGGAAGTTGAATGGAAAATGAAGGAGTTTACAACACGTGCGTGACCATCTTTTGCTTCTCATTATTGAACTTTCATTGATGGTCAACGGGTTAGAGACCTTGAATTATAAACATACAAAATCCAAATTAAATTAAATTTTATTTTATATAATTAAAACTTACAGTTTCGATTCTCATAATTAGTATTGCTAATTGATTCATTTTTTTTTTAAATTTTCTTTCATGGATGATTTGGGAAATGATTCAATCATGCCATTTGAATAATTATTCGGTAATAATTTTTAAGAAATGAAATTTGTCTATGACGGCCTAATGCAAAATCATTAAACGGTGAACAAGAGGACCTTGACTCCGTTTTGGTAGGCATCGGCAGGAACTGCTCGTGATCGATGATGCAACCGGCGGATCAGAACGCCTCTCCTAGCTCTCCACACATTCAAATATGGGCCCACGAACCCATTTGCAATTAAAAGCGAGCGGTCACGCTCGATAAAACGCGTCGAGGCGTGTGTGCATTAATTGGCCCTTTGTTTGCAGACGCTGAAACACCCGAACCTGGTGAACCTGATCGAAGTTTTTCGGAGGAAGCGGCGTCTCCACCTGGTCTTCGAGTTCTGCGAGCACACGGTGCTGCACGAGTTGGAACGCCACCCCCGCGGCTGCTCCAGCTCCCTCACCAGACACGTCATCTGGCAGTGTCTGCACGCCATCTCGTACATGCACAGGCACAGCTGCATCCACAGGGACGTCAAGCCCGAGAACATTCTGCTCACCAGAGCGGGCGTCGTCAAGATTTGCGACTTTGGATTCGCCAGAACCATCAGTAAGGATTTTGTTAAAACTGGCAATAATATTATGGAAAAAGTAAAAAATTTAATAAAAAGTAAAATAATAAATAATAATTAATTGCGAATAAAAATAACAATTAGTCAAAATTATGATTTCAATGAAATTGATTTTTCACTTAAAAGGCACACAATCAACAAAATGAAGAACAATATAATATTATTTTTTTTTTAATGGCTTGATTATATCTAAAAACCTTTCAAATAATACTTTCTAAATAATATTTGTTTAGGCCCAGGTGAAAATTACACAGATTATGTTGCGACTAGATGGTACCGAGCACCAGAACTTCTAGTTGGAGACACCGCTTATGGGCCTCCAGTGGACGTGTGGGCGATAGGTGAGAATTTTTTCTAGCTCTGGAGCGTCTCTTTTATCTAAACTGTTTGCCTTGCTACGAACTTGTCAGGCTGCGTGTTTGCCGAGATGATGCGAGGCGAGGCTTTGTGGCCGGGCAAGTCGGACGTGGACCAACTCTATTTGATAAGAAAGAGCGTCGGTGGGTGGATTTCGTTCTCTTTTTACGATGCCCAGCATTTTTCTTATTTGTGTACAAAATTGCAGGCGACTTGCTGCCGAGGCACATGCAAATCTTCAAGAAGAACGAATTCTTCGTCGGCGTCTCGTTGCCCGAGCCCGAGGTGATGGACCCGTTGGAGGAGAAACTGGCCAAATTTGCGACGCCCGAGGGCGTCGACTTTGCAATGGTAATAAATTTTGAAGCGAGTATAATTTTATATAGAGACTGACGGGTTAATTTCTGCCGCAGAAATGTCTGGATAAAGACCCTAGCCAGCGGTGGACGTGCGAGCAACTGATGCAACACGAGTACTTTGATAATTTTTCGTTCAAATCGCCGGAAACTGAATTTAGTGAATATGAGCGAGTGCGAAAATCAAGGGATCGATCGCGGGTAAGTCATATTAAATGGCTAAGATGTTGTTGCAGCTCCAGTTCATTGATAAAAGTGGGTTTTATTTCTATAAAATGTAGCTAAAATTTTGGTTTCAAATTTGAAAGAAAATATTAAAAAATTTAATTCAATTGAAATATTTTTATTTTTTAATAACTATTTTAATAACTATGCTGTAAATTTTCATCCCACAGACTTCAAATCAAAGCAGCACTCTTTTGCCTCAACTGACAGGCTCGTCGGAAAAGCAGACGATCGTCGGACAGGTGCGCTCAAAAGATTCAAGTAACAACAACCAGCAGCAAAACTTTTCTCATCTTCCCACAATCTGACGCGCCGCGCTCTTGAGCTGTGAATGCTGTTATTTGGGAGACGATCAAGTGAAAGCGCTGACATAATTCTTACTTGTATTAACATCTTTCGCGCTCCCATCACTATGAAGCCAGTGTTGCAACCGGCCGGTCATCGTCTCTCTGTATTTTGAAAAGAAAACAAATTGTAAATATTTTCTTTGTCTCTCGCTGTGCTGAATAATTTATGAGTGTTTATACAATAAGCGTCCAAAAGGGCGAAAGTGATCTCAATAATTTGTTAAGCGTTTTTCCACGCAAATTTATCTAATTTGTTGGATAATATAATTACAAATATGCATTCACCTTCTGCTTGTTCAAATTATATACACGACCGAGATTTGTGTAATAAACATTTATGACTGAGCCTTTTTAAGAAACTGGTTTTTTATTAGATTTGCACCTAATGGGCTGTAGCAATAATGCTGTAAAATAGTAATTTGAATAATGAATTCAGCTCACAAGCTCACGATTTTCAATGAAAAAAATGCCAACAAATGTTTGTTTAATAAGTTTTATACAATAAATGAATTGCTTAAAAATTTTCTGTCCAATAAAAATATTTAAATAACACAGGGAATTCTTAAAAAGGAATCTAAAATTTTTGGAATAAAATAATATGTGAATCTTTTTATTCTTCAAATTCAATGCCAAAATATTTATTTTAATAATCTTTGTTCATTTTGGTTCATCTGATTTGAACTGTTTTCACTCAATAAAGGCGAGTGAATAAAAGAGCGACGCGCACGCTCTGGCGCTGTGAAGCCTTGGCTGCGGGTTTTTCTTGGCAACGCAGAATTCATAGAATGAGACGCATAAATAAATCAATCACGCCGGCCGGCCGGTGGCATCACAATGTGCGAAAAGTCGGCAGAGCCAAAGGTCAACAACACGCGCGTTTCGAACAATAAAAAACGCATCTTGTCGTCACACGTTAGGAAAACTTGGGCTCGCCAAAAATAAGAAAGAGAAACGCGCGAGCGTCTTTCTTTCACTCACTTGTAAAACAGATGTGCTGAGCAAATCCGACCATTTATGGACAAGCCGGTAAAATTTCACATGGAGAGAGATTTGATCTCTCTCAAGGCAATATATGTAATTTGGCAGGGCACTTTTGTTTCATTTCGGGTCGGCGGACGACGGAGAGGTTAAAGGCACACTTTTAACATGGGTGCAGATCGAACGGCCACCTGGTGAACGGCAGGTCCCTTTGCGTGCCAAACAAACACTCGATTTTCGAGATCCTTATCCAATATTGTGCACATGCACTCGCGGGGAGCAACAGTTCCGCTATGCCGTGTTTTCCGCCGAAATCGGACACTTGACTGAAATATGGTCAGCTTTAAAAACACTTCCGGTGTTCGATTGATATATTTTTTTTTATATTATTATTGTTTACACTAGTAAATAATTTATTAAGATACATTTTTATTATTTCAAAAGGCAAATGTTACATAATTTATTAGTAAACTTCAAAGAAACTTAAGTTAGGACATTATGCTACTAAAATCAAAGTAATTTATTCTGTAAATCATTGGAAATTAAAATAATTCTTAATTATTTGTGTATTTATACATTGTTAATAAAAAAAATTCTGCCTAATTTTTATAAAAATGGTCAGCAGGTTTACATATATAAGGAATAAAAAAAATCATTTTAATAATAAATAATAATGTAAACATGATAATTCAATACGGAAAAATTGTAATTTAATAATTTTACTTCTAATTGTTTTTTATTCTATTACCATATTAAATTTCATAGAAAATTAAAAAAAAAATGGAACTTGCGATGGTAAGCAGCAAATTTTGTAGGATTCAGAGCAACCTAAAAAGCAGCAGACCCTTCATTGTTCTCTGTGATTTTATCCGTTTAAACGAAGTCAGGGTTGCTTTTTCAGAAGAAAAAACTCGCGAGCCGCCGAGAAATTATTCGAACGCGCGGCATTGCATGCAAAAGGGGAGCGTTATATTTTTCTCTTTTCTTTGGTCTAAAATTAGGCCGTATTAGCGCATTGGAGGTGAGTATAATTAGACCCAGTAGTGGCGCGGTGGCCGCGTCCTCGAGTGGATTTTTACATACAGAGTCTGTCGAATGCTTTTCATATGCATAGGGGCGCGCTTAAACAAAGTACTCTTGTTATCATACGAATCCGACCCACGCACGCCTTTTACTTTTCTTATTGTTGCGGCAGGACGCATAAATTTTATCTCACGTCAAGCACGTGGCCGCGCACATCATGGATTCGAGTGGAAGGAAGAGACCCCTTCAAATGCAGCGTCGGTCGCCTCCCCTGCGATTGTTTTCCGATTTCTTATCAAATATTTACACACCCGCAGCCGCAACTCGTTAACAAAACGCTAGACTAAGTGCCTTTCTCACGCACGGGCTGCTCCTGTGAAAAAGCACAGAGAATTCCGAGGGAATTTTTTAAATGATTTTCACTCTAGATTTCCTAGCTACTGCTTCCAGCTTTTTTCAATTTGCAAGGAACCTGAAATTACTGCCGTTGTATTAATTTTGAAGCTGCAGAAATTCTCCACATCGCGCTGCGTAATAAAGGGAATTGGCAACGAATTTATCTCTGGAACCTTCTAAACTCGGCCATAAGAGCGTCGAGAAGAAAAAAATGAATGCCAAAATTGACTGTGTTTGGTGTTAAAAGCTAGTAAAATGGATCTAAACCACCAAAATTGAGTGATATTTATTATTCATCAATTCAAAACTTAAAAGCACTTTAAAGATTAAATTAAGTTCTTTCACTAACAACGGCCTAAATTGTATTAATTAAATTATTCATAAACAATAATGCATATATAAATTGATTAATATTTTAATTATCAAGTATAATGTATAAACCAGTCTAAGAAAATAAAATTTCTGGCAACTATTCTTTTAAATTATTCTGAATTTGATTTTAATTATTGACCAATTGCAAATCAACAGGAGCAGAGATCTGCATGCATGATTGCAATTGATGGCGTAACAATTTATTAGCAAATTTTGCACGAAATTGTGGCAAAATTTTACAATAATAATCCTATAAAAAAATTAAGTTTACTGATAATGAAATAAATAATGCAATGTTTGAAGAACTTAAATAAAAATTGGCAATCAAAATAGACGCAATTAACGTGCCAGTTTCAGAGCCCCCAACAACAAGTAGTGTAGCGTTGCACATGCAAAACTGGCACTTTGTGGCGCAGAAGCAGAAAGGGTGGCAGCTGCGATGGATACGATCTCGCTCACCCCGTCGCTAAGTCATCATGGTGAAAATAAATAGTAAAAAAATGTGACCGAAGCGAAATTAAATGAAAGTAATTCGCATTTTGAAAAGTCGGGGGTGGCGAGAACGAGGCTCGATAGGCACACATCCTGCCTGGCCGTGGTAGTGGAGGAGTGTATGTATAATTGGCGCTAATGGAGAGCGGCGCGGCGGCTCCGAGCCGAGGCAGCAGCGAGCGCCTCGGCAGTACGCACGCACCAACGGCGGCCGCGCATGCCTCTGCTCCGAGTGCGTATATTTTGACTATATCGACCCGCGCGCGAGTGGCAGGCACCAACAGCTGCTGAAAGGACGACCCATTCTCGCGCTTTCTACCAGAGAAAGATTCGCACACAAACACACACGATGGCCGAGGCCAACGTGCAAAACATCCCCCCCGCGAGCAACGGCCAAGAGGCCAAGGAGGCGGCCACCCGGCGGCCGCAGGTGGCGCGAAACGGCGCCGTCAACCGGAGGTCGTCGACGGGCAAGACGTCGCCCGCCACCTCGCCCCTCAAGCCGACGGCAGGAGCCCGTTCGGCCAGCCTCACCCCCGACCCGCACAACGAACGCAAAAAGCTGCCGATGAACAAGGTGCAGGTGGGCCAGGCGGCGTCGCCCAACCTCAAGGTGGTGCGCTCCAAAATCGGCTCTCTGCAGAACGCTGACCACAAGCCAGGCGGCGGCCAGGTCAAGATCGAGAGCCGCAAGGTGGACTTCAGCAAGACGGGCTCGCGGATCACGGCCAAGAACGACACGTACCAGCCGGGCGGCGGCGAGAAAAAGATCCAGAGCACCAAACTCGAGTGGACCGCCAAGAGCAAGATCGGCTCGCTGGAGAACGCGACGCACAAGCCTGGCGGCGGCGCCAAGAAAATCGAGACTCAGCAGCTGAGTTTCAAGGAGCAGGCCAAGTCCAAGGTGGGCTCCAAGGACAACCTGAAGCACCAGGCCGGCGGCGGCAACGTCAAGATCGAGACCAAGAAGCTCGACTTCAAGGTGACCAGCAAGGTGGGCTCGCTGGCCAACGTGACGCACAAGCCCGGTGGCGGCGACGTCAAGATCTTCGACGACAAGGAGTACATCAAGCAGATGAAGCAAGAGGGCTCCGAGGGCAAGTCGTCGGGCAACCAGAGCCCCCTGCTGCACTCGTCCACCTCCGACCTGGAGCACGAGGGACTCCAGCAGGCGCCCAACCGCAGCTAAACGACTTTCAAAGTGCGCCTCAGAACTTCTTGTTGCTTTCAATCTCTCAGAGTCTCGTAAAATTACTTTCGCACGCCGTTTTGATTTAGTTCATTAACGTCGAATTCCGCTAATTGAGTGCGTCCAGCGAGAAAAAAGGGCAAGATGATTTCGTCGTCGTTTCATTTTGCTGCTTTGCGGACACAATTTATTTGCAACGTAGTTAAGTGGGCAAGGAAGATTAATCTTACTTTAAGGCCAGGACTGATATGGATTTGATGTTTGAAAAGGTAACGTTGGAAATTTTTCACTTTAATTGAAATTTTTTGATGAACAGATTTTCTTATATAATCAACAATTTCAAAAAAGAAAAAAATTCATATTATTTTCAAAAGGAAAATTGATCATTATCTCCCGCATATTATAATTAAATTTTAAATGAAATCTAAATATATTTAATTAATAAACATTTATGTTTATAATTAATTTAATATGAGTACAAAATATACAAAAATCCAACGTTTCCTCAAGAGTATCAAGTTGATTGTAAAGTATAACTTTGTATTCTGTATCGATCAGGTTGTGAATATGGATGAGAAAAAGTGCTAAATCACCGCGAGTGGAGACTGAAAGAAAGCTGGTCGGTGAAAATGGTCGACGAATTTGGAGTTTTTGTACGCACGCTGATCGTTTTGCTATATTTAGAGGTCTAAATAGCTACAGCTTTTTCACGCCGTTTTACCCTCGCGACTACATTAATAGCAGAGCTATCCACAAAAAAGAATACTCTACGGCATTGTTTCTTGTCCCTTCTGCCGCGCACTAATTTTCAAAGCACCCTTTTCTTATTCTTGATTCTCTACTTCCACACTCGCGACAGAGTGAAAAATCCCCCCACAAGATCGGACTGTGCACAGGGGAAATTGTTTTCTTCCTAATCTTGTTACCGTCTTAAAGGAACGAGAGGCAGAAACAAAACACTAATCCCACGCATTACTATGTCTGTGTATGACGGCAAAAAAAAATCCTGCTAACTGTTGACCTATTCGTGTATTGATATTATATAATCATACATCGTCTATATTCTATTACCTTTTGCTGACTAAAAGGAAAATAATAAGTATGTTGAGGAGGAAATCACACCCACACATGATGATAAAATAAAAGAGAACTAAGACATTAACTATCCTACATTGATAAGTTAAAAAAAGTCAGCGGAACACCTGTATCGAGTTGTGTTTTTTAAGTGATAACAAACATGCCAGGCAAGAATCGGCAGAAATTTGGTAAAACGCAAATGCGTGTGTTCGTGGCGACTTTGCCCGCGGCAAATAACACAGAAAGAAAATCGATCCAGCATTTAATCGACAAGAACCATGTATAGAAATAAATCAATCACAAGATCGCAAAAAAAAAAACAAGCTACAATGAATCGTAAGTCGTTCTTCTGACAGAAAAAAATGTACAGAACCTGAGCATGTGAGATTTTATCTTGAAAAAATACTGTGTACATGGATTCGACCGAATTAATTTAATAAATTTCAATGAAACCAAAGAAGTTTGTTTCCTTTTGAGTTGATCTACCTTTATTTATAAGTAACTAAAAAAAAAATTATCAGTTCCCGGGTCAAGATTTTTTCTTGCAAATTTATCAATGACTTCCCCCCAGACTTCAGTTTTGGTTATTATGTATGGCCTATTGGTTAAACTACCAAAGTTTCACTGCACTTCTCTTTCACTGCACATACGAGTCACTAAAATTTGTCTGCCCACTCAACTCTCAACTAATCATCGTCGCTTGAAGTTGTTAACGTTGCTTTACTGGCGTTCTGTGGAATCAAAACAGAAACAGCGCATTAAAATCCAATATTATTTTGTGCTTGAATGTTAGAAAGGGGGTTGTCGCTGTCTATCAGGGTTGTTGAGAGTGTGCGTTTGAATCGTGCAAACACCAGGGTCATGCGATCTTTGAAATTTTGAAATTTGTTATCGTTTCCACCTAGGAATGTGTAAAAAAAGATACCGATTAGAACTATCACGGGTTTTGATCAAGCGCGCAGCATGCAAACTTTCCCTCCTACTGGACACTATGACGGGAGGTATAATGTAAACAAACGTTCCACTCTAGCGGAAATTGAGTTGTTTTTGTCAGTCTACCCTTCACTATTTGTAATATATGCAAAATAAATATATCTAACGGAAAACGGAATCCATCAGGATATTCAAGTAATATTAAAAAAATATATATAATAATTTTAGATTTTCCTCTTTTGTGATATTCTTATTAACAAGTTAAAAAATCTCCTACCTTTGGTGGAATGGTGAAAGGGAAGACCTTGCCCTGTGCTTCTAAGGCAGTCTTCAACCTCAGCAAAGCAGTGCTGTTGATGTACTCAAGCCCAATGTCTTTCTGCGAAGCTGTAATAGAAGCCACCGCATCTTCATACTTTTCGGTGTTTACTGAAACATAATATTTATTACTTTTGGCTCAATTACAAAAGGTTCTAACATTACCTAGAACGTCGATTAGACAGCTCAAAACATTACCCTTGGCACCTGCAGACACATACTCGGAGGGTAACAATAGTCCGAGCAGGTTGGAGCACAGGATGGGGTCATTATTTCTTCTAGATTGCTGGCAGATGTGTTGGAACATGAGCCTCTTTGTTTTTGAAAGGTACTTGTCCCAGATTTGGCCGGCTTCATCATACCTCCCAGAGGCAAAGTAGTGCATCCAGAGGACATTGAATGCTGCTGGGTGTCCTTTCTCGGCAAAGGATTCTGCAATGCCACTCACTGAAATAAAATAAGTTCAGTAAAAAACTTAAAAAATCCTATAATATCAAATACATTTATCAGTCAGCTCAGGGTGCCTTGTCAGTATGCCAAGCGCTGAGCCTCTGGGGAATTTTTCAGCCAATTTCGTAACATCATCATCGGACTTGGCATTATTCAAGTTGGCAGACATCATGTCGAGGTACTCGTTAGCCTTTCCAGCAAACAAGTACGCATTACCAAGTCTATTGTCGTAGGAAACCTGCCTCTTTTGTTCCTGTAAAATAATTGTGTAGATTTAAAACAATTTGATAATCCCTTCCAGAGTACTGACATCGTCTAAGAAATCTCCAAGCTCAACAATTCCATCAATGTCTCCAACAGCAGCTACTTTGTTGAGGAGGTATCTGAACACCCGAGTCATTGGGAACATTTTGTTATGGAGCATTTCCTTGGTAATTTTGTAAGCTTCTCCAACTCTGTCTTTGTTGACCAAATTCTCGATCAGCAAAGAATAATCCCGCAATACTAAAAGTTTGCCCTTTTCTTGAATACTGAAAAATCTCATTAATAAAATATAATAATGACTACAATTTTTGCAGTTCTTACCGATTTTTTAATTCCAGCGCTTTATCAACATCACTTCTTCTCAGAGCTTGCCTAAGCTCCATGGTTTCCATGTCTGAGGTAGCAACTCTTTCCCTTTGCTGAACTGGCGCATCTTTCCTAGGCATAGCAGACTGTCTAGGTGCAATTGGTTTGGATTCAGCTTGAATAGGCTTGACCACCTCAGGCATTGAAAATGGAATTTCCATGTTGTGCTTTTTTAGTTGGCTGCCAAGAACACTCAAAAACTCTTCTGAAGGGGTGAAATCCTCCTCTTGAGCTTGAGTCCACAGATCCAAAGCTTTATCTGTCTCGTCATTTTTGCCTACATAAATTACATTTTAAAAAATTTAAAAATACTACGTTCAACTATTTTACAATAGAGCTTCAGCAAATTCAAGAAAATGTTGGATCGGTCAACATGGTGAAGGTCTTTAGTAGCCTCCAAGAGACCTTCGAGAGGTGAAGACTTTCCATCTTCACAGAACCGCTCACAAGCAGAATTCATGCGGAAAGTTCGAGCTCTCAAACCTGGAGTCTGAAGATTTTGAAAAAAAAAATATGATATAGCGGGAATGAATATTTGTCTTAGAATTAATACACACCTCCAAGATTCTTCTTGCCTGCCTTATGCGGCCGCACTCTACAAAGGCAAACACCAAGTCATACAAGGAATTGACCTCCCCATGCACCTGAGTGCTAAGGTCAGTTAATTTCTGCAGACTAGCAGCATCTTCGCTTGAAATCAGCCTACGGGTCAATTCCGACTTCCAAGGTGTGGCTCTGTGTTGCTCACAGCACCACTTGAACTGTTCCATGGCACCAGGTAGGTCGTCTCTATTAATATAGATAGTTGGTATTAAATGTAACTAAATAAACCAATTTAGATTTTACTTGAGAAGTTTGACTTTCACCAAGCATCCCAATAGAACATTGTTTATGGGCACTGCTTTACTGGCTATCAAGATGTCCATTGCAGATTTGAGTTTTTCCTCTTCTTTTTGTTCTGCCAAGTAGTTAAGCAGTTCAAAGGAAGCATTTGAGACATAGAACATCTCTCTGCTTTTGTCCTCTGTAGTATGCTCGCAAGTTGACTTTAATGTGTTGAGTCCATCTAATTAATAAAATTTAAAAAAAAGTTTGATAATATTTATTAGTACATGCCTTCGAATTTGCCCGCCTTCATTTGTACTAAAGCCAGTCTCACCAGCTTTCCATTATCAAGGGTCATATCTGGGTCTCTCTCTTGAATGATTTTCTTCACCTCCAAAGCTTCCTCTAGTTTGTTATGGCTAGCATACAAATCCATCAGCAATGCAAGGGTTCCGACCGAGTGCACAAAGTTTTCATCATCCAAGCTCTAAATTAAAATTATTCTTAATTATTCACTATTTACTTTCCATAAGTAAATACCTTTTTAATTTCTTCGGCCTTTTCCAAGTTTTTAGTTCTGCAATATCTAATAAGCAGATTTTTTCTAATCAATCTGGTGGGTTGGCCCCTTGCTTGCAAACTTGTATAGAGAGTCTCTAATCCTGCTATGCTCTGCAACATTTTGTTTTAAAATACATTGTTTTGAGTTTCTATATTCAGTACCATATTTGCAGATAACTCCAAGTTTGATCCTTGAACTGCTTGGGGCTCCAAGTTACCAGAAGTGAGTGTTCCGAGCAATTCCGAAATTTCAGGAGTAAGTTCAGAGCCCAGCATATCCTGCAGTTTCTCGGCAGAGGCTACACTGATGCTCAGTCCGCAATCAACAAGACCCTGGTCAATATACTTTGTAAATACACATATCACTGATTCTTTGCATGTTACCTTCAAAATGCTGTGCAAAACCTCTCCCCTGGACTCACTGATGTTTATCAAGCACTCAATGACATAATCGCCGACTACTACTTCACTTTTCGCTGATGATTTTTCAGTTTCACCTTCGTCGGTAGAATTTCTAGATACGACGGCATGTTGAATAAAAGTGACCAGTTGGTCTGTATTTTTCTTCTGTCCAAAAGCTTTACCAAGAGGACGCTTAATTAGCTCATGGGGGTAGTTGGCACTAACCTTTGAAACTGGAATCGAAAAAAAATTACTTCTAGAATTTACTTATTCACTATAGTGTGCCTACCTATTTCAGTGGCACCGGCTAAATTTTCATTTTCCAAGAGGCTCACAACGACGGAAACTGCAGCAGATCCTATGGAGACACCGCATGACCTCAGCAGGTTTATCTTGTCCAAAGGACTTCCGCGCAATGCGTCTATGACATATTCTCGGATTGTTTCGCCCTTTATAGGCACTCCCAGCTTCTGCATCTCTACCAAAACCTGACAGAGCCCCTCAACACTCTTTTTCTTCTGCTGGTTAACCAGAAGCGGCCAAAAGAAGTGTTGGCGAAGAGGCGTCCCTTGCTCTTTCATCTTATGCATCAAGGCATATGCAACTTGTTCTTTGCCAGCAACCAATGCCATTTCCAAGGCAAGGAGGCACGCTTTTGTATTGGCACCAGAGTTTTGCAACTCTTCACAAATGGAGATGACTTTTTCAACAGGCTAAATAATTTACATTATATCAGTTAGCAAATTTTACGTCATTTTGAAACATACTCGGTTAGCTTTAACAAGCTGCTTCACAAAAAAGCTTCCCACTGGGATAGCCTCCGGTCCATCTTGACCCTGCCTGATGCTGGCTGGCATCATGCTGAGAAGTTTCTTGCCCACATCTTCTTGTCCAATATTCACGAGCCTCAAGATGATGTTTACGCATTCTTGACCAAAACCAGGTCTTTTCTTCAAGAGACCCATAATCTAAATGAAATAAAATATTTATAACCTATATTAAAAAATCATTCAATAAGCTTGCCTCATCGACATGCTGGACATGACCAGCTTCCGACAGAGAAAATATGACATCGAAAAAGTCCCGGTCCAGAAATTCTATATTTTGGGATTCAGCCTCTGTCAAAACAGCTCTGATGGCTTCGATATCTCCTTGCTTAGCATGACCACAAAGCAGTGCTGTGTAGGTTTCAGGTCCAGGTTCAAGGCCGGCTTGTTTCATTACTGAAAGAATTCCTCGAGCACTCTCCATATCACTGAAATTAAGTCCAGGGCACAATAAATATGAAAAATACGAAGCTTCAGATTATTTTTTAAATTTTAATACCTATTTTGTGAATGTCCAGTAATGAGTGCATTGAAGACGGCTTCATTGATGGGCATTTGCTTTTCCCTCATGACCTGCAAAATTTTTGTCGCCCCATCCATGTCGCCTTTCTGACAGTGCTGAGCAACCAAGCGCTGGTAAGTAACCCTGTTCGGCTCAACACCTTTCTTTTCGAGCTGCGACAAGAATTCTGAGGGCTCAAATTTGTGTCCATTTTCCAAGTACACGCGAAGTAGGGCGTTATAGTGGCTGATATCCATTGGGACTCCTAAATTAGAAGAAATTTTGTTCATTCCATCCAACATGTTTAAACAATTTTAAAATTACCCAAGGACTCTAGTGTGTTCCAGATTTCCTGAACCAGTTTAGTTCTGACTTCAGGATGCTCCTCAGGAACCAAATTACCGCAGCACCTTATAACCATCAATGACTGAGAACTGGTGGCTGATCCTGAGGTACAATAAAAAAAGAAAATTAAAATTGCCCTTCTTTTGTGCTTTGTTATGTAACTTGTTTGTTTGATTTCTTCCAATATTTCATCGATTTCTCTCTTAGAAACTCTTCCGGCTCTTCTTGCTTCCTGGTCGATTCTTTTTAAGCTTTTGTCGAGGTTGCTGTCTTGCCTGAGACTTATGTTCTGCTGAGTCGCGAGAGCCCTATGATTAAAACAAAAAATTGCGTCAGACACAAATCAATAATATTGCAAAGCAGGATTCAACAAGAATATTTCAAATAAATTTGAATTCAGTTAATGTACCTTATTGCAAGCCCTCTGTACAAATTAGGGTTGTGGTTCACCCCTACGTCCAAGGTGTCCGGCCTCCCTCCGTTGCCGAAAGAAATGTTCCTCGTGATGCCGGCAAGGAACCGCACAAATTTGCACGAACGAAGCAGCGAGGACATTTTTCTGGGTCTTGCTTGCTCACAACTCGATCAAAAAATATGCTTTCAGTCGCACTTTACCGAGGGCTCCACTGAAAATGTGAAAATCCTGGAAAATTATTCTCTCACAAAAGCAAGTGCATGGTGATCGCAGCGGCCATGTGTGTTTCGAGACTCGAGACCGTCCAAAAACTCAAAAAAAAATCACACTTCTACCAACATAATAGTTTTTATAAAATAAATAATAAAATTGATAGTTATGACTTTGAAAAAAAAAATCGGTCAATAAAGTTTTATAATCTTAATTCTTTTAATAATGAAGAATAAATGTTTCGTTTTAGAATAAGAAACTATTAGTTAAAAAATGGAATGTATTTATTTTCAAGTTTTAGTGTTGGCATCTCTGAAACCATCAAGGAGGCTTGCCAAGGAGGAACACAAATTTGAGCCCCTCCCTTCTCGCTTGTCCAGCGACCTCGAATGCTCAATATCGAAGAAGCCTCGTGAAATTTACTCGTGCACATCTTGTGAACTCTTTCTTCCTGGACCTTTTTGTCAACAAGACTTTTTGTCTTTGTCATCTCTATAAGCTCTAAACCGCTTTTGAGACAAACGTAATTACTTATTCTTGCAAGGGTCATTTTGCCGCATTGTTTTTATTTTCTTTTAACTGATTCGCATTACCAAAAATAATACATCCATATTATTTTGGTTTTCACTAAGCCGGAGCATTCATTCAGCCTTGATAGACTTTTGGCTAACACATTTTAGCTGTCATAGTATGGCGTGACAACTGACAATATGTAAATATTAGAGAGAGATTCGAGAATTTTTATTTACTAATTCCTTCTCATATATTTTTTCGTACTTAAATGAACATAATGTCGCTTTGAATTTAACTTGTAATGTGTAATTTGCTTGCGCATCTATGATATGTATGATCACAATTTTTTGCTTGTTTAAAGTAGCAGCAGATTTTCAAATTCCACATAATTATCTTGGCTTCCAGGACGATGTCAGTAGCTGTTACTGAAGTTAAAGAACCTGAACAGGTTCATGAGCCCATCGGAGAGAGGGATGAAGCTGTCGGCGCTGTCCCTGCTGAGTCTGCAAGCAAGAAAAAGAAGAAGAAGAAAAACAAAGGAAACGCAGCTAACGCAAATGGTTGAAAGTTCCTTTTGTACTCACTGAAATTTGGAAAAATTACTTATAATTTGTAGGTGAAGCAAATACTCGTTCTGAAAAGGACGAACCGCCCGTTGAAGAAGAAAAGGAAGAAGAGGACAAAGGGGATGAAGCTGAAGGTTGTTGTTGCAGTCAGACGCATTTAGTAAACTTTTTAACAATTACCTCAACCTTAGGTGAGGAGGGAAAGAAAAAACGCAGGAAGCGCAACAAGAACAAGGGCAAAAGCACTTCCGGAGGTCAAACTGACCCACCGTCCATTCCCATAGTGGAATTGTTCCCAGAGGGAAACTATCCCAAGGGGCAGGAGATGGAATATGGTGTGGTCGAGGATGGCCGGAATGCACTTAATAGACTGACACTTGAGGAGAAAAAGGAAGTTAGCACCAAGGAGGAGGTGCATGAACAAATGTACCAAGAGGCTCGACTTGCTGCTGAAGCTCATCGTCAGGTACACAATCTTTTTCAATTAATGTTGTGATCAAAATATAGTACATAATATTTAAAATAATAATAAATTCTCCTTCCAATAATTTCAATCCATTGCGGAGCATTAATTTATAAAGTAAAAGTAGAAAGGTTGTTTCAAATGTTCAAATCAACTTATGAAATTAGAATCATGTTATTATTTTGTTTCAATAAAATCAATTGAAATTTTCCAGACTCGACAGTATATTCAGCGTTGGATTAAACCGGGAATGACTATGACCCAAATTTGCGAAGAGCTGGAGAACACTGCTCGTAAGCTAATTGCCGAAAACGGGTTGAAGGCAGGACTTGCTTTCCCCACTGGCTGTTCACTTAACTTCTGCGCTGCTCACTACACTCCAAATGCTGGTGACACCACCGTTCTGCAGTATGACGATGTCTGCAAGATTGATTTTGGAACTCATATCAATGGTTTGTCGTTAAATATTTGATTTGGAAATTTTTTAATTTTTATTCATTTCAGGCAGGATCATTGATTGCGCTTTCACTCAAACCTTCAATCCAAAGTACGACAAGCTCATTGAGGCTGTGAGAGATGCCACGAACACTGGCATTAAGGTTTGTTAAATTATGTAATATTTGTAAGGGCGGGCAAAAAAAAACTGATTGTGAGTCACTAATCGAACGAAATAAGGTATTTGGGAAAAATTATATATAAAATTCATTTTGATAACAGGAAGCTGGTATTGATGTGCAATTGTGCCATATCGGAGCTGCAATCCAGGAGGTCATGGAGTCTTACGAAGTGGAGCTCGATGGCAAAACTTACCAAGTGAAGTCAATAAGAAACCTAAATGGCCATTCCATTGCTCCCTATCGTAATTCTAATTTTTTAAATTTTCTAACGGAATTTTAAAAGTTTTAATCCAGGAATCCATGCTGGCAAAACGGTGCCCATAGTCAAGGGCGGAGAGGCTGTTCGAATGGAGGAGAACGAATTCTACGCCATCGAGACTTTCGGGTCTACTGGCCGTGGCGCTGTCCATGATGACATGGACACTTCTCATTACATGATGCGTTTTGACCAAGGATTCATTCCACTACGGTGAATATTGAATATTTAACAATTCCATGACAAAAAAAAAATAATATGTTGATGAAGTTCAAATGATAAATTTTAATGTTTCCACATATCTTGTGTGATTTCAGACTGGCTTCGTCTAAGTCCCTGCTGAATGTAATCAAAAAGAACTTTAGCACACTGGCCTTCTGTAAGAGGTGGCTGGATCGTCTGGGCCAAAGCAAGTATCAGATGGCCCTGAAGGACCTGTGTGACAAGGAGATCGTTGACGCTTATCCTCCACTGTGCGACATCAAGGGATCGTACACAGCCCAGTTCGAGCACACCATTGTTCTGCGCCCCACCTGCAAGGAGGTCATCAGCAGGGGCACAGACTACTAATTCCGGGACTGATTTGAAAGTTCAATTTCCTCACAAGTTTTGTAAAAGCAATCGAAACATAAATAAGAACCCTCATTTTTTAAAAGCAGTAGAAATTATTCTAAATTGATCTTGAATTGAATTGTCCAACCAAACTAAGTTGTTGAACTATGGAGTATTATGAGTTTTCTAAGATTAAATTGTATGCTTTCTTGTTCTTTGCATCGTGGCTCCACCTGGCGGCCTATTATGTGTTAATCTCGCCTGATTAGAAACCACTTTGCTGTTTCCCTCTTTTTTTTTTTGTTACATCACAACAGATATAAATTCCAGACTTGTTTTTCTAAAGCATTTCTTCTTGTTGGCCTACAGAGTGGTCTTTACGAGTTCATCGAGGTGATTTTGCTGGCTGCTAAACAGTTGCCCTTATTTGTTTCTCTGTATCTTACTAGGAAGCCAATAAAGCTTGGTTGTCAAATCGTAAAAAAAATAATCCTTAAGGGCAATGTTTAATTTGATCTTACAACTAAGAAGAGAATCAAGCAATTCAGTCGCATACAATAAAATTAGCTTCGTAATTATGTAGAACATATTCAAGAACAAACACAAGATGATGAAGACAAATTTCATCAAAGGATTTTTCTAAATCCTTTTTAATTATTTCTTTATGCCACGGTGCGTGTGAGCAGCGTGGCCATGAATTTTGCTTCACAATAAAATAATTGGTCATAGAGTTTTATAACTCACCTGCTCAAATTACAAGTGATTGTGCATTCCCATGGCAAAGGTGCTGATGGCGGTCAAAATGAGACGCGCTGATTTAGGATTTATTCCAACGTTAGTGCTAAACCAGCAATACCTCTTCCCTTTTTTTTATTTCAATTGAATGAAAAGAACATTTAAAAATAATTCTAAAATTTTCTGATATAGTTCTTGAATATTAAAAAAATTAATAATGCAGTTTTTTACATTTTACTTTTGTAAAGAAAAAACACGCGTAGCCACAAATATGTAAATTGATAGTCTGTTCCGGTCAATTCTTGTGACCAAAAGCATGCTCTTGAAAATGTTCAATCTGACAACCGAGGTTTTGAACAGAGATATTTCGGGGACAACTGGTTTTGGTTCTGGCGCGCATACATTCAACAAAACGACCTTCAAGAAATCTAAGCGTTTGTAGGTTTCGGCGAACAGTTCAGGAACTTATGATTATTTATTGAACGAGAGGCTATTAAAAAAGAGATAATAAAATATGTTCAACTTTAATGCTCCAACGTTCAGAAATTAATGTAGATAAAAAAATATCCCTGAAATTCAATTAAAATAATTACAAAAAAAACCATCGCTGAAGAAAAATGATTACTTATTATTTTAAAATACATCTTCGTTAAAAGATGAGCATCATCAGGAGATCACCTAGGATGACAGAGCAAAGAGAAATTGCAATTTTGTGGCCTCGACGCCCTTGACTTTCATTAATTATGCTGTCTCATGTCATTTTTTGATTGCGGGCGGGACTCGGTAGCCACCTTTCAATCAAGATATAATGGAAGATCTGCTTGTCGCATCTTGTATTTCTAAACGAGAGCTTTTTGCACCTGTGATAATGATTCTCTCTTCCATTGAATTTAATTTTTTTCCGCCGAACTCACTCTCTTCCTTGCACGTGACCTGCCCAAAATGCTGCGAATACTTTCCGTCAGGTTCTTGAAATGAGGACATTTCAGAGTAGACCCAGACGCACGCCAGCTCGCCGCAGAACATCTTTGAGGCTCCATTGCTAAAGACCTGCTCGGTGGGTAGTGCGCCTGGCGAACTTTCATCCACAATTTTCGGCTGTACGATCGCCGCTGCTGACCGAGAAGCACACAAGCGGATTTCACAAGTGCGTCCGCACCTCTCTGGGTCTCCGCCGCGCAGGTAAAAGGCTGTATTATTTGCACCGTATGCGTACACCATTTTGAAAAATTAACAAGGTCTTTTGCTTCCACCAGGTTGTACACGCATGTTTCATTTTCTTTTGTCATTTTAATTCCCTCCACTATTTTTTTGGACAAGCGGTGCGGCTGTAATTTTACCTTTTCTTTTGCACTGCAGGTTGTTATATTTTAGTCTCTTGCCATACTTGGCAAGAGCTGGTTGAACGACATTTGGCTTGGCTGTGCCATTGACTTATTTTTTGTTTTAATTCTTTTTTTTTAATTAGGCAGCGAACATAGAAAATAATATGGGCTACGCTAAAACAATTTCAAGGATAGCATAATACGTTGACATTGAGTTTTAGACCAAAGCATTCTCGATATATATTGGTTAGGAAATAGGATAGCGCGTTGAAAACAGGACCGCTCTCTTTTGAGGCAAAGCGCATTAAAAGCAATAAAAGTATGATTTTATGATACAGCACCCGCTGAAAATTTTGGCTCATATATGTGTTAAGTAATTTGAATTAGTTCAGAGCAACAGTTTCTACATCGCCTGTGGACATGTTTCACTTGCGAGTGATTTACTTGAAAATTTCACGTTGGAAAGTATTGATATTGTTGTTTATCTTCAAAAATTAAGTCACGGGGACTAAAATTACTAAATATGTGAAGAGAAGGCAACACTTTCATCTCTGGAAAACTGGTTGCTGAAACGCGCGGGGGCCTCAACAAAGGTCCGTGCCTGATCAGCGCCAAGATGGTCTGCAAGGTTAAATGCCAGTTTTACAAGTTCAAGCAAGATGAGAGGAACACATTAATTCGAATATCATAAAATAAGACACAAAAGAGTTAAAAATTTTGACGGTTAGCAATATTTTTGGAATTTAAAAATATTAGATTCTGGATTTTTTTTAAGTTAATAATATTTTACACCCGTAAAAAGAACATGCAAAGTAATGAAAATAAAAAGACCTGCAGACATTGGAAATCCCCCGATTCGATGGAATGCAGCAGCCGCTGGTGATCTTGCCGTTCTTCGCGCGTCTCTTCCCGAGTCGGGATTATTTTTTAGTATCATTGGCGTCATTAAATTAAATTATTATAAATCATGATCGTTGCAAATGAAGTAATCAACAGTATTTTTGAAAGTTTGGTTATGTAGAATTAAAATGTGTGTCGGATGGAAAAATCATTTAACAGTAAAAATTGTCAAAAGAATGAAGATTGTGGAACAAAACACTCAAAGAAAGATACACAGGAAAATTAGGTAGTGTGTCAAGCCCTATATTTGAATTAACCTGCCAACTTCTGAAATCGAGTGCCGCTACCGCAATGCCATTTTCTTCCCACCTTGAACTCGAACGTACGGCAGAGAGTCACTCTATACTCAAAAAAGTGTCATCTCACCTTTTTCCTCGCGCGTGTCTCAAAAGAAAGCGCTCGCCGCAAGTTTGGAACCTCGGCCGAATATGTGTATATTGTGCGCTGCTCTTGAAATGCACGTCCTGACTGACAAATTAGCACTATAGGAAAAGAAGTACGCAACTGCGATATGTCCATTGACGGAGCGAGTCGACCTCACAGGTTCGCTCACCCTGGCAGGGGATGCGCGCCCAGGATGCGGAACATTTATAATGTATGAACTCGTTTTTGCATCAACGCGAGTGCTAGACCGGTCCGATTTGAGGCTATCAAGTGTGCAGATCGGACTAGCGCGCCGGACAAACAGTATCGCGGAAGATAAATACGGATGGGAAATTACGCAATTAATTCGCAAGTGCGCGAGCGAGATTCTCCAAAGTCATGGCTAGGCTGGAAAATAATAACATGTACGCAAGTGTGTGGAAGCCTGGCCGGCTCTTCCACTTGTACGGCGAGAATAAGCGCCGCCGAGAACCCCCTCCCTGCCAGTCGCACCTAGTATATAATGTGATCCTCATTAGTCCAACATCAGTCGCTGGTCAGGCGGTGAAATAGATAGTTTAGTGGCAGATTTGTAGAGGAGTGATTTTTACACAGAAAATCAGCTTCTACCCCGCACTTCCAATTTTCTATTTTCCTCCCCCAACAAGCTTCCCGCTTTTTTATTACATTTTAAGGTAAGTGATCATTTCCATTAAATCATCATTCATTTTAATTATTTCAAAACTCCTCAATATTCAAAAATTTATTAGATCCTTTTTTTTTATTAATTTTCTATTAAATATTTCAAAAATATTTCAGAATTTTAACTTAAAAATTCTCTTCTCTATTTGTTCTGTTCGGCTGCACACCTTTATTCACACCTTTAGTGACCCTAATATTAGTCAAATGTCAAGTCTGTTGCAACTTTGCGATCAAGCACTTTCTATCTTGTTGGAAACAAAATAACCATAAAATCTCCCTTTGATATTAAAAAAAGGAACAATTTACAGATTTACAAATTTCTGTAGCGCTAATTTGAAAATATTTGCACTTTGAATCGGTTACAGAAAAATTCGCACGCTATTTAGCTTTATTTATCTGGGCATAACTCCAGACTGTCTAGTCAATTTTCTATTTGAGGAAGAACTTATGCGGTAATCGTATTTGCTCAAAATTACAAAGGCAGATTCAATATTGGGCTTTTGTCATGGCCTTAACATTGTTTGTAAATGCAAATTTTGTTTGCGCAGCTCCAGATGAAAAGAGAAACAATGAGTAGTTGAATTTTTCTATTTTCTAATATGTGTGCCGCACATATTACATTCATGAGTAATAATCACACACACGCACGCATTATTTTGTGTCAATATACATATAAAACGCGCTGCTGTCAAAGTTACATTATGCAAATGCGGCTGAGCGAGGAGGCGACCTTTCTAGCGTCGGTTGCGTAATTAAAAGTTCTCCAGCTCTCTCGAGAGCAGCTCCTTATTTAATTGCAACCCTGAGGGTTGAACGCACTTTGAGACCTACACGACGGTCAGCGGCACGAAAAAGTATGCGCTCGTCCACCTTGCCGTTCAATGACGCCTGCTTGCGCTTGACGTTTGATTAATCTCACTTATCAGTTATCAAACAAAACTTTAACTTTGAGTTATTTATAATTTTCCACTCATTTTTTCTCTAATGCTTTTGACCTAAAAAGTCGTTACCTAAGTAGTTGCAAGGTCGGTACACGCGAATGAATTATCTGCAAATATCGAATAATTGCACGCATATTTTAATTACTTTTGAACACTTGTGTCCTTTCGCTTGAATTACGCGAAACCGCAACGCAGATTTCTTCCTTTTTTCGTGCTGCTCCTTATTTTCGCTTTATGTAAACAAGAAACCTGTATAGCTGCCGGCTGGTTTCGATTTTTTCCATTCGCTTTCGACTGCTAGCAGCCTCTGGATTTGGTTGGACCACCTGATTGACAATTGGGCTACTTAGAAAAAATCAGCGCCGCGCGCGGAGTTTCTCTAGATAATATTTTGTGGAGTTTTTAACACGCGAGAGTGTAGAAATAAAGTAAACAACCTTGCAAATAACTGGACCAACTGGATCCCATTAATCAATAATTTCGTTTTGCAGCAATTTTTTTTACTACATCGCGCACCGTTGATCTCGGTATTACCACAATAAAAAAAACGGATTTTTGGTGCAATTTTTTCACAGAAAGAGACAGCAAAATCTGCAGTCATTTAAATGCTCCTATTCTCTTGATAATGTAGATTACTCTCTCGTTACCCAAGTATACAATTCAAAGTGCTTAAAATTCTCGCCTCCAGTGTTTTTAACTTAATTAACGGTTTGCAAATTGGATTAACCAGTTTTTTTTTTTTATTAAAAAATGATGATCTGTTTAATCAACATATAATTTAAAATAATTTTCACTAAATTCTGCTTCCTGTGTTGTTCGAGATTAAAAAATAATGGAGACAAAGAAACAAGCAGGAAGTGATTTTTTTTATTCAAGAGAGCCTTGTAAAGTTTTCACGCCAACGGTCATCTCTCGCAAATTCTCCGACCCGCGACAACCTGTTTTTCGCATTTCGCAGACGCCCTTATGAAAAATACGCTCGCTTTTTTTCACTGGATTCGTATCGTTGCAAAAATCTCCAGGAAATGATGCTCATTTTAAATCACACGCGCGCGCTCTTTATGTGAAAATATAAATAAGGCGAGATCGAGGTGACCGCGCGCGACGGAAGACTCGTTTTAGTGGTGCTCGCCAAGGGCAGCAACACTTGGGCGAAGTCTCGATCAAGAGTCGCGATCACGGCGAAACAATTATCCCCGCTATTATAGTTGCTGAAATTCCGGAAGCACACGAGAGAGAAAGAATGAGATATATTGGATAAACAAACAGGTGTCCTGATTTATAATGGCTTCTTTGAATGCAGACAGGGGCGCGCGCGAAGTGAAAAATTGCCGTCCCTGACGGTCACTCTAATGTGCGTGTGTGCGCGAGTGTGCCAAGACGCTGAGTAATTAAAATTGAATACGAGCTAAATGCGCAATCATCTCTTTCACATGCACTCTATTGAAACGGAAATCGAGCACCAGCGTTTTTTTATTAACTTTTTTCAAACAAGACGAATCCTTAATACAGTAATTATGTTTGTGGTCCCCCATTTTCTTTTATGAGTAGTTTTTCAAATAATTACAATTCAAAGCAGCCAAACGAGTATGGTTTCTTGAGGCCGAAAAAAATTTATGTAATGACGTTTGCGAATTTCCTGCCGCCCTCGGGGCAATACTTTCGGTGAATATACACGCACGCCGGTGTGCCAAATCTCAGCACTTTGATGAGAGCCCGTTGAAAGTCCATTCGTTCTATTTAATGCAGCTCTTTGTTCGCATTTTCGGTGGCCGCCGGGGACAATTGAAAATTATGCAAATTTGTCTGATGAGAACTATCACGACGGAGCAAGAATGATTTGCAATAAATTGGTCGCATAATTTAGTACAAATAAAAAACCCACTGAGAAATTCAAAACCATAACGCTTCCACCGACACTTCAACAGTGCAAAATAAAGCTGACGTTTAAAATTTATTATGCTTATTATGGCACTTCTCCAAACAGCATTGGATCTAGTACGCATTACATGTATTCTTGCTTCCTCGCGGTTTCAATTTTGTGGTTATGCCGCGGAAAATTTCCAAGCTATAGGCACAATTTTTTTTTATAAACGACTCTATTTGCGCGCAATTCATTGTTCATTTTCATACTGTATTTATTACAACGGTAGTAATTTCCTCGCTTCAAACGGGTCTTGCACTTTTCTTGTTCCACATTCTGTGGTTTTTCCGCCAACAGAACAATCTGGAAAAAGACTTGTGCAAAGAACCGGTTGAGACATGGAAAACTCGGATTGTTTCTCGGTGAGCAAAGTAAAATAATCCTCTGCAATTAATTGAGCTTAATGCACGTCAGCAAGAACTTGTTGATCTCCTGGAACAAATGAGGCCGAAGTCACGAGAAATTGTTTTTTTTTCGCGAGATCATAGATAAACTTCACCTGGAGCTCTGATAGATCAAACAATTGGCGGTTTTCGTCAAATAATTCGCTCGCAGTGCGAATTAAAAGATAATTCTCATTTCGGCAGACAAGTACGCTCGTCTTTTTCTCCTACCAATTTTCTTATTTCCTAACTGACTGGCCCTCGCATAAACACACGTTTCTCTTTTCAAAAAATATTGGGAGGTTTCACTTTTCGTGCAAGTGGCACATATGTTGTTTAATACGGGTAGAACGGGCTGGCCGCGTGGCAGATTCTTTAAGTTTTATCAGCGAATGACGATACACACAATTAGTAGGTCACTTTGCTCCAAGTTGAGGATCTTTCAAAAATAAGAAGCGATGGACCACTAGGTCGCTACCGCGCTGGGCTAATAGATAAGTTTCACTTTATAATTTATTTATTCAAGCCTCTCTATACATATGATACGTATGTGTGTAGAGTTGCACCGCGAGTGGCCTGCAGGTGATTTCAGGTAAAAACGCACGGCATCCTCACCTTCGGTCGCGCGGCAGGTCGCCGTTGCTCGCTCGCACTTCATGGCCAGCAACTTCTAAAAATAGTTTTTTACCTAGTCGGTGCGACGAACAATTGTGTTTAATTGTCAAACGTTTCTTTCTCATATATTCACTTAAGGAATGAAACTAATTGTTTGGAACGCGAACAGGCTCACCTTTAGGTTCAATGAATCAGAGAGAAAGACGGAGAGTGAAATTTAGCTTTTAAAAACCTGTTGCGCGCCGAATGGGAGCATGAGAGAACACGTTGTGTTTGCAGCAGTCGCGGCTTTGGATAAGGAAAATGGTGGTTTTTTAATCAAATGTGCGTTGCACAATTGGTGCAGTTCACCTTTAAAAGCAAAATGAGAAGCAGAATCGATTGACAGCTAGAAATCATACAAATTAATTCAATCTCAGCTTTTTGAGCGTCTTAAATGTTTGAAAATTAAGAAATGGGTTTTAATTATAATGTCAGGTTCGTTTTCCAATTTTTATAAGAAGATAAGGAGTAAAAAAAATAATCACAATCATCATTTGCAAAATAAATGCAAAATTTATAATCCTATAAATAATTAAATTACTACAAAATTAAATTGACTTTCAATTCCATATCCAAATTAGCTGGATGGTCCAGTATTCAATAACTTTCGAAATATATCTCTTGGTGAATATATTAAAATTAACAAGGATGTGTCCTTTCTTCATGTTACAGAAACCACAAATTTTGACAGCTCCCAGATAAAATGGCATCAGTCATCGCCTACGTTGTTGACGGCTACCGTGACCTTATGGACAACAAAAGTGGTAAGAAATACTAATCGTAAAAGATCACCGCACGTCTCCTTTTTCGCTCTCTCTGCCTTCATGCCGCACAAAGCAGCCGCGGGTCCGGTTTTCGAATTCGCAGTCAGAAGGAAGAAGCATCAGTAATGAGAACGCATGCACGTACTCGGGCACAAAAAAAATCATAATTATTTTGCTGAGGTCATTCATTCGCTGCGCGGCACCAATATAATTAGTCCTCGTGAAGAGGAATAATCTCCCTCCAATCTCGCGGGCTCATTTTCTTTGCAAAAAAAGCTGCAACTCATTGTGTGACGTCTGGACCGCCGATTCGCGAGATTCAAAGTGTTTTTATCCCATTTTAACAAAATTAAACTCCGAGAAGACACAATGGAAAAGAGTGAAGTCACAGAGGGGTGATTATTAATTTTAGAGGCAGTAATTGAAGAGCCGTGACGTTTGCTTCGACGCGAATGACGCGTGCATTTTTTTGCGTGTGCATGATAAATTAAATAAAAATGAATAGGCAAGGCTCAACCTCAGGCGTCATGGGCTGAAAAACCTGATTTTTTTTATTTGCCTCTTCAAGTGGAAGCAATTACGCAGATTCTCGATTGATTTCATCTCATCTTCCAGTAAAAAAAAAAATAATTCTAGCTCTTTCCTGGATTGAGTAAAAAGTATGTAGCGCCAACCTTGTCAAGGAAAAAGTCAATGCACCTTAGAGCAAAGGTTTATTGTGCACCGCCACTACTACTTTATTTATAGCCGTGTATACTTGTAATGAGATACTATCGTCGGGAATCGCATGTAAAGAAGGTCAGAAAAATCGGTAATTACTGTTGAGCGCGCGGCGATCGCGTAACAGCGACTTGAATGCGAGACGTAATTGTAATAAAGACGCTAATCCAACTTTTCTTTTTGTTTTTTGCAGACCCTCGTGTGAACGATTGGTTCTTGATGAGCGGACCGGCGCCGACGGCGCTTATCTGCCTCACCTACGTGTTCATCGTCAAGTATCTGGGACCGAAATTGATGGAAAACCGCAAACCTTTTGAACTTCGCCAAGTTCTCATTTGGTACAATGCCTTCCAGGTTGCTTTCAGCACATGGCTTTTCTACGAGGTACGCAAATTGCATAATCCAATAACCCACAAGACTATTTGCGGCTTATCGAAAAACTAATTCTCTCACGTCACCGCAATTTTTTATAAAGTGTTATGTTTTGTCTGATTAAACGGACTTTTATAATTCAATATTTGGCCAAAAAGGTTGCGAGCCGAGCGAGTCTTGTTATAAGCGACACTAAAAGTGAAAACAGAGCCGAAAGTGGAATAACGGATTTGAGCGGGCACACGAGAAAATAAACGGCCGCTCACCCAGATTCCTTCCTTTCGTAAAACTGGCCGGTCTATAAAGAAAACCGCACATATACGGCTCTGCCCCTTCGCCGAAACGAACAAGGCCTGCGGCCGCTACTTCATAATTTGTTTTGCTGTTTTCTCTAATCGAAATCATTTATGCATTTTCCAGTGTCTTGTTTCTGGCTGGTGGACCCACTACAGTCTGAGGTGCCAGCCCGTCGATTATTCGAATGACCCTATGGCCCTGAGGATGGCCCGCGGATGCTGGTGGTACTACTTCTCCAAGTTCACGGAGTTCTTCGACACTTTCTTCTTTGTGCTGCGCAAGAAGAACAACCACATTTCCACCCTGCACGTCATCCACCACGGAGTGATGCCCCTGTCCGTCTGGTTCGGCGTCAAGTTTACCCCTGGTGGCCACAGCAGCTTCTTCGGCCTTCTTAACACCTTTGTGCACATCATCATGTACGCCTACTACCTTGTCGCCGCCCTCGGACCCCAGTTCCAGAAGTTCATCTGGTGGAAGAAGTACCTCACTGCCCTCCAGATGGTAAATTTCCAAGTTTCAATTAGTTTAAATTCACTGAGAATAATTTTTTAATATACCATATACATGATTTAATACAATTGGGAATTGGGAAGCAACAAAATATGATTAATATTGAATGGCAATTGCAGCCAATGTGAAAGCTAATCTAATTCAGCGCTAAAAAAAGTTGAGTAATTTAGCTCGAACGCGCGTCAATAACCGAAAGTCGTGATCTGCACAACTTTTCCTTTTTCTCATGGACCTCGCGCGTCATTTTTTCACAGGTCCAGTTCGTCGCTGTGATGGTTCACGCCTTCCAACTGCTGTTCACCGATTGCAACTACCCTCGCGCCTTCGTCTGGTGGATCGGAATGCACGCCGTCATGTTCTACTTCCTGTTCGCCGACTTCTACAAGCAGTCTTACGAGAAGAAGTCCGCCGCCCAGAAGGTGAGAGTGGTCATCCATATATCTGTGGCACAATATTTTGCGTCACTGTATTCCCGCGCGGCAATTAACCTTGGCTGAAAAATATTTGCATTGCTTAGACACGCGAACTGGTTTTGTGAGATTTCCTACACCGTTCAGCGTGCGCGCATCCGTATTGTGTTTTCCCGGAAGAGCAGGAATTGAGTTCAATTCTTCTTACAATACAACTTGTTTTGACACGATCATATCAGAAAAATGTTAATTATTGTAAATTGAACGCGTCATTGAATCGCCCACGGTACTCTCCTATTTAATTAGAGTTGAGCAAAACAAGTTCAAGGGGTTTCCGATATTGACGAGTATGGTAATGTATCAGAAACCGCTTGAATGTTATTCATCGGAAGCAGCAAACGAGAGAAAATAACCACTTCACAAAACAGCCTTCAAAACTCGAATTGATATTAATTATAAAACGTTTTTTAATAACTTTTTATTTTGTCTTGTTCTCTAGGCGGGCCAGAAGTCTTTGTCGCAGAAGATCTCGGAGGGAGTGAACATTTGCCACCCCGGCGCCCTTTACCAGACCCCCGAGGAGAGCGTGAACAAGCAGATCGCCAACGGTTTCACTTCGCCCCACGACTCGACCATGAGAAACAGAGCCTACGTCAAAGGCAGCTCGTTGCAATAAACTTTGCGTCGCGCTCCTGGCGATTCACCTCACGATTTTCTAAGTCTCTCCATCGTAATTTTAATGCACTGCATTTCATTCGTGTTCCTTTTGCACTTGCTAGGTTCTGTTGAACTTTCATAATTTCCACCCTATCCCTTCTTTTTATTACTTTCTCTTTTAAATTTGAATTCTCCCTCTTGGTTAGCCTCTGATTTTTCGTTTCCCCTAAAAGTAACGTAAATATTTACACTACTTCCCTATATCGCGTCTCTCTCGGCTTTTTGTTCTGTCCCTTTTTGCTCTTTTTGTCTTGGGTTGAGGCCGATTTTGAGCAATTACCAAAGCAAAATCGGCCAGCAGCGTTTTAAATGCTCCTCCTATACTGTCCCCTTTGCCCCGGTGTCTCAGCAATGCAATAGTTTACTTGCCTAATTATGTCTGGAGAAACTGAGGTGAAAAAATTCCAACTTCCGGCAAAGTCTCCGTAGCCATACTCGAACTGTGATCGAAACAATTTTAGCTAATTGTGTATTAAGCTGCCTTGTAATTTATTTCAAACGCGGACTGGAAATCGATTTTTTCGGTCCAAATTTTCGGAATCTTTTGTTTTTCGACTCTCGCGTGGCGCACGTGCTTTGCCTTTTGTTTCTCAGCCAGTGTCAAGAGTCAGTGGATGGTCTTTGTTCTTTTTTCCCTTATTCTTCTTGGTCAGCACATTTCAACGTATGATTGTCGACGAATTTCCTATTTTTTACTCATGTGTGAATAAGCATTTTTGTACAAATGAAAACTTGTAATAAAAGCGAAAAATATTATGTACCTAAAATGCGCACTCATTATTTCATATAACCACCTAGGTGTGCCTTTTTTGCAATCGCCAAATTACCCCTGGGTCATATAAATTTTGATTAATTCTTTCGCGTCAAAATTTTTCTTCCCCGCAATCTACTGAGTCATTGAGCTCATCTTATGGTTATGCGCAGTTGCAGGCGCTTTTTGCACAATTGCGGCGACTGCTGCGGTTATAAATTACTTAACTCACGTAGAGAAAATCTGTGCTTTTTTCTTTAAACTATTTTCAAATAAGATAAATTCAACAGCAACATATTTTAAATTTAAATAAATTTAAGTAATATTAAATTAATATAATATTCCATTAATTTATAACACACACACACACAAATAAATTAAACTTTAAATTGATGTGTATCACATTTATAATGAGCGCTCAGGTGTTACATATTGCAGATACACAGCGCAATCTATTCATTTGCAACATGGTTACCAACGGTTACTTACAAATGGGGGAAAGCAAGATAAAATCAATTTAGTACACTTCTCAAAAATAATTCTAATAATAAAATAAATGGGTAGAAATATCGGATTCGGATTTTCATTATCATTTTTAAAAGCAGCGCTGTCTTTTAAAAGCAATCTTGTTAGGCAAATGTTTTGTAAGACCATTATAAACCAGTTTAAAAACGCCTGTTGCGAGATTTCTTTGATTGGTCAATTATTAAAAAAAAGTTAACAGAGAGTTAACAGAAATCCTAACGATGACATTGAGAAGCTTGAAAATTATACTATGTATAAATCAATTCAGAAAAATTATTATCTAGTTTTATTAACTCCCCAAGGCAAAATAGTCAAATTCCTTGAGGTAATAAAATTTCCGTATAAAATTAAAAACTAGATGGCCCCTTGTTCAATTGAATAACATTAATTAGCATTCAGGTTCCAGGGTCCCGCTACTACCCCAATCCCACTGATTCCCAGACCGGCTTGCAAAACGATTTCCAGAGATAGTGCCTTGCCTGCGGGGATCCGAATAGGCACTCCCGCACGACATCGCCGCCAAAAGATATGCCTATGGTACAGGCGCTCTATTGTTCTCTTCCTCCCCCTCGCACGCCGTGTTTATTTTCACACAAGCAGCTGATCGTCTACAGAAGCATGACTGGCTTCACCTCAACCAGGAACAAGAAGAAGAAGAAGTGAAGTGTTAATCTCGGCGATAATCCGAGGCATGTGACGAAAGCCTACGCAAAATTTCGTCACGTATATTCCTATTAAATTCGGCTCTTTGAGATCTGCAAATTTCGCCCCGAGCCATAATCGAAATGGCCCAATTACCTGAGACAAAACAACAGGCTGACGAGAAAGAAATTGACATTTACCGAGACACTCCTGTTCGATTTCTAGGTTGGTATTGTTATAGATCAGAGGTTTTGCCATTCTAAATCCAATAATTTTATATAATTGCATTTTATTTAATTTAAAATTTTCCCCGTACGCAGTTATTGCTCTGGTAATTGCCAGCTATAAAATATTCTGTGAGGTGTGTAAAAAAAAATAGTACATAGCAACGAGGCTGTAACATGTCTACGAGAAAGTGAGGATATAGGTGAACACAAAAAAAAACTGCTTCCATCTAAATTGGCTTTTGGCTAGACTCTAATACTAATATTATGCGTCATGCTCAGTGTTACTTTCTTTTTTGCGTCGATCGTGCAAACTAGTCTGCTGATTTTTATTTTTTTATGAACGACTTAATTTTTCAACATCTTTTCTTGTTAAATCAGTTTATTTATTATCTATTTATATGTGTAATTTCCGTAGGGTATGCAAATGAGGTTGGAGAAGCTTTCCGGACGTTGGTGCACAAAAACGTTGTCCACAGCAGCTATGGCGTGGCCAGCCTCTATGTCCTCGCAGACACAGTGGATAAATCAAAGAAAATGTACAATGTAAGCCCTTCACTTTTTTATCTTAAAATTCAGATACTTTGGCTAAAATTTAAATTAGTAATAAAGCGAATAATTTGTTTTTAATTAACTCAAAAGTCATATTAAAAAAAAAAAAATGCTTCTTCTAGTTTTTTGTCCAGACTCATGTATCTTAAATTACTTTGCGTCTCATTACATAAGTCATTACATTCATTATTATTCTTATTCTAATGAGAAGGACCTTCCTCAGGCTAATCAGGACAACCCTGAGCGCACCAAGAAGGTCATGATCGCCGCTGGAGACACTCTTGTGTGGCAGGCCTTGGCTTCTGTGATCATCCCCGGCTTCACCATCAACAGGGTGTGCGCCGGCTCCTACTTCCTCATGAAGCGCTTCAAGTTGGCGCCCAAGCCGGCCCGCAAGTGGCTGACCACGGCCATCGGACTTGCCTGCATCCCCTTCATCATCCACCCCATCGACAACCTGGTCACTGTCTCCATGGACATGACCATCAGAAAGGTGCTGAGCTCAGACCCCGCAGAGCAGAGCAAGTCTGACTGAAGACTAGGATTCCTTAGAAAATGAGATTTAGAACAAGCCCTTAGAAAAGTTAATTTTGCTCTAGTTAAGCACAAATTTGCCTAAATGCATTTTTTACTGCCTTGCATACATAATTGATTTCATAATGGTATTAATATTACCAGAAGATATTCAAGTTGTTGGAATTTAAATCAAATGAGGAAATTCCAGATTGACTTTCAGGTTGTCTTAAATACTCAGCTTTAAAGCCTAAATACTTAACATATGCAGTTTTGCATAGTGCGTTGTAAATTTTTCATAATTTTCATTAAAAGATGTTAATTGATAAGCAAAATATCTGTTTCATTAAATAGCTTGCATGGAAACTGCTGTTTGGAATAGCTGATAATTTTATTTCCATTACTTTCAACATTTTTGAGACTCCCGCCATGAAGAGTGCGGCGCAGTGCCTGGTGGTGACCTTCAACATCAGAAGTAGCACCAATTGCGAGTGGAGATTCCTTTTTCATTTATTGAGATTTGAACTGGTTCCAAATCAAAATATAGAAAGTATAAAATTAATCAGTGCCCTCAAATTAACAAGGAAATGGACACGACTCAGTTAGCACGATTTATGAACCTGGGGAAAAAAATTGTCGGAGTCGGACTCAACTACAGGTTAAGTGAATCATAATTAAACTCCTGTCCGCAATAATAAATTCTGATGCAAAACAGGGCCCTTTTAATTGAGAGGAATCTGCAGGCGCCACCCAATCCGGTCATATTTCTCAAACCGACCTCTTCCTACATTGCTGAGGGGCAAAGTATAGAGGTTGTCAAATGGATTAAATAAAATTGAATGAAAAAATATATCCTTCTCATATTTATAGATACCTGAGGGATTTGTAGTTAATCAAGAAACAGAGCTTGGAGTTGTTGTGGGAAAAACTTGCAGAAATATCACTGAGGAGGAGGCAAGAAAGTCGATCGGAGGCTATTGTCTTGCACTCGACATGACAGAAGTCAAGCATTTGGTACGTCCTTTTTACTTTTTTGGTCAATAATGATAAATTTTCAAAAAAATTTAATTAGGCTACTTGGAGGCAGCAAGGCATGCCGTGGAGTTTGAGCAAGGGCTTTGACACCTCTTGCCCTGTGAGCCGTTTTGTGTCCTGCTCGGAACTGCCTGATCCAGAGAATGTAAATTTATGGTGCAAGGTCAATGGGAAAATGTGCCAGACGGGAAACACCTCTGACATGCTCTTCTCTGTGGCCACCGTGATGAGCTACGTCAGCAAAATAATGACCCTCGAGCCCGGCGACCTCATTTTGACCGGGTCACCTCCAGGGATGATCGACGTCAAAGCTGGGGACGTTATTGAGGCAGGTCTTGGAGACGTTTTATCAATGAAGTTCCCCATCGTTGATCGGAAATGATCATTATCTTGTTGCCATGGTTTTTTAATGTTGTTGTTGAGAGCTATTTTTATATCAAATGGGTGAATATATAAATATTCTGACTTGCCAATATGGTTCAATAAAATTTTAAAAATTAAATGATTTCCAGGCAGTTTATTTTGCAACTTAAAAACTAACCAATTTATATATAATCCTCAAATAAATATACGTTCCTAATGTACAGCTTTTCAGCAGGACTTCAATCACAATCAAGCTCCCAAATGTAAAACAAGAGCATTTCTTGATTCACCCTGCCGTCAGCAGAGCAGGCGAAAGTTTTACCAGTTGGGATTAAAATAATTGAAATATAGGGTAAAAAGGGTTTCCAGTATTTTGATTAGAAAGATATTTGTATGAGAAAAATTCTTGCTCTCGTGTTACTAACAGTCCCCGCGGTATTTTAATGACAATTTATACAAACACACTTGCACTGAAGTTTTGAAGTTTAATTCGTACAATTGCTCTCATTTGCAACAACTCGCGATCAAACAGTTCAAATCAAGTATCTCAATAGGAACACCAGTGTCTAACAGGTATAATTAGTTTTACAGCAAATGATGACAAAAAGCAAAACACAAAGTAGCTCAAGAAACCTTCAGCAGTCGTCTTAGAGGACGGGAAAGATGGATGAATCTAAGGAGGCATCAAACAATACTCAAAGCGAATCATGTTTTTGTCCCGAGTGTGAAACTCAAAAGTAGACTCTTTCTTTTTGACTCTTTTTTTTAAACATTGAAGCTTATCTCTAGTGTGGCTAAATCAATAATTATAACACTCTCTTTTTGGTTATTAACTGGGGGTACATTTTACCATTATAATAATATCTATTAGTGTGTTGATCATTAAAATTTTTTAAACTTTATGAGAGAGAGAGAGAGAGTTGTTACAAGTTTCTTTCTTTTTCTTGTGTGGGTGTGAATTTTGTTGAATGGCGCTTGTGTTTAATCTGACCATGAAATTTTCGCTGTTCTTGTATTAAAGACACTGGTGATGGAAAATATTATCATGTGTGTATGCAGCCTGCTCATTGATGCCGGACCAAATATGTGTGGACGTCTCGCCTCGAAAGCGTTTGCAACTCGATATGATTGAGCAGAAAAATAAAATGAAATTTCACGATTGAACGCAAACAGTTGAAATCCGCACAAAACAAAAAAAAATTGGCTTCACATCGTGCACCGCCAACGAACCTTGAGACGTCCATGAGTTTTGGTTTGTATTTCAAATGGGAGTGTATTTCTGTTCAAGTCTGATAGCAGCGGTAGTAGTAGCAATGAATTAAGAATAATAATAATAATAATCAACAGATAATCTTTCCTTGCAACAAACTTTGGTTGTTCGTTTGCACCTCTATCAATCATCAATCAATCTACGATCCAGTGTGGGGGTGTGTTTTTCCTTAAAGCTCGTGTTAGCGAGGAGGCGGATCGGTTGGTTGGTTCCGCGGGTCGCTCTGCCGAATGGGTTTCCTGCGGACGCTGCTTGCTTGCGAGCCGAGTCCGGCGCCGCTGCTGGCCGGGTTGCGCGCCGCCGACTGCGGGGGGACTTCTCGAATGGTGCCGGTGCCCGTCACCATCATCACAGGAGGCTGGGTTGGCAATATACACATGGGAGGGGGCGCTTGTTTGGCCGCCGAGCGCACCACTGGCTTTTGCTGCTGCTTCTGCATGTGTTGCTGGTGGTGCGGCTGCGGGCCCCGCGCCGGCTCCAAGCTGCGACTCTTGCTGGCGCTTGGTTGCTGGTGATGGGGTGGCTGCGCGTGCGGGGGCGGCTGGGGGCCGGACGGCCGCGCTTCTTGCTGCTGCTGCTGTTGCTCAAGGTGCGCAAGCAGGGGCAGCGAGGCGGCGCCTGCCGGACAGTCGTGCAGACTCACGTCGGCCAGTGAAGAGAGTAACAGTTCTTGGACAAACAGACTATGTTCAGCGCGGGTTTCCTCCATGGAATGAAGTTCTTCCTCGGATATTTGGCACTCGGACGACCTGCAGTCAAAGATTTAAATAATCAATATTCGAAAAGAAAAAAATTAAGACCTTCTTTATAATTTTTGTCTTAAAAATTTGAGCTAAGTAAGCAATAATTCAACATTTCATAACAATATAACTTTCAACTGTGTCTTTATAAAGGATTGAATATACCTGGAATATACTTTACATGGTAACAATGTAAACCAATAAACAACAATAACAGCTGTTTACAGGACATTTTTCAAGAGGTAAGATTTAATTGTAAAATGGCCGAATACTTTTATACATATTAAGACCTCATAATTTTTGATGCGAATTAAAATTAGCTAAATTGAAAATTTCCTTTCTTTATTATGACTTTGAACCTTCCTCATATAATTTTTTAAAAAATAAAGAGTTGATACTGACCTGCCAAGTATATATTGTGAATTGCTTTGCGATGTCGACGTCTGACTAGCCACGCAAGTTTGATCCCCTCCCGAAGTGGCAGCTTGATTGGTAGCAGTCAACCCGGCCATCGAGCCCCCCAGGACTGTGAGTGGATTCACAGCCAAGCCTACTGTAGCACCATTTGAGGCAGCTTGGGACCGCCTGGGCAGTCGTTCCAACTGCTGCCGGGCAGCCTGCAAAGTCAAACATAAATAAGTCGTTTGGAGACAAACGTTGAAAATCTGAGTAGTTGTGAAAAGAAAAGTGAAACATTGCATACCCTCACCTGCTGCCGCTCGAGCTGTAACTGCATCTGGAGCTGCTGCAGCTGCGAGGGAGTCGAACCGACTGAGCTGGAAGAGCCATTTGCATTTGCCATTGACGAGGCAGCGGCGGCAGACCTGCGGATGATTCAGTTTTAACAATATTACCAGCAGGTTTAAAACAAATGTACCTTCTAACTCCTGACAACTGGGACAATAATTCTGCGATGGGGTCTACGTCCCTGCTGGAGGGAGATAAAGCTGATAGTCCTCCTGATGAGCTAAAGTGCATATTAGACCGCCTTGCTCGAGGAACTCCTGAGCCGCCTCGGGATGAGTGAGGGATTCTCCTGACTCCGCCATGACGTGACACTGAGGGCTCATCGTGAACTAGCAGTCAAGGAAAAATGTGGAGATGTTTGATCAAAAATTAAGTCAATATAAATATTTTTTTGATGATTTCTATGAAATTCTGATATTCCTCACTGAAATTAAATGATGTGAAATTAATTTGCACCAAAAACAAACAAAATAAGTAATTAGGAGTTGCCTTCAGCACCACAAATAAAGGGGACATTTAGGCTGACAAGACTTTGTCTTATCCTCTTCAAAAAAAGTTAATAATCCTGCAGCACATTTTATCTAGGACCACCATGTTTATAAATTAGCATTTAATCTATTATAGTATAAACATTTCCAACAAGTTAATACTTAGGTATTTTCACACATTGCTACCCACTCAATTGCAAATGTTTGGTAAAAAAATTGTAATATTTCATTAAAAAATATATATATTTATGAATTTTTATCCCACCATTTGTGAACTAATTTTGAAATTTATAATATTTACTTCAGAAAATTGCGTTCCTCTATTCAAATTAAAAAATTACGCTTCTTAATTTAAATAAGAATAACCAATTCTTAGGGATGAAAAAATTATCAGACTATGTAATTTGAATACTAGTCCCAAGGATTAACCAAATTGATTAGAGTATGAAAAGGATATGAGGAAAGAAATGAGATCTCGAGGCCCACTTCGATGCTCCAAGGTCAGGTGAGCAGCAAAATCGTCAGTTACGTGGTTGGGGTCGCCACCTGGCAGGGACGCACAAACAGGACACACAACCTCAAAGGTGATGTCCGCGTGCTCAGCAGCAACATGCTCCTGAAGGGTGGCTTCAGTGAGGCCCTGCTTTCCACAGAAAGGACAGGTAAATGCCTGAGGTTGCTCTACAGTCAGACCTTCTCCTCCATAATACAGTTCTGAAAGCATAATTGGCAAATATGAGGACAACTCAAGCGATTAATTATTATAAAAAATTATTTTCATAATTTAACATTGGTAAACCATAACATTTTGTTTTTAAATATCCAGAACTTTTAATTTGAAAAAAGGATAAAAAATAATAATTAAAAATAAAGGGAAAAAAATTACAATTCCTAAGATTACTTTTTAAAATTTAAATTTCCAAAATACGCGGCAAAGGGAGAATGGTATGAAATTCTAAGCATAAGTTAAAATTTGATTTCTTATTATGTGATTCACCATGTTTCACATACATTTTTAATATTTTGCATAATATTCAATGCATGCAAATATTTTTGTCTACAATTTTTGTCTTTCTTATTATTATTATTATTTATTCTTCTCGGTCAATACAAAAATTTTAAATTGGAAAAGAGCAGAAAGGGTTTACAACTAGCAGAATTTCTAAAATTATTTTTTTAAGTTTGATTAAAAAATTATCACAAGCTGTTAAGAATTTTAATACAAAATTTATACAGAATATTATTCTTAAAATGTTCTTTAAACGAATTCAATTTTAAATTTAATTACCATAAAACCATTGCTCCTTAAGTAACAATATTGCATAATAAATTTCTTTATAATTATCTATTCCGTGGTACAGTTTGGCCAGCATTGGTTCAACGGACAACACTCTCACCATAATCAGAACGTGTGAGGATGCACTGCATAGGGTGGTCTGTTGTGTGCCTGGTGGTGGTTGCCCCTGACTCGTAGCAAGTGGCACACAGGTCGTAGTCGTAGCAGATGAGGCATTTGTAACGCCTTCCCCGGAAATTTCCTTTAAGGCAAGAATCACAGCTTACACCTGAAAACAGTAAAATTCGTCAGAACCACTTGGAATAAAAATAATACTTGGAGGATAAAAAAAAATTGGTGGAAAAAAAAGAATTGCGCGCGGATGACCCTGGGAGATGCCCTCCTTAAATTAGCCCCCGATGGACAAGTAGGAAGGGAAGTGCGTCGTCGAGTGGGCTTCCCGCTGGCGTTCGTTCGATGACCGCGCTTCGAAGGGCACACGGATCGGTGCCAAACCGGGGGCGGTTGCTAAATAGTGGCAAGTGTCGGGTGCAGCAGGAAGAAAGAAAGAACGAACGAACGGAGAGTTGGGAAACAGTTCGGGTGGCTGGCGGCGCGACCGCCCCCGGCCATCCTGTCCGAGTCGCACTCACCTTCATGGCGAGACATAGTTAATCCAGTGGTTAGTGGTAAATTTTTAAGTCTATCGGGGCGAAGAAGAGAACGACCGTTGTCTAAGTAATCACGACATTAAGAGTGCGATGTGCATTCACAGATGACATAGACCTCCATTTCGCAATTGAGCTGCGAGTGAATTCTTCCTCCAGCGCCCGATTGGTGGGGCACCGCTCGCCAAGGAGCTCCCGAACCTCCTTGGCCGAACGGGGGTTTGCCACGGGAGGGGCGGCCACGGGTGGGTGGAGTCGCCTCTCCTCCGCAGGGCAGTCAGCAACCAGCAACTCGGCCCGTCAGCAGTACGAATTTGTTCTCGAGTGTTATTATTATTTATTTTGTCGTGGTACGAACGGAGCAGTCGAGATGAACCGTGAATCTGCCACGATTTGTCACCTAAGCTGATCTGCACCGACCCTGAGCAGGGCACTTCCGGAGCAAAGGTACCGAATCCGGTCGAGATGTTGTGGTTAGCCAGACCGTGACATTTTACACCCAAGGGGACTTTTTATATCATTTTGTCATTGGAGCAGCAGCCGCGGCGCCCACACGCACGCTCTCGCATATAATTTTGTTTTTTATTTGCAACTCGCTCTGTTTTTACCAATTAATCTGTTTTTCTGTTCCACTTATATTTGATTTCCAGCTTTTCGCTGCGAGGATTTTGTATGTAGCTGTTAATGCATTCCGACGTCATCACCTGCTGCTGGATTTTGACACTAGCGGTCTATGACCATATCGGAGGCACCTTCACGAATTTGGTAGACTCGGTCGGATCTCCCAAGGCTGTGAAAAAAAGAAACCGGAGCACACACCGCGCCCAATTAAACTTCGTTTCTCGACGCATCACTGCGAATCGCTCGAATTTCACGCGTATTTTCGCCAAATCCTCGGCAGGGTGCCTCCGATTCTTCGCATTAATTTGCTTAATTGCTTCAGCTAATCTCGAGCTTGCAAAATTTTGATTCGCGCTCAAGGTTCCTACTTCCCCGAGTTGACGCAGCCAAAGTGGAATAGATCCAATTTTTATTTATTATTTTATTAATCGTCTCGTTGGATGAATGAAGCGTCTCAATCGAGAGAAAGGCCTGTTTGTGCAATTGCTGCCGATAATTGCTATTCATGAACTCCCACTGAAATTGGCGCATGAGAATAATTCCCATTTTAATCATTTGTTATTTTCCTCCGTGGGCTGCAGACAAACGATTCACGCGCTGTGGAAAGTCGATGCAGATACGCAGACGATGATTTTCAATTATTTTGCTTCACTGATTTTTATATACATTCAGAAGAGGATAATAAAAGTCGTTGCAAATGCTTGACTGAATCGATTTACCTGTGAGGTTTGAATTTTCAATAACAATTTCATTACAAAATTGATTTAATGATCAGAGGAAAAATTTAATCGGACGATACTGCAGTGTTTGTATAATTTACTAAAAAATACCTTCATCAATGAAAATTTCTTAAAATGATCAAAAGTTTTTTCCTAGAATTGTAAAATCAAGGAATTTAAGCTTTTCTGAATTTTGTAAAAAAAAAAAAAATTAAAATAAAATGTTCACTTTTTATAGTTTTTAGTTTAATCACAGCGCCAGGTGGATCTGTGCTATCTGCATCCTCCCTTGTTTGCATTCCCTCTTGTAAATTGACCGCTGATTGTTCCCGAAAGATTTATATACTTTTTTTTAATTTTTCTAACAACATGTTCTTTTTGGAAGATGAGTAAAGATGTAAGAAACGAGGGCTTCCTGAAAATGGCAGCGTCCGCAGAATCGATAGGCAGCTGCTCGCTAGACGTAGATTACACGACAAGTGAATCTAACGCAGGTAAAGAAAGAAAGATAGAAAGAAAGGGCCCACGCGGTCGCTCGCGCGGCCCAATTGATTTGCATATATAGAATTAATTATGTACGTGTGTAGCGCATGCTGCCTCTCTCATCCAAGTGTACAGAATGCAAATCAGTGTCCATCCTGTCTGGTCGGTTGGTGAATGAATGCAGACCTCCTTAACATTTAAATGTTTTTGACCCATTTTTTTTTTTCATTCCGCTTCCTGTATATTTAATTGTTGTAGTAGTTGGCGACACAGCTTTTGCGCTTGCATTGTCTGTATTCAAATTTTCGTTGTCCGTGATGCACTCTGTTGAATTTGCAATTAATTTCTTTCTTTTTTGTTGCGCACAAACGATTTTTACTTCTTTTTTTTCCGTTTCCAGGGTTCAAATTGCAAAACTTTCTATGGCCCAAAATTGATTTTCAAGTAATTTGTAAGTTTCAATACCCCTATCGTTGTTTTTTCATCCAACCAGGAACTCAAAATCAACGCTTGACTCAATTTTCATTTATGCAAACTTCATCAATTCTGGTGAATTGGAGGAAGTCAAAGAAATTTGAGTGGCAAAAATAATATTTATAAATTTTTACGAGCCTCCTCCGCACAAATGGTGCTTCCATTTTTATGTTGCCAATAAAGCGTGTGGTCGGATCGCGCTTCTGGAAAGTATCGTTCCAGGTCAAACTATTTGACTGAGAGCAATAAATTTATTTTTCGCTAACCCAAATCCGACTCCATGCGAATTTCACGCTGCTAAATTTATATCATGAGCTGTATTTTTAATGGGGCATTCTACTTTTTGAAATTTATTTCTTGAAAATCTGCATCAGAAATTTCTCTTGTAATTTACAATCACTTCCTGCAAGATGGAATGTTATAAAAAATTTACTGAAACAGGATTTAAAATATAAAAATAAATAAATTTAAATATGTAAAAATTTGAGGATAATAAAAAAAAATCTGCCTAATTTTGAAATAATGTAAATAATTTATCTGCAGTTCTTGTCAGAAACTTAGCTAGTTCAATTAAAGACAAGTTTCGCAAAATCAGAATTACAACATGTGATTCTGATCAATCTTTGAGAAACAAATGAGACGTAAATACTTGAGCTACAATTAATTACCTTCCCCAGTTTGCTATATTATTAAATTAATTTTTTTTTTTAAATCCCGATTTCTTTCTAAATTTTTTAAAAACAATACAAGCAACATAAAGTTATTAAATTTAAGGTTGTCTAATTAATTTTTAACCATCATTTTCCTTATTTTTCCATTTTAGGTCCTAAAATTGAAAGGATATAGAACTATATTTTTGGCCTGTCAATTAATTTAAAAATTTTGCATCATTTTGACCTTATTTCGCTAATTTCCATAAACTCATTTTTATTTCAGGCGCACCTTTTTGTTTTTCACTCTCATATATGTTAAATATATAAGCAATTTTTCTGCACAGTGTTTTGTGGTGTCACTCATTTGCCTAAATCAATCAAGAGTCCGCATCACGCATTCAGAACGGAGAAAAGGCGAGATTAGCGCAATTAGTCGCGCGCAATGCAAGCTTTGTGCCATTTTTGCGCCGGCTCTCTCTTTTCTCGCGTGTGCCGTTGATGTCGGACGCGAACGGAATGTTGTGTCGATTTTTAACACTTTGGGTGTGATTGACAGCTCTGTTGACATCGCGGCTCGGGTTCAAGCCGTCGCCGTCGCAGCGGACCCTGCACAGCTTCGATTCGCAGCGACTCTTGGCGCAGAGTTCCGAGGAAATCTCCACGGCCTCTGCCTCTGAACGCAGACAGGCCGCCAAACTCGCAAACGCCAGGTCAGTCAAGTCATCTATCGATCCGCGGAACCCAGCTCGCAAGTTCCCAACCCTGCACGTGAGGGAATTAGTAATTTTGGTCCTTGTGCGTTTCGAGGGCGCATATCAATTTGGTTGTGATCTTGAAAATTAACATAAATTGTTTCATACAAAAATTGGAATATTTTCTGTATTTATTTTGTTCATTAATTTCTTTATTGTTTTTATTTAATTGAAAATGAATTTATGCATGAAAGTAAATCATTTATTAATTATGACATTTTAATTAAAACAGAAAAAAACAATTTTATTTATTGTAAGAACTTGTGAATTCTTGGAATGCAAAAGCACAGAATGTGTTCTTATAAATTCAGAAACTCTTAAGACCGCAAGTGCCTCAAATTCCCAAGTAACCATTCACATTTTTGCCAAGCCAACGGCAACATTGATTATCCGTCTTCTGACATTGGAAAGAACGACTCGGCCTAATAAAAATTCTCTTTCGTTCCAGGGACATCTACAAGAGCGAGGACTCGATTCTGGGCGTCCGGCAGCCGCGCAGACCTTCGTACGTCAACATCTCGTGCTCGGTGAGCGGCTACACGCCTGCCATCAACTACCACTGCCTCAAGTTCGGCCTCAGCAGTCTGCAGAGTCTGAGCACGCCGCCCCTTGTGTTGACCAAACGGAAGCCGCACTCGTTCACCGGGATGATGAACGGCAACCACAGCAAGACCGACTTTGTCGACTGCTCCTCGGGCAGCTTCTTCGCCCGACAATCACCCGACTCGTTTTGCTCGCAGTTCGCCAAGAGCAGCAACTTGTTCACCAACAACAACAACCGCATGTCCAGCGTCGAGTCGACCGCGGTTTACACCTCGGTGAGTTTCACTTTTAGTTTTTTATATATTTGAACCTGCAACTTTGTAAAACTATTATTACTTTTTTTTAAATTTATTCCTTTCTTTTATTAAAATGAAACTGAAATCTACATAAAAAAAACTTATTGGAAATTATATTGAATATTTAACAGACAAATTTTAAAATATCAACAGAGCTCATTTTCACTATTGATAAGATCTTGCGATAAGAAAATTTTCTCTTTGTCCTGTTATTTAACACTTTTTTGTTATCTCAATTGTAGTCCCAAAGGTCGGAGAACACCAACGGCGCCACGAACGGCACCGAATCCAACACTGAAAAGTCGTTCATCCAGGAGAGGGTGGAGCGGCTGTACGGTAGAGGTGCCTTCGCGCCTTCCTTTTTCAAGCAAAAAAGTACCTCGCCGAGAAGCAGCCTCGTAAGGAAAATCAACCGGCGTGAAGCATGTTTCTTTTAATTGTCATTTTCCTCAGTCACCCGGCCAGGAGAACAAAACAAATCCAGAAAAGACTGCAAACTCTTCTCCCACTAAAATCCCAGAGCTGCCTGTGCTGAAATTGCTGAGGCCCGAGTTTCGTGAGCAGCTCGTCATCAACTCTGCGCACTCCACCCCGTGGTGGAGGCAACAGCTGCGTAGCACCGCGCCCAAACCGGCCTCGTACAATGGACAAGAGAGAATCATTCCTATCACCCTAGAGGCAGACATCATTACCAAGCCTAAAGTAATTTTTTTCTATTAAAATACAAGTCATGCAATTAATAAATAAAAAATTAATGGATTTAGAAATGACATTGTGGTATTTTTTAATTTGCATTAACTTTTAACATTTTTTTTATTTTGCTTTTTTTAACGAAATTAAATTTTAATAAACAACACATATTTCAATTCACATTTTAGATTGGCGCCAACGAAGTTAAAGACATGGTCTGTGATGTTGCCACTCAGGCGCAAGAAGTACCACAAGACATGCAGCCAGCAGCTGTTGACGTAATCCCCATAACTTCGGCGGTCGCCCCGAGCCACACCAACAAGGACAAAGACGCTCATTACTACCTGCAGGTATTTCCATTTGCGATGATTAATGACACGCCGCGTCACAAGTCGTTTCATTGCAGCTGCACTCGGCCGAGTCGCAGAGATTGCTCAAGTTGGCTGACGAGTACGAGGTGGATTTGGAGAACAATTCTGACCTAAGTGAAGACCTCATGGGAAAGTTGAGGGCCGCTACTGGCCAGGCTAGACTACTTGTTCGACAGAAATTAAAGCAGTTTGAAGGACTTTGCCACAGAAATCTTGTAAGTCCTAGCTGGTTGATTTTATTCCGATTTTTTTTTTAAAGAGTCTTGTTAGTCTGTGCCTTTTTTGGAGGCACAATCTTATTTTTTTTCTACCTGATGGATTAAATTAAGCATAATTTATTTATTGCATTGTTTTTGTCTTCAGGATTCTAACAGTGATGAACCTTTTCCTACAACTTGCGAAGATATTGCTGGTTTTTGGGACATGGTATACTTGCAAGTGGAACATGTGGACAGTCTGTTTGATGAATTGGCCAATCTAAAGAAAAAAGGATGGCCTGCTGAGGTAAAATATTATTTTGTTCATGTCGAGCTAGGTTAATTTTTTGATAAATTTTTCAGACTACCCCAAAAAAAGTTGCAACCCCAAAACAAGCAAAGCCAGGAGTGAAAGGCAAAAGTGCTCAAGTCAGTTCAAAGCCGCTTTCTGAGAAGGCGCAAGAAGCGGCTCGCATTCGTGACGAGCAGCGCAAGAAAATTTTGGAAGAGAGGAGGCGTCAAGCCAAACTTCAAAAGAAGCCTGACGACAGTATTGAGATTTTTGCTCCCACTGCTGAATAACTGCAGACAATTGACCTGATATTTGACATTCTCTTATTGCATTTCAACCAACAACTACTGAACTACTATAATTACTCAATGTCAGTAATTTGACCAGCTTCTAACACAGAAAGTCTTGAAGCATAAAAAAAAACTACTCACTAGCATGCCCAGCGCCTTAGCGCTTTGGATTAAGAACAAAAGCTGCTTATATTTAAAAAAGATAATTTGTTTTTATAATGTTAATAACTCAATATTTAATGAAAAAGAAAATGCCTTGTTGCACTTTGGTCTTGCCACCATTTTTAATCGCAGACTGATTTAAATTATTGTGGTGTTGATTGTCAATTCTGAGACCAGAAATGGCACGGATAATTGTGATCATGTGTGAAATGAGGCGAAATTGACCAGGGGAAATTACATTTCAATGTTGAAGAGAGGAATATTTTTATGATTGGGGAATTGGCGAGAAAGACGTGTGCTTTGTCGGCATTGCAAAATTGTAGCCAAAGAAATTTTTGTTTGAATGAGCATTGCACAGAAGACATTAACAAACTTCTTGACGCTTTAACTATAATTGAGGAAAGATGATATTTTTTTAATGTATAATAATTTTGCATGTTGAAGGAGTTTTCTTGCTGCTTTCTTTCCTGTCTCTTAGATTTCTCCTTGCCTACAAGTTTCATCAATAATTAATTTATAAAACTTTTAGATGGAGTCATAAAATTCTACTAACATTTAGGCAGCCAAATAGTCACAATGTACTTGCAATAATAAGCTCGGATTTGTTTCTGATTATTTGATTGTGATCAAAATAATTTTCGAGCACGTGAATTTAAAATTGGCTTTCTAAAGTAGTATTAATCTTATTTATTATTTGGATATCAATGGATTTATCATGTATTTATTGCTAATCTGATTAAGAAATTAAATATTTATTGAACTACGAAAAACTATGACTGGCTCACAAAAATTTCACAGATATGATTTTATAAAATAATGGATTTTGAGGAATAAATTTAAGATAATTTGTATGATGAATGTGTTATTTCACACAAAAATAAACATTTTTTGCTTTCATCAAATACCATCAATAATTTATTGTTAGTTGCAAAACAGATTACATGATATTTCTCTGGACCACGAGTGAACCAAACGTATCGAGGAGTAAAATAGGCAAAGAATGATTTGATAATACATCTTGTAAGCAAGTACAAAACCAAAAGATTCCCTAACAATCAGTTTACCGGCTCCACAAAGTCATCCATGTAGCTGTCGGATGAGAAGCTGAGTGGGAAGCTTGCGAGCGACGAAGAGTTGGACTGCTGATCTGATAGGAAACGATTTGGCTCACTCAAGTTGAGTCCTGCCAGCAGGTCGTTAGACAAATTGCTGGTGCCAAATTCATCCTTGTTCAGGTTGCACATGTCCCTCAGCATGAGGCTATAAAAATCATAGGGAAAATTAAATTACAGGCCGTTGAGCGTACCAAAAAATAACATACATAGTGCTTTCGTTGGCAACTGCATGGACTTTTGGCACAGGCATTCCGTTGAAGGTGCTGGCAACAGGTAGGGTGTAAGCACCCATGTTCTGGAACACAAACCACTCGCCGATCTCCATTTCGGGCAGCATCAGGGGACCAGTCACTTGGTCCAGTCCATCGCACGTAGGACCCCAGATGGTGCCGAGGGCTTGCTTCTTCATGTTAACAGTGTCCTGATGAAAAAAAAAATGTTAACCTGAAGCCAAATTTGAAAAGAATCGATTTTACTTTGAGTGGAATTGGAGTGACGACAGCATGATCGTAGAGCAGGCAGTTGAAGCTTCCGTAGACTCCGTCGTTGATGTAGTACATGTAGGAGTAGGTGCCCCCCTCATTCTTGACCTGACGCTTGGAATGGATAAGAGTGGCCAGGGTGTAGGCAGAGGCCACGTAGAAACGGCCTGGCTCGGCAATGACGCGGACGCCACACTCGTCAGGGAAGTACTCGTCCAGGGCCGAGTTGACAACATCAGCAATCTTTGCAAAATAAAATATTTTGAATTGAATTATTTGTTATTCGACTCACTGATACATAAAATAAATGGAGACAAAATATAGAAAACAATGGTCAGTAAAAAATTCAATTACCTTGTCGATGGAGGAGCCTTTGTTGCCGGGAAATCCACCACCGATGTCAAGCAAAGAGAAGTCAAAGCCGATGCGTTTGGCATCTTCAAAGAGATCCTTGGCTGCTCTGATGGCTCGATTGAAGACTGGTGCGTCAGAGCAGCCAGAGCCCACGTGGAAGCTGACGCCAATTACGTCAAGGCCAAGAGCGTAGGCAGCCTCAAGCAGGGAAGGAGCTTCGTCAACCTCGACCCCGAATTTCATGCCCAGAGGGCACTGAGCAGCAGTCGCGTCGCAGCGGATGCGAATTACCAATCTGAAAATGTCCAACATTTATAATTTTAAATTTGATTCAATTTTTAATATTTAACCAAATTTAAGATATAAAAATCCATTTCTTTTGTATTGCCACTAAATTTTTTTTACGATGTCTTACTTGGCTGAGGGGTAGAGAGACTTGATTTTGTGCAGCTCGGTCTCGTTGTCAAAGGTCATGGTGGTGACGCCGGTGTTGGCGGCGTAACGCACGTGGGACGCCTGCTTGACAGGGTTGGCGAAAATGATCTTGCCAGGGTCCGCCCCAAGTTGCAGCACCTTGGCGATTTCGGCCTGAAAGCAGTGAGGTTGACATCACTCTCTCAAAATCCAATTTGTTTTGCAAGTGGACACGCACCTTGGAGGCACAGTCAAAACTGGTTCCGAGCGAGTTCAAGACTTCCAGCACCATCATGCTGTCATTACACTTGACGGCTGAAACCAAAATTAGCCCAATTACATTAAAATTGCCGTTTCCCCATCGGGTGAATAATAATTGTACCGTAATGAGGCTCCACTTTGGGAAGTTTGAGCTTCCACTCCTTGTGTTTGCGCACAATGTCTCCGATGTCCAGAACGTAGAATGCCTCTTCTTGCATCTGCCAATGGTCAATAAAATCGACAAGTCAGTAACCGAAATTGTGACAGAGAGATTCAGATTCAGCCGCAGCAATCAATATGGAAGCAACTAGCAACCGCCTTTTCGTTCGAACAGAATTTCATCTTTTAAAACGTGTCTACGCCTCGGCCATTATTTTTGCACTCACCTCAGAGTGGGCAATCTGTTCGATCACCTGCCACACGGAGCGGTCTGGCTCCAGAAGGTTGATGTTTTCTTCGAATTTCATGGTTGTAGAGTTGGTAGTTGATATGAACAGACAACAAGATGTATAAACTATATGTGAAGATAAGCGTTTTTGGGGCTCCTGAAACCCACAAAGAATAAATTATTAGTTTAAATATGTTTTAAATATTTTCTTTTCTTTTTTAATTCATTTGGATAGACTATGATCCTGCCAAGCTCAATTTGGTGCTTATTGGCTGGAAAAATTTAAATTTAATATGAAAATTATAGACTTCACTTACTTAAAATTAGAGTGTAAGCACAACTAGTCTCAGCCTTCTAGGGTGGCCCAGGGAGGATCTCCGTTGAGGACAAGGCGCCAGTTGTTGTTGTGGATGCTAACAACAGGCGGTGCTGGAAGCCTGGATGATGTTGTCAACTGCAACATTTTACATTCAGATTTTAGCAAAGTTTTTGTTTTAAAGATTTAGTTAACAATATATTTATGTTATTTGAAAAATGATTCTTCTGTTTGCAAAATGATCAAAGCTTCCAATTCCTATTTCGTCGACCAAAGTCCAAACATTTCAAAAATTCCAATATGCATTACTCAAGAAAAGCATTCTAAGCAAACCGACCGATTGTAAAATTATCACAAGACTGACTTTCGTAACTTCTATTTAGGCCTCCTCGGTAAAAATACTCACAATAATTTGGTTAAGGGCTTAAGTTAAAGCCAATGTCACCACATTCTCGCGTGAATTTGTTGTAAAACCTAAGTTTGGTCACGTCGCCGCGACACAAGCAAAGGTTTGCACTTAGGATGGGCGTCTGAGCGCGGACGAAGAGCTGCTTCGGGCAGGAGCGGGCAAAGCACTGACATTCGGCGGCGGCCAAGCTCGCCTCCACGACACCGAGTGCGCCTTGAGCTGCTCCAAAATTCGCCGTGGAAGGGACCACCGCACGCACCGGCTGGCCTCTACGTGGAAAAATCCGGTTTCGGCCAGACCTTCCTGCTAACGCTACCCCCCAACATCGATTAATCACTCATTGACTGAATTTTTCCTTGGAATTGTGACGCCGGTCACGTCGGAGGAAAGTCCACGATTGATAATTATGATTTAATTTTGATTGGCCTTTTGTCGATTGAAAGGCACTGTTACTGGTACGCACTGGTTTCGAGTGAAAAAACCTGCGGCTTCGTACACTGGACGTCACGCGAGTCGAATTTCAAAATATTATTCTTTTCGAGCTGTCATTGTTATTGAGTGTAGATCCTGTTTTTGTGCATTGTGGTTGTTGCATAACTCGTCAAAAATTCAACGAAAAGAAACTTACTCCAAATAATTAATATTATTACTGAAATTATTGGCCCTCAAAAATTAAATCATGATAGAAATAATAGAGAATAAAATAAAAAACATTCAACAAAAATAAAAAAATAAATTGAAATATTATTTAAATTTAGATTTACACGATTAATCAATACTCTTTTTAAGAGGTTTTTTACGTGGTTTTACTGAAACTGTTTGAGAAAAACTTGGCTTTAAAGAATGGAATACAAAATATAAACCAAAATTTTTGACTTGTAATTGAGAAATTAATTTTTAAAGTGGCTCAAAAATTAATATTTTATAGTCACAAAAAATCAAAAATTCAATTAAAACCCGGAAAATTAGGGTAAACAGAGCAACACAGCTGCAGTTCTCATCACGTGATGCTTTTTTTAATTAGTACTTGGCAACAACTGCACAAATGAGGGCGTAAGATAAGAGAATTGGGTCAAGATTAGGGTGTCAGTCTGAAGTGTCGCTTTTCACGCTTACTAATGAGCTAATAAAAACGAGCCGCCAGTATTAAATCAGAGCTCAAAAAATTAATTAATTTTTTTTTAATGTTTTTCCCTCAAATTTCTGATATTCCACGAGTGACTTTCCTGCGAAAGAAACGTAAAAAAAGAAAACAATAAATTGCTAAAGAGGTTTCCTCCTTGCGTTGACGTTCAGGGGAAACCTTATGGTCAGTAAACGTGTGCAAATGTGGCTTCCAATAACATTTTTCCTTTCTAAAAAACCGCCAAGTTTGTTTTGCGTTTTGCGCAGGATGTTATGATGGCAATTGAATAAAATATTGCGATGTTTGAATTAGCACGTGGAAGAGGACATCACGTATCAATCTAGAAACTGCGCAGTTGCCATTGCAAGTACGCTCCAATATTCAGAAATATTGTACAATCCAATTTAAACTGCTTTAACAAGTTTTTTTTTTTAATTTTCATTTTTTTTTAAATTCATTTTTAAAAATTTAACAGGCCTCAAAATAAGAGCAGTTTTGTGATTGTCTGGCCGTCGGCCAAGGTTCATAATTCAGACAATTATTTTCCCGCAAGTCAACACGCGCCATTCATCTTTATTTGAGAGCAATGAGAGATACAAAGGCCGACGCTTTCCAGTGAACTTCTTGTCTGCTTATCTCTGCAGCTCCAAAGCAGACTTTCAATTAGTATAATGAATGCCATAGCGAGTGCGTTTTTGTGACGCGAAGAAAAATATCATTGATCGAGTCATTCACAGGAGGCACGTGGACCCAAGACAAAAGTGTTAATTCGGTCGCAAGGCCGCGATAATTCGGTTGCTTTTCACCTCCAGCCCGAAGGTGATAAGGAAGTCGGCCCGGCATTTTTCAAATCATGAATGAATTCGCCAGGTTGGCGTGTCAAGGGTTCTACTAGCAACATTAAACTCGCAATAATAAAAAAAATCGGCGGCAAAAGACAAAGATAAAAACCACGTCCAATGCCGTCGCTGCGGTGCAAATGGGTGAAGTTTCCGCTGCTTTTGAAGACAATAATTTAAACAGTGGCATTGGCAGATGTCACTCGACCTGACCTTTAACTTGATTGAGTAATCCTTCGCCATGATTTGTTTTAATTAAAAAATTTTGAAGAAGAAAAACAAGAGCTGGTGATTTTGATACCTGTTTTTAAATTTACTCTTAAAATTTAACTTCAAAAATGCTGAAATCTTTGAAGCTGCATTAAATTGAAAATTATTCAGTCCTTGAATATTTTCATTTTCAGAAAAATTCGTGTTTCCAAGCAGAACTTTCTATCTCCTCTTAAATTATCCAAAGTATATCAATTTTATTTATTTTATATAATTTCCTAATTGCAATATAAATAATTGTCAGAAAAAAAAACAGAAAAACTTGATCCTACTGGACTTTCTTACAATTCATATTTATTTTTGAGAAGGTTTCAGATCAACAAAAAAAATATTTTTTCAAATATTTGATAATCAGTGGAATGATCACTAAAAAGTTTGGTTCTTTTTAAGTTTAAATAAAAAAAATGAGAATTTTCATATTTTAATTAATCGGTGAAGGAAGAAAATGAGGTCAATAGCCTGCGAATTAAGGTCAGAGCTCATGCGGCGGAAACCAACATTGGCATTGGCGGTGATTAAAAAGGGCAATTGACTTTGATTATCTGAGGGAGGCAGACGGATGGACAAACTTTGGTTGACAGGACGGCGCGCAAAAAAACGACAACAAATCAGTCCATGGCCAAATTTGTTCTTCGGACAAAAAAAAACAAGTTGGTACAAACAGGAGACCAACTTTCCAAGTGTGTGATTTGCCTGGAAACTGGTTTTAACTGGTTATAACAGACACTGCGAGGAGCTCGAAAAATTAGTCGCGATCGTTTCAATTTGGTTTTCTTTTCTTAAAAATATACAATCTCAAATTTAAAATGACTTGATTTTATGCTCTTAAAAAAATCTCCGAAACATATTTTACGAAGTTCTATGAAAATAATTTTATATGAATTTCTTTTATATTCATCTCTTTTTTAGAAGATAAATATTTTGTTTAATTAGGTGACACATTAATTATTACATAATTTAAAAAAAGTTCCATGGTACATGCGGTCATCAGTGTTAATCTTATCATCCCCAAGCAAATTCAAATTTTGCACACGTCATATCCGATTAATTTCAAGGACATTTCTATCAGAAAGTCCATTGTTGAAGCAAGAAATTAATTAACCTTATGGAAAAGAAATTTTCTGAAAATTCAAATATAGATTAAAAGATGTTATCAGAGAAAAGTGTGCAGGAATGCAGAAACCGTGATCATTTCGCAAACCGAGATAACCCGTTATGAGGGAATTTGTTTGCAAAGTTGGCAGAAAACAATGTTGGCAGAGGCCCCAGCGAGGGGGTTAATTTTTGTGTCCTCACCTGGGCCTTAGACTGCCACCCTTTCGGCTGGCTTGCTGTGGTCGGCGTAATGGTGATTGATTAGTGAACTGGAGTCTCAAAAAGAGGGATCGACGCGAAAATCGGAGGACAGTGGAGTCTGTTTAGGACACCATACAGCTCCCGACGGTTGAGTGGCAACAGAAGTGCTGCTCTCCGGACACACACGAGAGCGAAGTCCCCGCTGAGGCTGCGAGGAAAAGCACGCGCCGAGCAAATATTTGCCGCGGTCTGGACAAAGGCGACTCGCTGTGGTGGGCCTAGACCCCGACAAACGCGAATGTGTTCAGCAGAAGTGTCGTCATGCGACGACGAAAAGAAACTCGGAAAGAACAAGCACGGCCTGCCGAGCGAGGGCGTCGAACAAGGAGTGCTGCTTCAAGGATCTTTTATTATATGGATATCGCATGAGATAGGAGTAATGGCGGTCGCAGAGATAACTAACTGAACAAAGTTAGAAAGAATTTTTAATTATTTGGATTTTGTTGATTTTGTGTTAAAATGGAGATTAAATAAATTGAAATAAGTATTTTAATAATATTTTGGCACAAAGATTCCATCGTGTCCTCATTTTTGAAGAGGATTTTGGTTGACATTATCATTGTCGTATCTGTAATGTTGGCATTAAAATTTGTCGCCTCGGTCCGTCTCCAGCCAATCCAGAAGCAGATCCTTGTTGTAAACAAACAGGCATGGAGAACATGAAGAGGTTGTGAGAAAGCCCTAAATATATTTCTTACTGCCTTATATTCAGCGTTATATTTAGAAAAATTGGTGAGGATATAACTTTATATCAATTTGGAAGAAATGAATAATTATGTGTATCTGTTAAAAGGTTGAATCTGGCAAGAAAAATGTGAATTGGGCTTTGAGGGCAGGCTGTCTGTGCGTGATAATATGAACATCTTTCCGCTTTGGACACGCCTGAGTAATCATTTTGGTCTCCAGCAGGATCCAAATTTATTTTATGATAAGGTAATGAATCATTTAAAAATAGTTTACTATCTTCTCTACATTTTAGTTGTTTCATTTTCCTACAGTATCTTTGAGAGGAGCTCCAAAATGGATCCCTCATCAAATTAAAGACGGTGTGATTGGCAGTCTCGTAACGCGTCTAATTTATATGTAAGTTTGATCCATAAATTGTCTTACTCAGAAGTTTCATACTAATTTAAATTTATTTTAAAGGAAGGCGACCCACATAATACAAAATGGTTGTTGAATGTTTCTTATGTTTGGAGAAATACAGTTCGGAGCTAAAAACCTGTTCATTCCACAAGTAAATATGTCCAAAAATTAATTAAATTATAAAGTTTTTGATTTCAATTTTCTTTTTTTAGTCTGCCGAAAAGTGAACCGTCCAGAGCAAAATGGGTTCAGTTCATTCGACAGGCCCGAGAAGATGAAGGGTGGGAGCCAAAAACGCGAAGAATAATTTTGTGCTCCAAGCACTTTGTTTCTGAAGATTATGAGCAAAATGGAGTGGCATATCACAAAATTTTGAAGAAGTTGGCTGTGCCTAGCATTTTTGACAAGGAGAACCAAACTGCAAAAGTAATTATAATAATTATATTATATTTATTTGTTGGTAATATACCTAAAACTAATTTAATTTTTAGAAACGAAAGCGCAGCCCAAGAAAAACTCCTAAAAAGCCGCCCTTGGCAATCAACAATGAGGTGAACCAGGTAATACTTAATATTAAACATTGTTAATTAAATCTAATTTTACTAAAACCCCCAGCTTGCCTCGCCATCAAAGAAGAAAGGGCGCTCTCTGTTTAACGCACACAATCAAAAAGAAAACCTGCCTGAATTGGAGTCCTCTATTGACTGCGACTTCAATTATTTGCCACCTGATGCTGAAATCAGCTCTGAAGATGCTCCACTGACAGAGGAGAGGGAGGAATCCTCAACAATATCCAATGATGCAGATGAACCTGGAACTAAACATGCACCATCATCAAGTCCATGTATCACAGCTGATGTTATCCAGTCAAGCAAGAAAAAGGGGCTTCTTAAATTGATGGAGTCCATGAAAGAGGAAATCAAGACTTTTGACCAGCAGCACCCTCTGCAAAAAAATGACAGCATCCGCTACTCTCGACTTCAAAACAATGTCTTCAAACTACAAAGCCAAATTTTGCAGTGGGGAATTGAGGCCATCAAAGAGGAACTGATCGAATCAATGGTCAGGAATGCTGAGACCAGTGAATTTGTCCAGGCTGAATATATTTTGTTGAAAGCCAATCAAAAAGTTCTAAATGCGTCACTTTCTCGTCGAGACAAAAAAATTCAGGACTTGGAATCTCGGGCACAGACGCTAGTTGAAACCATCGAGGCTGTACGACAGAAGTTAAGAAGCTCTGAGTCTGGATATATCAAGCTCAAAGAAGAAACCAGAGCTCTCCACCTAGAGCACGCAGCACAGAAGAAGAAAGAAGAGAATCTCAGTTCAGAATTAAAGTCAAATAAGGAACGTAGTAAAAAGGATCAAGGAGAAAACGAGAAACTGCGTTTGAAGCTCGAAGAGCTGGCTAAACTGCAGCCAGATTATTCACTGGTAGATGAGATGAACCGACGTTATGCAGCCAGAATTCAAGAGCTAGAGAAGGAGGTCAGGGAGGCAAAAAAAATACAGAAAAGGGACAGAAGTATTATTCAAAGGCAATCTGTAGCAATTAAGAAACAGCGTCAAGTTATTCGAACCCTTCGAAAATCAAATGTGCTGAGAGGAAGAAAGTTGGAGTCTGCAGCTCAGGCAATTAAAGATTTGCAAAAAAAGAAACTGTTGTCAGATGAGTTTTCTGCAAAACTGATGGAGCTGCCTGCTAGCACCCAAAGTCTCCTGAACAGGGTTGCTAAAAGTCCAGAGGGACAAAAGGGAACCTCGAAGCAGAAATACGATGAGGACATAAGGAGCTTTGCAATCACCTTGTACTTTTATTCTCCTGCTGCCTACGAGTATGTGCGCAAATCATTTGGACAGTGCTTACCACACCGAGCAACTATTATTGGATGGTTCTCCGAGATTGAAGCTGGGCCAGGATTTTGTGGTGAATCATGGAAAGCGATTGAAGCGAGAGTCTCCAAGGCAAAGGAGAAGGGAGAAAAAATTATCGCAGGGGTCTTGCTGGACGACATGGGACTGAAAGCGCAAGTCGAATACAACGGGAAAAAAGTTATGGGCTACGTAGACATGGGCAATGTTGGAAAAAAATCTAAAGACGACAAAGCCCAAGCAAAAAATGCTTTGAATTTTATGATTGTTGCTTACAATACTCGTCTCATCATGCCATGTGGATACTTTTTCATCGATTCACTTTCTGGCAAAGAACGTGCAGAGCTACTTAAGGAATGCATCGTCAAACTTGAAAACCTTGGCGTACAAATAGAGAGCGTCACTTTTGATGGGGCAGCCTCCAATATCACCATGGCCTCTGTTTTGGGAGCAAATTTAGACTCCTTTGAGAAATTGAATCCAACCTTCCCCAACCCTGCCGACCCTACCAGGAATGTTAATGTGCTACTTGATGCTGTGCATATGTTGAAACTTCTGCGAAACACTCTAGGGGATAAAAAACTGCTTTTTGACTCAAGTGGAGGTCGAATTGAGTGGCGATACATTAAGAGCCTCCATGAACTACAGGTGAGGGAAGGACTCCACTTTGCAAATAAGCTCAGAGCAGCACACATTGAATACTGGAAGAATAAGATGAAGGTCAAGTTTGCTGCCCAACTCTTCAGCTCATCCGTCGCTACTGCAATCGAGTACTGCAACAAGCAATTGCATCTAGAGGAATTTCAAGGATCTGAGGCAACTGTGAAGTTTATCAGAATGGTGAGAAAGAAATTTTTATTTCATTTTTTATTGGGACTCTACTTTTTTTTAAAAGCCATCTCAAATGAATTGAATTAACAAGTAACATAATTCTAATGTTATATTACGTGTAATATATAAATGGAAATATATATTATATTTAATATAAATTATCTTTGGCTGTGTTAGTGAAAAATATTTTATATTATATTCATTTGCTATTCTTATTTTGCGCAGATAAATGATACATTCGACTGGCTCAACTCCAGGAATAAATTCGGGAAAGGTTTCAAGGCGCCTTTAACTCAAAAAAACAAAGATGCATGGACAACACATTTTGAGGAAGCTGAAAAGTATTTTTCTACTCTGCAAATAATGGGTGAGAATGATGAATCTGAAGACTTGGATCCTGCAAATGAAAATTCATCCCAAAATCTTGACGAGCAAGGAAAAACAAAAGGTCTGAAAACTAATCCAAATGCCAAGAAGGCTAAAAAAAGCAATAGTCAATCTGATGAATCAAATATTTTAGATGAAATTTTTTGGCAAAATTTTGAAGAGCCAGAAAAAAACATTAGTCTGAAAAAAAAATCAAAAGACAAGAAGGACAAAAGTAACAAGCTTCTAATTGTTAGTGGACGTAAACGTGGAGCTTTAGGCATGATTGTATGCATGAGATCAGCCAAACAAATTTTTGAAAGATTAATTGATAAAAGTGGTGATCTGAATTATCTGCTCACTTTTAAGCTAAGTCAGGACCATTTAGAGCTATTTCATGCTAGCATTAGACGAAGAAACGGTTTTAATATTAACCCAACTTGTCGAGTCTACGAATCTAGTTATAAACGCTTAGTGGTACAAAATGAAATAACCGCTAGTGTCAATGAAAGATCCTTGTGCTGCTTTGACTTTTCCGACACCGATCGAACGAGTGACGTCACTCGGCGCGAAACCTCCTTGCTTCCACCGGTGTGAAGTTGGCCACTTTTTATAGCCACTCGAAAGAACTTGGCCACTTTTCACAGCCAAACACAAAAAGCAATGTTGCCAACCTAAATGTGATTTTGTAACCTTTTTCCGCTTTTATCAATGCGATTCCCCGGAGTCGCATTATTTCTAATTATTGCTACAAAGAGCTGATAGGGCAGCTAAAGGGCAAGTTAAAAATTATTTGTAAAGAAAATACATTACATAAGTAAATATGGTAAATATATTAACAAATTAGAACAATAAAATTAGTATTCAATTACACTGTTAGCAAAAAAGATGTTTGGCGCTTTAATCTTGCATTTGAAATAACATTTGCACGTCGACGATGAAAAGCTTTACATAAATGGATGAAATAAATGGTAAGAAAATGAAAGTTTTTGTATTTTAAAAAAAAAAATACAAAAGAAGGATTTACAATGGTTTCTAGTTTTCTAAAAGTGAATAAGTCCTAAGGGGGCTAAGGGGACATTTGGGGAAGGCCGCGCACCTTGCATGATGGATAGTGCGGTATAATACACTAAAGGCAGATTGATAATAGAGTGTGCAATTTTCTAAAAATTCAGGAACAGAGACGGTCAATTTAATTTGAACAGACAACTTCAAAAAATTATTATAGATGTATTTAAAAGTATGGACAAGTCCTGAAGTGAAATTGAGTTAGGGTTCATCAATGCCCTTTTGCACAAAGGTTACTATAAGGGTGTAATCCTTCTTTCCTGAAAGATTTAGCCCATTGTAATTTTTTTATTTTTTTAAAGATTTTCGGGGTATTTTAAAAGTGGCTGAGTCCTGGTGGGGATTTGGAGGGGAGTTCATCAATGCCCTTTTGCACAGGGGTTGCTAAGGGTGTAATCCTACATTCCTGAAAGATGTAGCCCAATCTACCGTTAAGTTAAATTTAAAAAAAATTAAAAGTAATTTTTTTATTGATTTTCGGGTTATTTTAAAAGTGGCTGAGTCCTGGTGGGGATTTGGAGGGGAGTTCATCAATGCCCTTTTGCACAGGGGTTGCTAAGGGTGTAATCCTACATTCCTGAAAGATGTAGCCCAATCTACCGTTAAGTTAAATTTAAAAAAAATTAAAAGTAATTTTTTTAAAGATTTTCGGGTTATTTTAAAAGTGGCTGAGTCCTGGTGGGGATTTGGAGGGGAGTTCATCAATGCCCTTTTGCACAGGGGTTGCTAAGGGTGTAATCCTACATTCCTGAAAGATGTAGCCCAATCTACCGTTAAGTTAAATTTAAAAAAAATTAAAAGTAATTTTTTTATTGATTTTCGGGTTATTTTAAAAGTGGCTGAGTCCTGGTGGGGATTTGGAGGGGAGTTCATCAATGCCCTTTTGCACAGGGGTTGCTAAGGGTGTAATCCTTCTTTCCTGAAAGATTTAGCCCAATCTACCGTCTAGTTAAATTTAAAAAAAATTAAAAGTAATTTATTTAAAGATTTTCGGGGTATTTTAAAAGTGGCTGAGTCCTGGTGGGGATTTGGAGGGGAGTTCATCAATGCCCTTTTGCACAGGGGTTGCTAAGGGTGTAATCCTTCATTCCTGAAAGATTTAGTCCAATCTTCCGTTTAGTTAAATTTAAAAAAAATTAAAAGTAATTTATTTAAAGATTTTCGGGGTATTTTAAAAGTGGCTGAGTCCTGGTGGGGATTTGGAGGGGAGTTCATCAATGCCCTTTTGCACAGGGGTTGCTAAGGGTGTAATCCTTCATTCCTGAAAGATTTAGCCCAATCTACCGTTTAGTTAAATTTAAAAAAAATTAAAAGTAATTTTTTTAAAGATTTTCGGGGTATTTTAAAAGTGGCTGAGTCCTGGTGGGGATTTGGAGGGGAGTTCATCAATGCCCTTTTGCACAGGGGTTGCTAAGGGTGTAATCCTACATTCCTGAAAGATGTAGCCCAATCTACCGTTAAGTTAAATTTAAAAAAAATTAAAAGTAATTTTTTTAAAGATTTTCGGGTTATTTTAAAAGTGGCTGAGTCCTGGTGGGGATTTGGAGGGGAGTTCATCAATGCCCTTTTGCACAGGGGTTGCTAAGGGTGTAATCCTACATTCCTGAAAGATGTAGCCCAATCTACCGTTAAGTTAAATTTAAAAAAAATTAAAAGTAATTTTTTTAAAGATTTTCGGGTTATTTTAAAAGTGGCTGAGTCCTGGTGGGGATTTGGAGGGGAGTTCATCAATGCCCTTTTGCACAGGGGTTGCTAAGGGTGTAATCCTTCTTTCCTGAAAGATTTAGCCCAATCTACCGTTTAGTTAAATTTAAAAAAAATTAAAAGTAATTTATTTAAAGATTTTCGGGGTATTTTAAAAGTGGCTGAGTCCTGGTGGGGATTTGGAGGGGAGTTCATCAATGCCCTTTTGCACAGGGGTTGCTAAGGGTGTAATCCTTCATTCCTGAAAGATTTAGCCCAATCTACCGTTAAGTTAAATTTAAAAAAAATTAAAAGTAATTTTTTTAAAGATTTTCGGGGTATTTTAAAAGTGGCTGAGTCCTGGTGGGGATTTGGAGGGGTGTTCATCAATGCCCTTTTGCACAGGGGTTGCTAAGGGTGTAATCCTACATTCCTGAAAGATGTAGCCCAATCTACCGTTAAGTTAAATTTTAAAAAAATTAAAAGTAATTTTTTTATTGATTTTCGGGTTATTTTAAAAGTGGCTGAGTCCTGGTGGGGATTTGGAGGGGAGTTCATCAATGCCCTTTTGCACAGGGGTTGCTAAGGGTGTAATCCTACATTCCTGAAAGATGTAGCCCAATCTACCGTTAAGTTAAATTTAAAAAAAATTAAAAGTAATTTTTTTAAAGATTTTCGGGTTATTTTAAAAGTGGCTGAGTCCTGGTGGGGATTTGGAGGGGAGTTCATCAATGCCCTTTTGCACAGGGGTTGCTAAGGGTGTAATCCTTCTTTCCTGAAAGATTTAGCCCAATCTACCGTTTACTTAAATTTAAAAAAAAAATTAAAAGTAATTTTTTTTCGGTGTGTTTTTAAAGTGGCTGAGTCCAGGTTGGGATTTGGTGGGGAGTTCATCAATTTTCCACTTAATTTTTCAATTCATGATCATCTGATCTTCACTTTTTTAAGTATAAAACCATAGTTATGTGACAATATTTCGGAATTTTGATTTGGAATTATTGTTTAAAACTGAATATTTCTTTCGTAATTAATCCTGTCCCTTTGAACACACAAAAACACAAACACATTAGTTTTATTAAATTTATTGGTTGTCAAAATTTTATTCTGCGTGTGAGATGTGTCGAGTGCGCGGTGCCGAGAAGAGAGAAAGAAGTGCATGTGCTTGAGAATTAAAAACTGCAAAGAAACCACTCTGAACGGGAAATAATTTAAATTAGTACTTTTACGGTGAAATTACGTTCCGGGACGCGAGATACTGAGACAAAACCAGTGTAAAATAGTTAGAAAAATACCTGTTGTGATAATAAAATATATTAATTGAGGGGGAAAATTTCCCAAAATAATACATTTTAAAACCATCCCAATGTGTCCGTATCCTTTTGTACAGCACAAAACGATGAGGAAAGTTTGGGGTGGTTTTAAAATGTATTAATTTTGGGAAATTTTTGCCCTCAATTTTTTGTCGTAAAACTTTTTCATTTCTCCTAAATGCATTTGTCCGAAAATTTATTTGTCCTAAAACCTGGATGCAAACTGCAACTTTTGGCGCTGCACGTGACTTATTGTCAGTGAACAAGCCCACACACTATTTTCGGTCTTTAATATAAGATTGCAATGTAGCCGGATTAAAAAAAAAATAGCGTTATAAGGAATCACCTTTTAATTTATTTCTCATATTCAGCAAAATTGTTTTGAAGTAGAAAATGAAAATTTTTGAATGTTGAAAAATCTAAAAAAAAAAAAAAATTAAGATCACATTCATTCACAGTTCATTGGTTTAGCCAACAATTGATTATTATTTATTTATTTATTTATTTATTTATTCTCCATTCATAGTACATACAACGCAAAAAAAGTACACTGTACAAAAAAAAGCGGAATCATGCATCGACATAAAAAAGTACAAGCATACAAAAAAATGCCGAAAATCAGGAGTCGGAAATTTATGTACAATGCTGGAAATACATTAGAAAGATAAAATAAAAATTATGAATAGAAACAATAATTTAAAATCCCAAGGATTTTAATTTTATTCAAGTTTATTGGTTCTAAATTTTTTTTTTTAATTTTATGAATCACATATTTATTGGCATTTTCTCCCTGTTAACAAACTATCCAATTTATCTCTCCTTTGCCTTTCTTTGCAGATCATAGATTGAATTTTTCCAGCAATAAACCCTTTTAAGATTTTCAAATTTATTATTATTATTTATTCTTCTCGGTCAATACAAAAAAATTTTAAATTGGAAAAAGAGAAGAAAGGGTTTACAACTAGCAGATGTCTGCTAAAACGCCCGACATCAAAAGAGACACGGCCGCCGCGGTAAACCC